GCCCCATAATGAAGGCTCATATGAAATTTGTTTTTTCACAATTATCTGCAGCATTTTTAAAGCAAACGCTCCCCTGAACTTTTCGCCTAAAAAGAAACTATTTTCATATTTTAGTAAAAATAATATAAAGGGAGATTTTTAAGAGCTTTAGGAAATGAAATGAAATCTTTTTTTTTTTTTTTTTGTAAATTGATAGTACAGTCTAAAAAATCTAATGTTTAAAAATTATTTCATGCAAATGTGGATCACGACTACGCTTCAGTAGTTCCATCCCTTATTCCAATTTTGACATACATTTTACAACATTTCGTCCGGTCTGCCAATGCGTTAATAGAAGACATGTTATTTAACATAGCCCCACATCTATGTGGACCGGCCCCAAACATGAAATTAAATGTTCACCTAAACGCCACTCAATAAGTCCATTGTTACGAGTGCTGTGTGGCATGTGGCACCGTCTTGTTGAAACCACATGTCATGCCAGTCAAGCTTCTGCAAATTTTGGGCAAAAAAAGTTGGATATCATCCCAACGGTTGCGCTCATCATTTACAGTTATGTTGCGATTCGCAGCATATTTGAAGAAGTATGATCCAATATTAACTCTAGGCAATAAACCACACTAAACTGGAACTTTTTCAGACTGCATTGGTAGCTTTTGTAATGTTGCTGGCTGGTATCCACTCCAAAATCGACAATTCTGCTTATTACGTACGTAATGAAAAAGACGTTCATTGACATTTAGAAAACTGGTTTTTGGTTTTCTTTGAAACCCTTCCCCTTTCAGCATATTACTCGTCTCTACTTTCCCTCGACAATTTGAATGAAAGTCTCCGTAGATATCCTGAAATGGTGGAAATATAATTATTTAATAAAAAATATGTTCGTGTGAGTGTGTGTATTAGTATAGAATTTTAAGTCTATTGTATTGTCTTAAATTGATATGATATGAATAAAATAATTTGTATGATATGCTATGTATAAAATTCAAATTGCATAATAATAAATTGTATCTTTGTTTGTGTAAAAATGATCGGTAGGAGAAAGATATCTAGTTACTAATTGTTCATACGTTCAAATCATCATCAGTTTTTGTATATATATGTACATACTTTGTTAATGTTATCATCGTCATCATCATATCACCTCATGCAGAGTGTTAGTATTTTACTATCATTATTTCGTCTTTCATTATTTATCAGATTTTCATTTAGGAATGAATAAAACGTTCATGTTCTGATTCTCTCTTCCTTGACTTTTATGTTTGATACACTACTTTATTTTAATCGCGCTTTGAATTTCGAAAATAATGTTAAAATATGTTAGTCCAGGTTAAACAGAATGTTTATATTAAAAAAATAAAAGCCTTACAGTACGTTTACATATAAATGGGTTAACCCACTAGATTTGGATTAAAATTGTCATATCCATTACTTATACTTCAAATAAATCCTCTTGAAGCAAAAAGTTCTAACGTAAACATAGCATTATAGAAGGAGGAGATTAAAATGACTTAAATAACAGCCGTAGGAAAATAGGTCTCAATATTTTACACATCTAGATTAGGTTGGTTGATCAAATGCTAAATCAGGTGTTTCAAAGATTGTAAGACAAAATTCCAACTAGTCCCAGAGTTATAACATCATCAAACAGAAGACTCAGTTCGGAGTCTATGACCCAACCAATTATGAGTACTATATAGCTTAGTTTAAATAAAATCGATAATATTAAGACTTATATGATTGTCGTTACATTTCCTTTTCTTCAAATATGGTTAAAAGCTCCCTTTAAACAGGATCGCTACAATAATCGAAAAAATCATTTCTCATAAAATTCTACTAAAGGTCCTAGAAGACGTCTTTTTTTTTTTTTTTTTTTTTTTGATGCGTTTGATCTCCGGATAAAATACTCAGCTGAAGTATTTGATAAGTGATATTTTTATCCAATTTATTGTTACAATGGAAAAACGAAGTATATACTGGTTTTGTTTTACCCAATGCAAATTTCAGATCCAAAAACTTATGTCGAAAAGGTAATAACAAAAATCAAGCAAAAATAAGTAAAAAAGCATTTAAGTCTTAGCCGAACTTTTCATACCTTCACCATTTGGAAGCTACTTGAAAATTTTCAAAAAAATTACGAAAAATACCGTTTAACCTTTATACGGGGCTATACGAAGACGTGGCAGACAGTCATAGGCTGTAGTACCCATTACAAACTTCGAATACGAAATTTGAAACAATTCGGGTAAATAATATCGCTAAAATCATCAAAATACCGAATATTGGGAGGCAACGTTATATAGAGGCAATATGAAGACGTAGGTCTGCATAGGCAATTGTCTGTCGCAGGCTGTAGTACCCATTACGAATTCAAAAAATTCAAAATTGGAAACAGCTCCGGTGAATAATGTCCCTAAAATCGTCAAAATCTCGAATATTGGGGGGTACCGTTTTACGCGGGCTATGCGATATCGTGAACCTTTATAGACATTTCTCTTCCAGGGGGTAAAGTGCTTAAAAAGAACTTATAATATAGATTTTTAGACAATTCCATTGAAAAATGTAGCTAAACTCATCGAAATACCGAATATAGAGAGGTACCGTTATATGGGGGATATACTATATCGTGGACCTATTTAGACAATACTCTTCCAGGGTGTAGAGTACTCAGAAGGAACTCCTAATGTGGATTTTCAGACAATTTCATTAAAAAATTTGGCTACAATCATCAAAATACCCAATATCGAGGTGATACCGTTATATGGGACATATACGATATCGTGGATCGATATAGCGCATCTTCGAATTCGACCTTCCTACAAACAAAAGTCTGATCTGTGCAAAATTGTAGCTTCCTATCTTTATTCGTTTTGATTCTAGCGTGATTGCAACAAACGGACGGACGGACAGGTCTAAATCGTCTTAGGATTTTACGGTGATCAAGAATATATATATACTTTGCTATGACTAAAATTATTATTTCGGTGAGTTGGAAATGGAATGGCGAACTTAATATATCCTCCATACTATGTCTGGTAGAGGGTATAAAAAATAGACATGCAAAAAAAGTATTATTATGCACACACGTTTGCATACATACATAATTAATCAGTTAAATACATACTTAACAAATATCAAAATAGAAATCCCCAAAACGTTTTCAGAACAACCATACACACATTCACTCCTATATCAACTGTCAATTTGCCCTGTGATTACACATGCAATTTAAAATACCTAGAAATGAACCTCGACTTCATAAAAAAATCGAAGAGAAAAAAAACTGCAACAAAGTCAAACGCCATAATTTTTTCATTATTTTAATTTTATTGAATGAAAGCAAAAAATGTCGGAAATATCGTCAAATTCTTGAAAAGGTTTAGATTTGCTCGAATTCGGCACGAATTATGGCCTTCAAACGGCCAAAGAAACCGTCACACGCTGCCCCACTTGAGGTGATCGACACTTGGTTATTTTTAGTGCCAATCTCGCTTTCCAAAATACTCCAGACACAATAGTATCCGTAGATTTTGCTGGCCATTGTGCGCTGGAAATGAAGCGAGGAACCGCATTCTGTAACCATTCTTGGGTGGCGCGTGCTGGGTTCTTTTGGAATTTGGCCAACCGACCTCTTTGGCTAGTAAACACGATCATTTTGTTTGTTTACAAACTGCTGGACAACGAATGCTATCTCATCGGAGAAAACAAAATTAGGCAATTCACCAATTTCGGCCATGCGAAGCAACTCTTTAGCTGTTTTGAGTCTATTTTCTTTCTTTTTGGATTTTCAATGGCTTCACCCCGATGCTCATTTTTCAATATTTGCCGAATGGAATATTGCGATATGTTCAGCTCACGAGCCATTTTTCGGCCACTGCGACGAGGGTTTCGACCAAGACGCTTCTTTACTTTTTGAACCATTTCTGCTGATGTTGCTGTTTTCTTCCGTCTACTTCCTGACATTCGTCCACGCTACGCTACCAGTATCACGTAGTAGTAACGAGCGATGGTACGAGACACAAAAGATTTATTCTCATTTAAATGCTGGAGTAGCAAATATAAGGAAATCACATTATCACGCTTGAATTCCACCACGAATAACTTTTTTTCTGGAAAATTTTCACCAAAATGCTTTTGTAGGCTTGTAAACAATATACCGAGCTGTCACTGGAATAATTTCAACAGCTGTCGGACGAGTGACTTAGAAATGACAGCAGTCTAAGTTGCTTGCAGTTTTTTCATCTCACCCTGTATATGTATATTTTTTTCATATGCAACTAGATGTAATTTACATGCATTTGTAATCACCTGGTTAAATCACACATGAAATATTTACAACAAAATGAAATGTATTTTCATATATATTTCAATTATCTTTTCTACATTTTTGTTTAGTAATTTTCTTAGAAAAACTATAAAACTCAACAAACATACTATAAAAAACTATAAAACAGCATACATACACACATATCAAGCAAATTCACATATTCAATTATTATCAAGTTTCGGTTTCATCTTTTTTATGTTTTCATGGCGTCTGGGAAAGACTAATCACATTTTTTTTATTTTATTTCTATTATTAATATTTATTTTGTATTGACACACAAAAAAGAAGAGAATATTGTCACATCATCCTATGCATAATATTGTAAATGTTTCGACCTCTTTTTTTTGTATTTACTCCCTATAATTAAAATCTCACTAACATGAAGTTTAATTCCAATATTTTAAATTTAAACCTTCAAGTCTAGTGTGCTGTAATAATGATCTTCATCATCATCATAATAATAATAATTAAACTAAGTGTAGTTTATAGTACTAAGGCAATGGGCATGTTCTACTATATAATACTACTCTTCCGCTCTATGAAATCTAAAAAAAAAAAAGATTTATTCTTTAAATATTTGTAAAATTTGTATAAAATATACATATGTATGTACGTAAATAAAAAAACTAACTAATATATGTTTTTTTTTCTTTCTTCGTTAACTCTCCAACAGTATCAGGCGGCCATCAACTCATCCGTGCATTCCACACCCTCGAAATCGTTTATTGGTGGTTCGAATAACTCACCTCAATCGACGATTTCGTTGCATTCGTCTTCATCGCGTCAAAACAGTCCCAAAAATTCGATTAGCAAAACTCGCTCTTCCAGTAGCATTACTAATTTGTTGCACAAATCTGCTTCTTCTTCCAATGCATCGGCGGCCGCTTTGCCCGTTCCTCCCTATGCCCTACAACAGAAACAGCGTAGTTTTCTTACATTTGGTTTTGGTGCTGGCGGCTCGGGACCATCGAGACGTGAATCACATGTGAATGTCAATGTTACACCCACATCGCACGAGGCATCCAGTGATACGCCCGAGATACGCAAATACAAGAAACGTTTCAACTCGGAAATATTGTGTGCCGCCCTGTGGGGTGTAAATCTATTGATAGGTACTGAAAATGGTTTAATGTTATTGGATCGTTCCGGTCAAGGCAAGGTATGTGATTACAGCGCCGCGAAGTATCTCTTAAAATTTCTAATCTAATTCAATTGTTCATTTTTAGGTTTACCAACTGATATCACGTCGTCGTTTCCAACAGATGGAGGTATTAGAAGGTCAAAATATCTTGGTAACCATATCGGGTAAAAAGAATCGTGTTCGTGTCTATTACCTATCCTGGCTCAAATCGAAAATCTTAAGAACCGATGGTTTATCTGATGTAAGTTGAATTTCTTCTCAAATTGCTGTCGACCTCACATTAATGCCTTCATTCTTTCCCCGCAGCAAGTTGAACGACGCAATGGTTGGATAAACGTTGGCGATCTACAAGGTGCTGTACATTTTAAAATTGTTAAATACGAAAGGATTAAGTTCCTAGTGATTGCATTAAAAGACTCAATAGAAATTTATGCCTGGGCTCCCAAACCATATCATAAATTTATGGCATTTAAGGTATGGCTTCCTTTCCGTTAAATTCCATAATCAAAAATTACCTACTTCTTACCATAATTCATTTTCAGAATTTCGGTGAATTGGAACATCGTCCCTTGTTAGTTGATCTTACCATTGAAGATCAATCTAGACTGAAGGTTATCTATGGCTCAGCTGAGGGCTTTCATGCAGTTGATTTGGATTCAGCTGAAGTATACGATATTTATCTTCCTAAGCATGTAAGTAGAGTAGTTTTAATGGTAATGCTTCCAAGAAATACCCATTCTTTTGCTGAAAACATAGAAAGTGTTTCTATTATTCGGCTAGCATCATATCATAAAACTAAACCTATATTTACTTCATTGTCATTTTATTATACCCTCAGCTATATGCTAGAGGGGGGTATATATCATTTGATACGGCCAAAACGTGCCTCATCGAAATAACAGTTTTAGATCCTGGACCAAATCCGTTTCAGGACATTTGGAGTCGATGTCCGTCCGCCAGTCTGTCTGGCTGGCTGTATATCCGATTTGGTGGTACATCGTAATATCATTATCAAACTTAGATCGAGTTCGGAGATGGGAATATCGGTCAACTCCTTCTGGTACCTCTCCCAAAAAAGGTCGCAATTTTCAAAAATAAAATAGTTTACTGCTCAGAAAGAGAAAGGATAATCCGATTTTACTCCAACTTTGAATATCCTTATATTTGCATCTGTGCTAGAACAGGTGCGAAAATCAAGTACCTCCCCCACAAAGGGTCAAAATCGTGAATAATTATAGCTCTTATAAAATGTGATGTAAGAGACCGATTGTCTTCAAATTCCACACAACGCAATATTTATTTTATTAACCAAAGGTCTCATGTGAAGATTGGATATATCGGCCGACTCCTTCTGGTACGTCCCCCACAAAGGGTCAAAATTTTGAATATCCATGAAGCCCATAAAATGCGAAATTAACATCCGATTCTCTTCTTATTTCACACATCCTATTATTTCTTCTAACACAATATCTGCTGTGAAGATTGGATATATCGCTCTACTCCTACTGAATACCCATGAAGCACATAAAAACATCTCAATATAACCATCAACGCAAGATCTGTTATAAAGATTGTAGATATCGCACCATTTCTTCTGATAACTCCCCCACATAGAGTTTTAGAGATTTTGAAAAACAAAACGATCATAAAATCCGACATAAGCATCCGGTTCTCTTCCAATTACACACATATTTTTATTAACCCAAGGTCTGGTGTGTCAAGTGCCTCCCCCACAAAAACGCGAAAGAAACCTCCGATTCCATTCAGACTTGATACATATCAATATTTCCATTAACGCAAGATGTGTTATGGTAGAGATCGCACCATTTCTTCTGATAACTCCCCCACATAGGATTCAAGATTTTGAAAAACAAAACGCTCAAAGAAAGAGAAATAAGCATCCAACTCTCTTCAAGTTTCACACATCCAAATATTTTTGCTAGCGCAAGATCTGTTGTGTAGATGATATATGGGGTGAGATGAAAAAAACTGCAACCAACTTCAGACTACTATCATTTCAAAGCCACTCGTCCGGCAGTTTTTAGAATTATTCCAGTGACAGCTTATTATATTGTTTACAAGCGTTCTCCCATTAAAACGTTAAATTGTTACGCGGAGCTCCACTAAATTAGCAAAGTGGTGTAGGGTATCATAAAGTCGGTCCGCCCGACTTTAAGACTTTCTTTACTGGTTTTCTTGTTAAATTGTCCTTCATAAAATTTTTATAACTGTTTGTTCTCTTCTTTTTTCAGACTCAGGGTGCAATCATTCCTCATTGTATTGTAGCTCTTCCAAATTCAAATGGTATGCAGTTATTATTATGCTACGATAACGAAGGTGTTTATGTGAATACAGTAGGACGTGTGTCCAAAAATATTGTGCTACAGGTAAGGAATAAAATTACAAAATTCGGCATCGCTACTTTTTCAGATTTGAATTTAAAACTATTTATCAAGATTTTATATTTTTTTAATGATTTTTTTTCTAATGTTCCTATTTACAGTGGGGTGAGATGCCTACATCAGTGGCATACATTGGAACTGGACAAATTATGGGCTGGGGCAATAAAGCAATAGAGGTAAAATTAAACGTTTGCATTTTAAGGATTTCTATAATTCACTCTGATTTTAAATTCGCCTATAGATACGCTCGGTTGAAACGGGTCACTTGGATGGTGTCTTCATGCATAAAAAAGCGCAACGTTTGAAGTTTTTGTGCGAACGCAATGACAAAGTATTCTTCAGCAGTGCCAAAGGTGCTTCATCGTGTCAAATCTACTTCATGACTCTCAACAAACCAGGCATGGCGAATTGGTAACAAATATGGTCCATAGATCAAACTATGAAAAAACAACAACAATAACAATAGCTTCATTAGGCAGTAAAACATCCAACTACCTATTATTACCATTTGACGTCTGTCTGTCGGTCGGTCGTTTGATTTGTACCCCACTTGTAGTATCACTGTTATTTCGAATTGTTACTACACTTCTACATGAAAACCAACCCCGCTTCTTATGGAACAAATTAGAGAACTGAACAAAAGTAAAAAAAAAAAACAGAATAATGATACGATCATGTTGTAGGGAATGAATGAGTATTTTTTTGTGTGTATTTTCTTCTTTATTACAATTATTATTACTATTTTTAATGGGAGAAAAAAAAAACAAATGTATAACCCTGTCGAAATGTGGATTATAATGATTTTGAGTATTGAGAAAATCATTTATTTTATATCATTATTAATTTTTATTGAAAGAAAATAATTAAAACTTAGTCTTAAGTTGAAAAACGAAAAACAGAAAAGAAAATCAACAATTTATATTGATATATATAATGAAAAAAATGGAAGATATAAAGAAAAAAAAACGAAACGAAAGTGCCGATGCACATTTTTCAAAGAACGCTAACCTACATGAATTTGAATAGCATAAAAAACAGTGCAAAGGTTCAATGGTTCGTGGAAGTATATATAAATATGAAAATTAAACAAGTTTTTACAATAATATTATTGAAAAAAGAAGAGAAGAGTATATACCCCAGATTTAAATCAGGTTTATAAAACTATATTAAATATAAACAAATAAATTAAAAAAAAAAAAAAAAAAACATAATAAGAAATCAAACGCCCCGCCCTTCATGTATTAATTAGATGAACTGAAATTCAACTTGGAAATGTACTGTACTATGCGCCACATCAACAGCCTAAACAAAAGTGAAACAAAAAAGCAATAATTGAAAAGATTTGATTGTTAAATGTAAAATACTTTGATTAGTGACACTTCCGATGCATGTGTTTGAAGAAAGATAGGTTAAATATGTCTGTTCTTCTTTTCAACTACTTTAAAAAGATTGTATTTGTCTAGTCGCATCATGGAGATCAGATAATCTGGTACCGATTTGGTTTTGGATCCTCCAATGGCCAGGTTCTCCATTCCAAAAGATTTGTCCACATACTTTCCATTTAAAAGTTTTTTTAGAGCAAGTAAAAAATCGTTTTATAAACCTTGAAAGTTCTATGAAAACTTAATATCCGACTGAATAAAAATTTCCTTACAACATATCTGGCCCATTTTAAAGAGCGGTGGTCATAAATCTTTTGTTTATCCCGAAGCGTGAAAAAAAGGCGTTATCCCGCTTTTAATTCAAAAGACATCGAGTTTTTCAGTGTAATGACACACAACAGCGGACCAGAAAGTTTTTAACCTGCTCGTTTCAGTTATGTTTTCCCTACAATTATAGAATTTGAAAATTCAGATATGTTAGAGTTTCGTGTGTGAGCTTTTAAATTAGTCCATGGTATAATTATTGCAGGTGATTTGACTCTATAGTAATACTAGTGTCAAATCCGAATTGACGTTTTGTGGTTTAATTCCATTTCTAGGTACACTTTTTTTCCATAGGTATACACTTTTTTATATAAAATTTTACTGCAGTTCAATGTGAACACAATGTTAGCTAAAAATAAAAAAAATGCCAACGGCAAATGTTTCGCGGTTAAGGAAGGAAGTCGGGTATTTTATGTTTTATAAATCTGAAAAATGTAGAAAACTTTATGTATATATGCAGTTTGGTTTCAATTTCAAAGGGGATGTTGCCTTTTCCACAATTTCCCAGCGATTGCTTGAAGTTTTGAAAGATTTGGACCTACAACTAAAAACTATACATTCACAGGAATGATATGAAAGCATTAAAATCAAACATTTTAGAACTAAAAGAACTGCATTTTCAATTTAATAATCCAAATTCCAAACATCAACATTTTTATACCCTCCACCATTCTATAGAGGGTATATTAGCTTTGTCATTCCGTTTGTAACTCCTTGAAGTACTCATAATAGTCCCTACAAAATATATTTATTCTGGATCAGCGTAAAATTCTAAAACGATCTAGCGATGTCCGTCTGTCTGTCGTCTGTTGTAATCAAGCTATCTTTCGAGCGAATTGAGATAAAGGACTAAAATGTTGCATACATGCATAGTTTACCAGTAGGCAGGTTAAGTTCATAAATGGGATATGTCGGTCCACATTTTCGTATAGTCCCCATATAACGATACCTCCCGATAGTCGGTATTTTGATGATTTCAGCAACATTATTTACCGGAATCGTTTCAAATTTCGTATTTGAAGTTTGTAATGGATACTACAGCCTATGGCATACATTTTTGTATGCAGGTCCACGTCTTCGTATAGCCCCCATATAACGGTAGCTCCCGATATTCGGTATTTTGATGATTACAGCAACATTATTCACCGGAATTGTTTCAAATTTCGTATTGGAAGATCCTAATGGGTACTACAACCTATGTAAAAAAATTTTGTATGCAGGTCCACGTCTACGTATAGCCCCCATATGACGGTACCTCCCAGTACTCGGTATTTTCATGATTTTTGCGACATTATTCACCGGAATTTTTATCAAATTTCGTATTTAAAGCTCGCAATGAGTACTACAGCCTATGACAAAAAAAAGTCGTGTGCAGGTTCACGTTTATCCCTCATATAACGGTACCTCCCGATATTCAATATTTCAATGATTTTAGCGACATTATTCACTGGAACTGTTTCAAATGTCGTATTAGAAGTTCGTATAGTCCCCATATAATGGTTTTCAATTAAGTAATAGTTTTAATTTTTTTGTAAGTTCCTTGCAAATGGTGGAGTGTATTAAAAGTTCGGACCGGTCGAACTTGGTTGCTTTTTTACTTGTTGAAATTATAATAATTTATTGAAAATTATTTGTTTTGTTTACATATTTGGGCATATACCTCGGTATTACGTAGAAAAACAAATTTCTGTGGGTAACACTTGCTGTTGCCTGTATTCTACCGTGAAATCAGTCGTTAAAATTATGGTACAATAAACAGGTAAGGTAGAGCTAGCAGCTGTAATTTTTTTCTAAGTGTGCCCAACTTCTGCCAATTTTGTACATGTATTCATTGTTTTGAAAATACAAACAAAATATTTTTAAAATCAATTATTAAAGAAACGCGCATTGCAGATATTAACCAGTTTTGCCACAGAACTGAAAGATTGAACAGTTTGGAGAACATTTTTGAAAGAACAACCAGACATCTCATTCATTTTTCGCGCTTTTTAACTCACTTAAAAAATGAGAAAAAAAAATATGAAATAAATTAAAACAACTTGTTGCGCATAATTTTGAGTAATTCTGATAAGAAGCGGGCATAGCCTCGGGGCTGTATTTCTGTAATTTTACAAAGCTGTTCTACCTCCTTATTGTGCCATGGTTAACATAAACTTATTAGAACATTACATATGTGTATGAACACTTTTAAATTATCCGAAAGGACCTGTAGGATTATTTTTTTTTAACAAATTTACGACAAAATTACAATGATATATTCATATCATTGTAATTTTGTTAAACCAGAATTGTTAACATAAAGTTTAAATTACAGTTTCGTAGCACAGAATTTGAAGCCCTGGCCTTATCCTCGTCGGCTCTGGATTACCTTATAATACTTGAGAGCTTAGACAAGCATACATAATGTAACTTACATGCAAGAGACATCAGCCACTTGATATTTTTCTTTATCTTTCCTAAGAATCTAAGCATCTCTCTTCAAATACCTAATGCTAGGTAGCACATGAGACGACTAATCATTGTAAAAAAAACTACTATCAAAACTTTTTAAGCAGAAAGTGTCAATAAATGTGAAGAAAAAGAATGATCCTATAAAACGAAAAAAAAACTAAAATGAAATACTTTTTCACCGAAAACAAAAACACATGTATCATACATAAATGCAAAACAAACAAACAAACGAATCTTTCACTTTTTTTCTTATACATTTTTACAATGCATTAAGGAAACATAATTCACGCTCACTGCTTAGATATAAATAATCATTGCAAATAAATTGAAAACAAAAAGAGAAAACAAAAATCACTTATACACCAGATATTTTATTCTTATATGCAAACATATTCGTCTGTAGAAAAGCGAAAATGTTTCGGGCATTTGTACTCCTTGTTTTACTAACATTTACATGATCTAAAAAAACAATTTCTTTCTTTTAAAGTGCAACTTTAGTTGGGAATTTTAGTTTTTCTTCTTTTGTATTTTATACAAAAACAAAATATATATAAAACATTTTATACTTCAGTATATCACTATATATTTTAAATTTCCTTCAAAAAAATACAATACACAAAAAGCATTTAATTTTTTAGTTATATGAAAGAAATTAAATCGTATATAAAAAACAATTTGTTTAAAAAAAAATATATCATAAAACTTAGCTAAAAAACATTAAGTTATTTTTGTATCATTATTATTATTATATTATTATAAAGAACATTATTAACGTTATCAACAATTTAAAAAAAAAAAACTTCAACATGACATTTACATATTTTATTTACTTTTCAAAATGAATTTCTTCTGTATAAAACTTAAATGGTTTTTGTAGAGTTTCCACACTTCCATTAACAATATTTGCCTCTTTTTCCTTTATTCATCCCTCCTCATTCTATTGCATTAACACCATCTGTGTCCACTTTAATTCTTGTTTAAATTTAAGTTTAATGTTTTGTATGTCCCTCCTTTTATATACATATTTATATTTGTTTTTGCTTATTTTATTAACTAACCAAACTTAAAAATATTCAAAAAAGGAAAATAATAACGCCATTTGTAAAAACTTAAGTGATAGCTATTTAAAAAAAAAAAGAAATACATATATGTTTTGTTTATTTAATAAAAAGTCTTTCACCTTTCGCAAAAAATCAATCAACATTTAAACTAAAACAAAAATTTGATTAGTAACGACGCGCATTGAATTACAATTAAAAATGAAACATAATTCATATAAATTTTAATACATAAGCCCCACAAAAAAAAATAAAAACATCAAGAAACCCAAACAACAACCACAAACAAACAATTATAAACATTTATATAAGAGAAACGTAAATTGAAACATATAACTTATATAAATAATTAACACAAAGATAAACAAGATTATATATTAATAAAAAGAAATAAATAATAATTAAAACGTAAATATAATAACAATATGAACACACAAAAAATGAATAATTACATTTTGAAGTAAATAAAAATACAATTTATATATCGGAATATTTTTCGTTGTTGTTTTCTTTTTTTTCACAAATATTCTAAGGTTGATACACAGACAATTAAAAAATCGGGCCGAACTTTGAATATCCTTCACAATTTGGTAGAATATTAAAATATAAAACACAAGTAATATGGTATTAGTCGGTTTTGCCGACAGATGTATACCCCCAGCATTGACTTATGATTATTCAAACTGTTGACTCTTTATCGGAGAGGTTCCAAAGCAGTTGGCCAATATTGACCAATACGTAGCTTACCTAAGACTGATATAAATATTAAAACGTGACAGATTTGGACTATATCGACTACTTTCTTCACTTTATATGAGATATGTGTAAATTTTTGGAAATCGAACATTTATATCCAATTTTGTGCGAAATCATAAATTTCGATAAAATACATATTCATATCAGATTTCTTGTTAAGCAAAATATTTAGATATAGCAAGTTGTAAAGAATCACCAACTTGTTTCGCAGTTATGACATATATAAATATTGGAAATTGTTACCCTTTGTGGGTGTGGTACCAGAAGGGTTTAGCAGATATCATCTTCACAACAGATCTTGCATTAGCAAAAATATTTGGATGTGTGAAATTTGAGGAGATGTATGGATTTGAATGGTTATTTTGCTTTCTTTGAGCGTTATGATTTTCAAAATCTTGACCCTTTTGGGGGAGGTACCAGAAGGAGTGGACCGATATATCTCATTTTCACACCAGACCTTGGGCTAATAGAAATAATGGGATGTGTGAAATATGAAGAGAACCTTATGCTTATTTCGTTTTGTTTATTCAAAATTTTAACCCTTTGTGGGGGATGAACCAAAAGGAATAGTCCTACCATCTTTATGACACATATTGTGTTGATAGAAATATGGAGATGTGCCAAGTCTAAATGAAATCGGATATTAATTTCGCGTTATGTGAGCTTCATAGAAATTCACAAATTGTGACCCTTTGTGGGGGAGGTTCCAAAAGGAGTGGACCGATATATTCCATCTTGACGCCAGACCTTGGGTTAATTAAGATATTGTGATGTGTGTAGTTTGAAGATCGCACACTTTCATTACATTTTATTCAACATTTTGACCCTTTGTGGGAGAGGTACTTGATTGATTTTGTACATTTTCGCACCTGACCGAGAACTGATGTAAATATTAGGATTTGCAAAGTTGTAGCAAAATCGAATAATCTCTTTCTGTGCAGTTTTATTTAGAAATTTCGACCATTTGCCCATCTCCAAACTCGGCCTAAGTTTAACGATAATATTACGATGTACCAAGTTTGGACCAAATCGGATACTTCCTTCGAAAGTTATCGTGTGCACTAGCCAGACAGACAGACGGACATCGCTAGATCGACTCCAAATGTCCTGAAACGGATTTGTTCCAAAGAGACCTAGGGTCTAAAACCATTATTTCGATGAGACACGTTTTGGCCGTATCAAATGATTTATATATAATTATTGACATTTATAAAAATTGTTAAAAATGCATATCATAACAACCTACGATGGGCGTCGACGAGGAAAACATATTATTTTGAAGAAACATTTAAACATTTTTGACATATCAATGTTCTCAAGCGTTGATGCATCCATGGTACAATAAGGAGATTGAACAGCTTAGTAAAACTTCAGAGGCTATACCCGCTTCCTGTCAAATTTGCATGCAACAAGTAAACAGTAGGAAAAATTAATAAAATGCCTGGAATTTCAAAAATATGATCTAAACCATAGCACAATAAGGAGGTAGAATAGCTTCGTAAAACTACAGAAATACAGTCCCAAGGCTTTCTGTCAGACTCATTCAAAATTATATACAATAAGTTGTCTTAATTTTTTTATATATTTTTCCTCATTTTTATGAATTCTCTCAAAAAGTATAATCTTTCAATTTCATGGTTAAACAGGTTAATAGCTTTATTGCACGAGCCTCAATGTACGTGTCTTCCTATCTTTGGTTTTGAAAATATTTTGTTTTCATATCTTAAAACAATAAATACATACCCAAAATTGGCAGAAGTCGGGCACACTTAGAAAAAAATGCAATTAGCTGGTAGCTCTACCTTACCTTTTTTGTACCATGGATGTATCTACTTGTATTCTTTACCATGTTATTTCCCATGGTAGAAGCATGGTACAATGAAGAGAAGGTAGGTCAACTTTGAAAAAATTGCAAGTATAGAGGTCTACCTGTTTGGCTTGTAATGTCAGAATTACTATCAAAACAATAAAAAAGCAAACAACTTGTTGCATTGATTTTGAATAAATAATTTAAAACCGCAAAAACTGAATGAATAGTCAAAATTTCTTTTCAATATCATGTTCTATATATCTTGTATGGTTTATTTCGCGACAAAAACTGTAAATTTTGTAGATGCATTCGTTGCAATAAGCATTTTGAAAACACCCGAATTTGAATATTTTCTAAACATTTTTTTATTATTGAAAAGAAAACACACACATAAGCAAATGAAGTTGACATATTAAGCCAGAAAAATAAAAAAATTTAAATCATATGGTAGTTCTGCCCTACCTTGAATTCATTGTACCATGGGTAGAAGAATATAGGTAAACGCGTCGACACAGCTACTGGGACAATGACCTGTCAAACCAATTTTGTAATTGAAAATGTTGAAAGAAAAATTATTTATATTTATACAAATTGTTGAAAAATGCATATCATAACAACCTCCAATTGGCGTCATATAAGAAAATTTATAAAAATCAATTTCTGTTCCCAAGCGTTGATGCATCTACCTGTATTCTTCTACCATGTTATTTCCTGATGCTAAGAGTGCGTCTACATAGAAATCTATATCTGGGTTATGTGGCGTTTCTACTGCACTTGATTCGCTCTCTATTCGTTGTTTGACCCTTAACTATGAAAAAACTACCTAATTCTGCACACAAAATTTCCTGAGCGAACACTCATATTTGTACGTTGTTCAAATCAAATCACTCTCAGAACAACGAAAAAATATGTCCCATCCCTAACAAATGAGAGCATTTATCGAAAAAATAAATTATGACATTTAACAATTATAAATAGAAAAATTTAATGAAATTTTGAAAAATTTTGGGAAGACTGAAATTTATGAATGAAAACTACAATGTAGAATAGCGTATGTACATTCAAACGAAAGTAAATTTTGTTTTCTCTCTCATCCGAGGTACGCATTTTGTCCACGAGTTGAAATTACCACAGAAAACAGGAAACAAAAGAGGCAATATTTTCAAAATGTTTGTATCGGCAGAAAAAATGTTTGACAAGTGTCTCTCCAGCAGAATTTAAAAATAGAAAAATACAAAAATATGTTCAAAATGTCAACATTTACACAAAAAGTTGGAAACGTGAATGAAAATTATAAAATTAATGTTTTAATAAATCTTTGGGAGAAAAATAATAATTTCTTCTATCCATATTAGTGAGAATTTAATGTATTTTAGTATAAACTCCCATTAAAATCAACAAACAAAATTTTGAAAAAAGGAATTATTTTACTATGAATTACGAATCGTGCCGTATGAACGGGTTAATTCGTGTACCTAATTCTGAGAGCGAACAACGTTGTTCGGTTTCCAATGGAAACATGCTATTAGTCCTTGTAATCACAATAAACAATCGTCACAATCATGGTAGAAGAATATAGGTAGATGCATCAACGCTTGGGAACATTGGTATGTCAAAATTTTTAAAATGTTTTATGAAAAATAATTGGATTTTTAAATGTTTTTTTTTTTTTTTATACGACGCAAATCAAAGGTTGTTGTAATATGAATTTTTCAACAATTTTTACAAATTTTAATAATTTTTCATTCAAAATTTTCAATTACAATATCGGTTTGACAGTTCATTGTCCCAGCAGCTGTCGATGCGACTACGTGTATTCTTCTACCATGGTCACAATTAATACGAAAGATTGTGTGTGTAAACGCGCTATAACGTACATTTAGTTCAGGGAACTAGAATGAACTAGATTTCATTGCTCTTTTCAATGGAACGTTTAATCGAACTGGCTCAGTAAGGAACTATAAATCTCTATCGATAATCAAAATACTACGGACATATTAAGCTCTTCCATTTGTTTATAACAAAAAAGAGTTTCATTATTTTATTTAATAACAGAGTACTATCATATTTTGGTGCTAACAATGGCATCGGTTAAACAATATGTCGTTCTCTTGCTCGCCGTTGTATCATTTATTTATACCTTGTACGTGGTAACTCATTTAGTAAAATTTTTGTCAGCGCCTCGAAAAACTTCAAAAATCTATACATGGGTCTTCAATTTGCTGGATAACAAGTCACGTCTGGAGACAGCGTATGGGCCGATGGTTTTCAACACCCTGTATCTGATACTTTTCATATTCCAGCATAGCTTTATGAAATCATCTTGGGCGAAGAAAGTATTTCAATCGATTGGATTAGCATCGGCTGAGCGGGCTATTTATAGTTTGACATCATCGTTTTGTTTACATGTATGTACCTTGTCGCAGCATACTACCACAGTTTTGTATTTAATGAATGTTTTGAATTTCTGTCTTTTAGTATTTAATGAAAAATTGGATAACAGCATCATCTATAATTTTGTGGCAAGTAGATGTCGATGCATACAAATGGTTATGGTGGTCATTTGTTTTGTTGCACGCATTTGCGTGGATGATTATTTGTGGTGGCAGTATGATAATGGACTTGCCAGAAATTATTGGAATTAAGCAGGTTTGTTCGGAACTGTTTTAGTGGAAAACACAATTTTCTCTTACAAATTTTCTTTTCAGGCCTACTACGATATTAAGTCTTATGCCCAACCCTTGGCATACAAATCGTTCGAGCTGAGACATCTGTTTTCACATGTCCGGCATCCATCCTTTGTTGGTTTGACAGTGATCTTGTGGGCCACAAATCTTATGACCTTAGATCGTTTGCTTTTGGCGGTAATGTTAACTGCATACATGTACTTCGCTTGGTCCACCGACCACAGTGATCTGATTTATCAAAAATGTCAGTTGCAGCGCAAAAAAGAAGAGCTGAAATCTCATTAATGGTTTATTACATATCATAACACATTTAACATATTTTAAGAGAAACATTATCCCCTCCATTTGAATCACTGAATATTTTAACGTCTAATTTTTGTTAGATCACCACTACATCGCTTATTATAACGTAAAATAATACTTAAAACTTTTGATAAATAAATAATTAAATACAACTAACAAAATTAGTATTTATTTTGAAGTTATTACAAAGAAGCATATGCAGAGAATATACCAGAATAAACCAAATGCGAGGCTTTTTCTAGCAGAGCTTTTCCCAGAAGATTGTGGGACATCTCTTCTGAATGATGTAACACCTTATTAAGGCAATTTTACACCTTATATTGGAAATTTTGAGATATATAGGGAAATACACAAATGTGAAAGCACATATGTATAAACTATTTCATCTGAAAATGCCGTAGGGCGTTACACTAGTCAGACGAAAGGCTTAAATTGAGTTTAGCACCATAATCGAAATTCAAAATGCAGGTAGATTTTCGTATCCCGATTACAACAACAAAACATTTTCGGGAAGTGAGTCCATACTTCCTGAAATATAGGGTTCCAAATTTTAAGAAATGCCCTCCTTATATTTTGTCGGTTATTTGAAAAATATTAAATTTAAGCAAACTTTGGTTCCCGAAGCCGTGGTTGGACATACCTCAGAGGAGAAAATCTCAAGCCCTGGCCGAAGGTCGGCTGATTTAAAAAGCTTTGGTTCGCGATACTGGTGTTGGACATTCATCAGAGGTGAAAATCTAAAGCCCTGATCGAAGGCTGGCAACTTTAAAAACCCCAGAGAAGAACATCTCAAGCCCTTTGTTTTGAACTCTATATTTCGGAAAGTATGGATCCACCTCCCGAAAATGTTCTGTCAGGGTACAACAACCTACCTGTAGTGACATTGTTAAGTTTTTATTTCGATTATTGATTAAGATATAAAAAAGTATCTCGGAAAATATTGATTTCCCAAAAAAAATTATGTCGCTGGGATTAGGATAACAAGACCCACCTTCAGTAAAAATTTCATAATTTTTCGCCAGCTGGAATTAAATTCTATTTGTTCCTTTTGACATTAAGTTTGATAGTCTGCGGGCTTGGAAGGGAGCCTTATTCTTGGACAATGGCGTATATGGGCCATAGGGTACAAAATATAAACAAACAGCCACCAAAATGTAAAGAAATTTTGACAATTGTTTTTGATTTTGTTTAAAAAATTAAAAACACTAGATGCATTTTTCTAGTTCATTTAGTCGCATCGACACAGCTCCTGGGACAATGTACTGTCAAACCAAATTTGGAATTAAAATTTTTGAATGAAAAATTATTCAATTTTGTTAAAATTGTTAAAAAATGCGTAAACAAAAAATAAAAAAAATCTACTTATTTTTGAAAAAAAAACTAGACATATTTGACATATCAATGTTCACAAGCGTTGATGCAACTACTTGTATTCTTCTACCATGGATGTTACGATGAATTCATGTTAAAAGAATATAGGTAGATGCATCAACGCTTGGGAACATTGATATGTCAAAATTTTTAAAGCGCTTTGTCAAAAATAAGTAGATTTTTATATGTTTTCTTATACGACGCAAATCGGACGTTGTAATGATATGAATTTTTCAAAAATTTTTTACAAATTTCAATAATTTTTCATTCACGATTTTCAATTTCAAAATCGCTTTAATAGTTCATTATCCCAGCATCTGTGCCGATGCGACTACCTGTATTTTTCTACCATGCATGAATTGTATGTTTGACCTAGTTATTGCTTAGTTCTATGCACTAATGGGTATTTTGTAAATGCGTTTAGTGTAGTACATGAATTCAGTCTATCCTGCCCTTTTTAGAAGTTGTGATCGTTTTTTAATTTTGTTTTTAAGTTACTAAATAGAAGACTTACTTCCGACTTGAAAATGAATAACACCACTAACTTTTATTGCTGCACTTTTTGTGCCCAGAGAAGTAAAGCCGTTCCGACGAAACTAAAATATGAAAGCACTGATATTTCCAAAGGACAAAGGGTTATAATTGCAGAGATGGTCAAGATTTTTTGCATAGATATTATTCAAGTAAATAAAATGCATACATATATTGGTTTTTCAATGATGAACTAATAACTCTTCCCATAGTTATTTTTAGACGACAACTGGTCTATATGCGATAAATGTTTAACACAACTTAAAAGTTGTTTCGAATTTGGGCAACAAATAAAAGAATCGGTAATATTGTTGAGAAAGACTAATGAGGCAGAAGAAAAAGTTCAACACAGCACCACGACGATAATCCCCAATGAAATTACTGGCAAGAAACTAAAAACCAACAAACGTGAAAGGGAAAACGCGAGACCCATTTTACCAAAAATTTCAAACGCAACAGAAGCAACTCCAAAAATTTGCAAAGCAGAAAATAACACTCCTCGGGTGTACAGATGCTTGGAATGTGAGCAAACTTTTAGTTCATATAAACACCTAAAAGCTCATGAAAAGGATTGCAGTAATGAAACGAAAATAGCAGGCGTTTCTATTTGCAAATTTTGTCATTTATGCTTTAAAGATGACAAGACACTTGCAAATCATCAAAGTCTGCTGCACAACAAGCAGCAATTCTCCTGTTGCATATGTAAGGGTAAATTTTTCGCTTCCAAAGGATATCTCACAAGACACATACATGATGTACACAGCCATACGCACCTTCATTACTTCTGTGGAGAATGTGAAGAAATAACTTCAATGTCTACCGATGAACATATTAAATCTCATTTTGATGAATTTCATTCATCGAAGGCTGACAGAGCCATACAACATGAGGACCACGAAACACTGAATGAAGATGACATGGATTTAGAAATGCATGAGGAATTTTTGGATGAGTTTCTACTGGCTCATACTAATGAGAATTCATTCCAATTTTCTGAATGTTGGGAGGCTTTAGATCTACATCTACCCGAAATGCTTCATGACAATCCTACAGACAACCAAAACAATGGAAAACACACTGATGCATTTTTTTGCCCCAAATGTTTAGAGAGATTTCACAAAATGCCTATACTGCTTCGGCATTTGATTGAAACCCACAAACTATCTTTATTATTATGCCAATCATGTAAAAAAACATTTTCCGCCATTAGAGATTACCAGCTGCATAAAAGGACAAAGTGCATTGAAAACACCGAGGCCGCATTTATACATTGTCCATACTGCACTAAGGAATTCAACTCGACTTTCAACCTTAAACAGCATATTCGCAGTATTCACACACAGTTTAAGAAACACATTTGTCAATTGTGCGATAAACAGTTTGCAACATTGGACCATTTGAAAAAACATGTCCTTAGTTTACATCAAAATGAACGTAAACATGAGTGTCACCTCTGCTCAAAGCGTTTCACACAACTGTGTCACTTAAAACAGCATTTGGCTATTCACACGACAGGAAAATCGATTCAATGTACACAATGTTCAGAGAAATTTTGGCGGAATATTGATATGAGGCGTCATCAACAAAAACGCCATAATTTTCGTGAAGAAATCTCTGCATTAAGGAAAGGAACTGAGTTGGAGTCCAGCTGATATTTTTCACAAAAACCATTCGGATTTCACAAAAAATAAACATTTTATTGTTAATATTATCAAGTGGCTGAATTTTTGATTTGAGTTACTTGACGAGAAATTTATTAACTGAGGCCTCGTTTTAAATACCTTCAATTTCCCACCAGAAATTCTTCATGGTAATCTTACAAAGTCCCAAAACCATAAAAAACGCACGCATGAATTTTTTATATCCAAATACCTATTTTGGAGGGTTTCACAAAATGTAGACATAGTTTTGTCATTCGATTAAAAACACTTTCCAATTGTTTGATAAACTGTTTTCGAAACTAGACTATGTGCAGAATTATGACCTCAGCCTACGTCAAAATTATTGCTATGTTCGATTTTGACGCATTTTTTTACATGACTGGAAAATTGTCCCAAAAAATTGGTCAAAATATAGATATGAGAAACCAAAATCAAAAACACTACAAAAACTCTAAACCTCTCAAATGACTGTATTTTCCGCTTGGAATCACCTGACTATGACTACTCATGGTGATACAAAATGAAACACATATTAAATAAATTATTTTATTCAGGCATGTCACAGAATGTAAAATCGTTCAAGAGTGAAAACGAAAACGGTTTTAGCTTCTCTAAAAAACGGAAAACGCAAAAATTTTGCGTTTTGATATCACTTTCAAAAAGCAGGGTGAAATTGAAATGTTTAGTGATTTTAACGTAAAAAATAAACAGAAGACACATACATTTAACAGAAAATATTGTATTAACCAAATTCTCTTAGAATGAACATGTTTTTGGAATTTATTTTACAAAAAATTTATTATTTTTCTAATCCATGATGAAAAGTAATTAAAAGGACTTGCGAGGAACTGGTGGTGGTGATATCAATCAATATGTTTTCAGTGAACACGAGAACAGTTTAATAAGAATTTGCGGATTGTATAAAAGTGTCGATGGAGTTGGTGGTGCAGTAAGCTTTGCGGATTTTGTAAGTGAATTAGATCTCAGTTGTTCTGAAAAAGAAAACTTTGATTCGTCATCACCTACACATATTCCAAGAACTCGAAAATCAAGTCAATTAGTTTTACGTGAATCTGAAAACGAAGAGCTTAATTTTTCACCCTCAACTTCAAAGCAGACCACTTCGATTTAAATAAAAAAGATAGACCAAGATCATGCATTCCAGCTGCTTTTAAAAATGTTTCTACATTGGCAATTGATCCAAGAACACCAACATTGGAAGAAAACCGTTCGCGAACACCTATTCAAAAACGACTTAGAAATAAAAGCTTATCGTGTTCTCCGCCATCTACACCAATAAGACAAGTGTCGGGTAGCCTAACAAAAGCAAAACCCACGCCTGCAGTAAAAAGACCCCGGGCAAGAACTCCCTCAAAGCAAGATCTAAATGCGCTTTTAGTTGAGGAAAATTCTCATTTACAAAACTTGGAAAAAAATTTGTAAAATTCTAGAAGATAACAGTAAGGAAATGAAAAAACAAACTGAAAAGTTGGACAGACTTTGTAACATCCTGGAAAAAAAGTATGTGGAAGAGCAGTTACATAATATTGAAATACAAAAGAGAATGCGTGAACGGAACGAAATGAAACTCAAAATAGTTGAACTTGAAACTCTTAAATATGCTGTAGAACAGGAAAAAGCAAATACGACTCGTTCTTAACTTTACATTATTTTACACAATGGACTAAAAATGGTGGATCCTTACTCTGCATTTGAGTGAGATAAAGGATCTGATGCGTTCCTCAATGTCCGGCGACGAATTTTTTCAGTAGACCGCTGATTTATTTATTCATCCATTACAGCAAGTATTGAAGCCCCTGGCATTTTTACTTTTGGTGTTTATATTATAAAAAACAATTTAAACTCCTTTTTTAATTGTCAATAATTTGTTTACGACTTTTTTTTTCATGGAGTTACCATATTTTTATTTCAAAAATGTGAAATGATTTTTTTTCCGGAATAGTCAAAACGTACGAGTGCTGAAGAAGCAAAAGCAAATCGTAACGATTTGGAAAAGGTGAAATAAATCGATTTCGTAAAACTTCTGTGACATGCCTGATTATTATCGTTTTTTTTTTTTTTTTTTTTTGTCAACATTTTTATAGATAAAAATTCATATCATATTGCATTAATTGTTTAAATATTTTTTAAGGCAGCGACATATTCTTTCGGCTGCATCAATTAGCTTATCTTTACTGTGAAAAGCTATAGATAGTCGGAAACTATTGTCTCTCTTGTCCGGATGAAGTGCAAATCTTGATCCAACTATGAAAAATATTTTTTCTTCTTCCATACACATTTTAAGGAACTCTGATGCTTTGCCATTCTCTCCCAAAGATATCCATATAAAATAGCCACCTTCTGGAGTTATTATTTGACAGCCAGCTGGCAAGTCTCTTTCAAACACTTCACAGGTGGCTAACATGCGTTCCTTGTATGCATCAAACATACGCTGAATATGTTGCTGGGCTAATCCCAGCTGGAATAAACTTGCCACTATGCCAGATGTGTAGTTATTCAGACAGCCACCGCTATTGATAAATCCACTACATCAAAAAAAAAAGTTAAGAGAAAAGACTTTACATTGCTATTTACATTATTACCTTGAATCCAATAATGTTTTCATTCTCCTTGGTACTTCCATCCAGCCCAAACGCACGCCTGGTCCCAAAATTTTTGAAAAACTTCCGTTTGATATGACATGGCCTTTATAATCGGCATCATCTTTTGCGTCATAAGCGAACAGTCTTTTTTGAACTTTCATTCCTTTATAGCATAAAATGTTATAGACATCATCACAAGATATAAGAAAATCATATTTCCTCGCCAATTTGACCAAGGCTTCACATACTTCAGGGGAAAAGTGTATACCAGTTGGATTGTGATATGTTGGTATCGTATAGTACATGGCCCAGAATTCTTTTTTCTCGCTTTTAAATTGTTTTTCTTTCAATTGCTGTTCAAGATCGTCTAAATCCACTCCATTCTTATTTAATTTCACTGACACAATATTGAGCGTTTGGAATTGTTTCATACAATCCAATGCTAGCATATAGGTATATTCGTCTACAAATACGTAACCATTTAAATCCACCAACGTTGAGAGTATTAATTGTAATCCTTGCGTGGCCCCGCTGGTTATGATCAAATCTTCACTAACAAATAGAAGAAATATTCCATACTTAATTTGTGTTGTATAGATTTTTTTTAAGAAGGAACTACATATTTAAGATACAGCGTAATTTCTTAGAGCGACAAAGGGTTTGACCATTTTGAATTTTTTTGAAAAATACCTTCGAAACGAAATTTTTACAAATTGCCTTATAAAACTTACCATTTTACTTCAGATCCATACATTTGTGTAAAATATTTAGCAATCTCAAATCTTGCTTCATAAATGCCAGAAGTGGGTCCATATTGAAAAAGCATAGACAAATTTTCTTCCTTATCAATTTTCTGCAAATGAATTATTTATAAATTGGCTTAGATTTTCATTAATTATAATACAAACCATACGATGCTCCGTGGCTTTGCAAAATATATCCCCACAGTATTGAAGTAAATCAGTGCCAGGGGCTCCAACTCCCAAATTTAGCAACTTCGACTGATAAACATTCCACTCTGTGCCATCGAACAGATTTGTTAATTTTCGTTCCTCGTTAAGCAAAGACATGGTTAATACAAATGACAACTGCAAAGTTAAATGCTTGAAATAAGTCAGAGAATAGACAATTCTTGGAATGGTTTGGGGACCTTTGTGGAAAACAAGTATGTATATAGACTTTGGTTTTGTGGTTTTCCTTTCGTTTCTAATCTGTTAATAAAGAATGTGCCATAACTATTATCATGTCACATTTGACTGTACGTACATACGTAGATATGTATTTAAGTTTAAAGTAATGGCTTCATGATATAGCACAATCACACATGTATCTTATCGTGGTCATATTTTTTTATATTTGATTTTAATGACTACAACAAACAAGGGAATAGCGACCTTTTTAAATGGATTATAGTATTTTGTTGAATTAATTAAGAATATGTTTCAATTATGAGTTTTCTCTCTGCTCTATTTTGAAAATACATAGACCTCAAACTTAAATGCATTGTTGTTTTAATGTGCAATAATTATTATTATATCATATTAGTTAAATATAAATACAAGCTTTATCGTTTACGCGAACCGCATCTTATCGAGGCTGTATTTATGTTTATTTCTGTTAATTTAAGATTTAAAAACTTTGAGTGTCGATGTATGTATGTTTGTTATGTTATAGTCAATTCATGACAGCCGTTTGTGATTTTTTGTCATATGACTTTGCTTTTTTAAATACAACGTTCGTTTAAGGCAGGAATCATGGTAGAAGAATATAGGTAGACGTATCGACGCAGCTGCTGAGACAATGAAATGTCAAACCAATTTTGGAATTGAAATGTTGAATGAAAATTTTTTTAAATTTGTAAAAATTGTTGAAAAAGCCATTTTATAATAACCTCCGAATGACGTCGTATAAGAAAACATATAAAAAGCTACTTATATTTGAAAATAAATTAAAAAAATTTTGACATATCAATGCTCCCAAGCGTTGATGCATCTACCTGTATTTTTCTACCATGGCAGGAATATAGAAAGCATCTGATTGTATGTCGATGAATGAGAAGAAGAAGAGTTGGAAGTGATTACAAGAAGAAATTTGTCCAGCAAGAATTTGCAAACTCTCACTGAAAGAACTGTCAACATTTCTCTCTCCAACCGCTCTCTTTTGCAGAACTTTCGGGTTAACTGACGACTTCCAGTAACAATTTGTAACAATTGTTACAAATTTTAGGGTAACCAGACACACCTATTGTTATTTTATTGCTAATTTCCTTTTTATTTATAAAACTCTTAAAATTGGTGGTGCTTCCTTTTTTTAATTCTTTTAATGGGGGACAAATTGGACGATCTTGTGCCGGGACTTGAGATTTTCTCCTCTGGGTATGTCCCACATCGGCTAACGCTAACTAAAGTTTTCTAAACTTGAGACATATGAAATAAACCTTTTTTATTGAAAACATAATTTTAATGAAATGGTTAGAATCAGGTTATGCGGATGGAATGATCCATATATCTGGATGGAATGATCCATATATCTGGATGGAATGATCCATATATAGCAGAAATTGTAGCAATTTGGAAAGGTATGACTGTCAGTAATAATTTGGCATCAATCTGATTGACCCTCATAATGGACCCTTTTTCGACTTTTTGGAGGTTTTATAAAAAATCCGGGACCAAAAAATCGATAATTTGACAATAACTTCCGAACCCCATAATGTGACAACTTGTTGGATAGGTATTTTCATAAGCTTTCCAACAATACATATATAGCGGGTAATTGGATCCGGGTCTAGTCGGGGTCTTGAACCCGGATTTTTGGGTCAAAACTCTGTGGTCCCAGGTCCGTCTCCCAATAAAAAAAATTGTTTCCCGAGATCAAGTTAAATATACCTATCACTGGAAAAAATTTCGATGATGAGTTTTTACTAAACTAGAGTTAAGCCAAGAAAAATTAACAATAAACATGTAGGGCCTCAAAACGCACTTGAGAACCCCCTGCATGACCGCACCCCCTGAGTTTGTGTGGAACCCCACCAAAAGGCCGCATAGGATGAATGGAACAATATGGCATTTTTTACTTACCAGCGGTCTGTAAGAAAACAATTCGTAATAATTGGTCTGTTCCAGAATCTCAAGAACGCCGGAGATTTAAAAACGATAACCGATTTTCCATTCATGATATCGAAAAATTGCAAATGCTCTGTTCCAGAACCTGCAAGAATGTACTAATTTTGCAATATTTTTCGATGTTATAAACGAAAAAATAGGTTATCGTAATAAAAAGTTTTACATTCTTGAAGTTCTGGAACAGACCAAGAACTAGTAGTATATTCTCTTAGATTCTTGAAATGTAGTCCTTATCTTTATATAATCATTTGGATTGACTTCAAAAAATAAATAAAAATACTAACTCATATTGTAAACTTTGCATTTCTTTAGTTTCAATATTTGCATATTCTTTAAACAGTGACCTCCTCCTATCTTTTCTCGCACTACCCCCCAACTGCAAGAATGTAAGAGTTTTCACCACGATAACCTATTTTTCGTTTATAACATCGAGAAATATTACAAAAAAATAATTTTCCCTTTATAATATCGAAGAAAATTGCAAAAGTAGTAGATTCTTGCAGTTACTGGAACAGACCATAAGATTTATTTGCCATATATCTGGTAAGTGGCATTTACTGTATTTATTCGATAACAAAGATACATTCACTCTCGATATTTTTCGATTACTTTATGTCGATATTGTATCTAAATAAAAACAAAACACAGCGTAAAAGTGACTTGTAAACATCCAATAATCTATCAAAAATGTCCAATAACAATGAAGGATCAATCACAAACCCTGGATCTCAAATCCAGCATCCAGAACAACAGACATCACATAACCCACAATTGGATTCACCAATCCGAGGACCAACATTATCAACTAGTACTAGTAGTTTTGAAGCTCTTGACCCCCATGACCCCAACTTAAGTAAACTGGCAACGAAAATGTTTCGTAAAACGGAAGAATATATAACTAACGAACTGCAGGCACCCATTGAAGACTATCAGCTATTGGAGAATATGAATCGAGCAACAATTGGAAAATATTCAGATATGAGGCAAATAGCACAAAATTTGGCAGTTTCTACAGCGGATTTGAGTGTAAAGTTTCAGGCATTGGTAAGTAAGATAAACAAAATTGGAACTCAATTAATGCTGAGCAATCCTCGTTGACAGGTACCATTAATGCAACAGATTGATGAGATTTCCGACACTGTAGACAAATTAGAGGCCGCTGCATATAAACTGGATGCCTACTCAATAGCTCTAGAAAATCGCGTTAAATCAGTTTTACAAAGAAAAACACACATGTAATTGTAGAAAACCAAAGTATTTTATTGTTCATCGTAATGCTTTTGATTATCCAAGTAGTAATTTAAATATGATTGCTATAATGTTGAGAAATATCAAAGGAACTGAAAAACAAAAAGCCATGTTAATAACCCTTACCATTAGAAAATAAAGACGGTTTATACATACTCTTTGCCACAGTGCGGATCGATCTCACCAAATTTAGGATTTGTGCTTTAGCGGTTGGTTGTCCAAATTCAGTATTTTGTTGCTGTCCGCCCCAACCAACTAAAATAGATAGGCAGGTTAAGAGTGAAGGCTCCATCAATCGTAATTTACTTACATTTGGCAAGGAATCTTTCTTCATGTAAAACGCATACGGCATTCAAACATAGCAAAGAGGCTTCCACTAATGTCCATAATGTAAACATTTTTAATAATGTTTTGCAGTTTCGGTAAGTTTTGAGTTGAAGTCTTCAGGAATAAAAACGATGACGTTTAGTTAATTGTCACACATAGAGTTCTGGCATTTCAAAACGAATGTGTTCAATGATTGCGTTTGCTGAATAAGAACTATCGGAACCAACTAGTTCGTACATTTATGTAGGGTATACACCATGGTAGAAGAATATAGGTAGAAGCATCGACACAGCTGCTGGGACAATGAACTGTCAAACAAATTTTGGAATTGAAATTTTTGAATGAAATATTATTTGAAATTGTTAAAAAATGCATATCATAACAACCTTCGAATGGCGTCGTATAGGAAAACATATACAAATCTACTTATTTTTGGAAAATCATTTTAAAAACGTTGACATATCAATGTTCCCAAGCGTTGATGCATCTACCTGTATTCTTCCACCATGGTTTGTTTGTGTACTGTTTTTAATAAAAAAAAATAAAATAATTTGAAATTATTTGAAATTCAGTTGCAACAGAAATGCATATTCTCGACGTTAATGGGCAAGAGATGTGCAATTTTGGGATAAAACTGTACAGCCCCACTACATTAAATTCAAATTTATGGACAACTTCAATATTTCATGCTTGGTTCTTGGTTTTCCCTTATATATGAGAATTTTGTTTTAAATAAATTACCAAAATTTGTTGCACATTAAAAAGTCTATTTGGCACTAGAGGACTCCGGTACAGAGTTGCATTTTCCTAGTTTCTTGAATTTGAGCCACGTTTCTGATTAAGTCATGATTTCAGTTGAAATTATTCGACTTTGAAGTTTCGTACGTTAGAAGCATTCCAGCATTTATATAATTTCAATTCTTGAAGCGTTACCAAGGTAGAATTAAGAAGGTAGAGTCATGTTTATGTTTACAATGTTTCTTCCAAATTATTCATTTGACAACATCTCATTGTCAAAATTTATTTTTACAAATCCATTATATACACAATATGCAGAAATGGAAACCTCTTTCCATGCAGTGAAATATGGGTATGCTTATTTAAAGTGACTTTATCTTTTTATTTTACCCATAAGCGTTACCAAAAACTCGAAGTATTCAGTTCACCACACACGTAAAACACACAATTTCAACATTGACAATTTAACAATTTCCTTTTATTTTTGAGTAAAAATAAAACAAAAACTGTGGATGTTTGTAATTAGAAAATACAACAATTGGGAGTGTCTTGAAAATTATCTTTTTTTAAAGCGTTTTTAATTGGTAGATTTTAAGATATGTGCCTGGCGTATTTGGGTAATACGGACGTTCAAAACATTTTACACATAGTAGAAGAATAAAGGTAGATGCATACACTCGCGAACATTGATATGTCAAAAATTTTTAAAAAATATCTCAAAAAATAAATGGATTTTAAAAACTTTTTTTATACGACGCCAATCGGAGGTTGTTATGACATACATCTATCAACATTTTTTACAAATTTCGATATTTTTCATCCAATAATTTCAATTCCAAAAATAGTTTGACAGCTCATTGTACCAGCAGCTGGGTTGATGTGCCCAAATAAATGGATTTTAAAAGCTTTTCTTATACGACGCCAATCGGAGGTAGTTATGGCATGCATTCATCAACATTTTTTTTTTTTAATTTCTATATTTTTCATCCAGTAATTTCAATTTCAAAATTAGTTTGACAGCTCATTGTACCAGCCTGTATCATTGTACCAACCTGTATAATTTTATTATGATTTTACCATAGTGGGAAAGTTAAATATTAGGTAGGCCAGCCATGTCATATATATTTTTCAAATTCATCAAAATTATCTGATTCTTGTGTAAAAGATTGTTATTTGGTAAAAAATTATGGAGGATATCGAACAACTCGATGATGTTTTCAATGAAAATTTGGAAAAATACAAACGTTTTATGAGCTATTACAATTCACGGGAAAAATACCTTAGTACGCGTTGGCTGGCTAAATTAAAGAAATCAAATGCAACAATTGAGGATCGAATATTAAGAAATCGCTTTATTAAATATTTTCTAATAAATCAAGAAAACGAAATAAATATTTTTAATTTGGAGCCATTTAAAGCACTCCCAGAAAATTTTAATGAACCTCTAACGAAACTTCAACATATTTTAGTGAGTAAACTACATATGGACTTGTATGTACTTGTATAAAAATCTATTATTTTTCTTCAAGCCTAAAGATCAATCTGCAGACATTAATAGCACCGGTCATCAGGAAGTTTCGAATATAATGGAATTGTTCAACAGATTGCCAGATGAAGGTAAATTTCTTTTAGACCAGCCAATTCCAGTAAATGGTTCATTTTTCGTAACAATTTTAAATCCAGTTCAAACGATATCTTGTCCAAGGCCATATTATTTGTCTCAATAGATTCAGCGCTGATGTAGGAAATTAATACAGCTCTAATTTAAGAAGCATTCCCTCCTTGATATTATTATATAAAATTAAACTTTTCGCAAATTACATAAATTAAACGAATAGACGAAATTATGTATAGCACTATTCTAAATTGTCATTTGTGGGGGAATTTCTTACTCACACTAACTCGAAGAGAAGCAGAAATTTAAATCAAATGGCGAAACATGTGAATTATGGTTTTTATTACAAAAAAAATGTTTTACATCAATATGTTTCTACATTTAATAAAAGATAAAAATATGAAAAATCTTCGTCATGAAATAAAATGTAGAGTTATAAAGAATTGCATTCATAATTAATACTGGATATTCATACACATATTAATAATATTTAAGAAATGCTAATGGAAGCATTAAAATTTTAGGTTTATGCACACTCAAAACAAACAAAAGAACTTTAACTAATTTGAATGAAAGTGTATATCTGGACTTACGGTACAAAAGTGCATTTTGCCTTGAGATTATTATGTTAATGTTTAAATTTCAGTAAATATATTATTAATTTTTTTTAATGTTTATAAAATTTAAAATTCCAGTAAATATCAAACACACAATATCATTTTTTCATGATTTTTTAGATTAATCTGAAATAGTGTAAATATGATCATTCTACAATAGGTTTTTCCTCTACAAACTACTATACCTACAAATTATATGGGTAAAAAAAATGACACGCGCGAACTTTGTTAATCAACGCATTGTCATTTCTTCGCTAAAGAAATTAATTATAATTTTTTCAAACGTGCGTTTTTAAGAATTAGACACTATGCGATATCTCTGCAAATAAGCCATCCGTGCAATTTTTATGATTGAAAATATTTGCCACATACTTTTTAATCGAAAGCTACTTTACGTGTGAATGATGTAAGCGACGAAATTTCGCTTGGATTTGTGTCGGATGGCAAATTATTGAATTCGATTTCTTCATTGGCTGCTGCTGCCACAATATTTTCATTTGATTGTGAAGTTTCGTTTGAGTTTGCGCAAGGCCATTGCTTATGACTAGGAGCATATAAAATAAGCAAGGCGAATATGTATATATTCCACATTCCATAAACGCCAGTCAAAAATGCAGATGTCAATTGAATTTCAATATCTTCATCCCATTTCCAGTGGCCCTCCGCTACTTGCCCCATAATAAAGCCAATAACAGTCAAAGCGGCACAAAGCAAAGTGGCAAGCATTAGGAACTTGAAGCGGTAGATAAGACCTAAGATTAAAATATAGTTAATATTTTAAGAGTATGTGTTTATTGAATATAAATAAATAGGAATGATTCGACGACAGAACCGAAAAATATTTTATAAAGGAATATCTCTGTAGTTTTAGTCAGACTTACCTTCATAATGCAAACGACGAGCCTGTGACATTGATGGCAAGGATGTTCTTTTAGCGCCAATATTACGAAATACCTTTCCAACCATATAGCACAAGAATATAAAGTAAACTCCAGCAGATATGCCGGCCAGTATAATAAAACTTAGTGCAACTTTTGATCCAATCGGTGTGGTCCATATAGAATAAAAAGGATTGCGCAATTGCACACCCCGTTCACAGATATCAAAAATAAACAGGAACAAACAACAGCTTACAACAGCAGACAAGTGTTTCCAATAACGGGAGCGTATAGAATTCTTCTGTGGCGATTCTTGTATCAACATATGTTCTCCAGCAAAGACTAACCAAAACGAGAGGAGCATTGCGTAAAATATTCCCTGACGTATATCGCTTAGTAGCAGCATGTAGGGCATTTCAAAGCCGAGTGTTAAATATTCCAAAGGTAAATTTAAAAATGTCAAAGCACCGCCCAAATAAATCAGCATGTATTCTAGGAGAGCTGGTGATCGTTGTAAGATATGAACTCGACGCCAGAACCAAATCATAATTCCAACAATAAAAGGGAATAAGACAGTTTTTAGTGACAACCAGACTTTTGTAAAACCACCATTTTGATAAATTGCCGTCAGAGTTAGATCATGCATATGGCCAATGTTTAAGTTCATACGCATGTCAGTGTCAATTGGAAAACGCAAATTTAGTAAGTAGTAATCATAATGAAGCGCTCCCAATTCAAAAAGTGGTATCATTTCACAAGAATATAATGTTTCTTGCTGACTTGTATGCACCGAATGACAATCCAGATATCGTTCTTCTATCGATCGCGCATATAATTTCCAATCGTTTGGGGCATCTTCTTTGTTCCGGTAAGCTAAACGGGCATCGATGGTCAATTTTAGTTCCTTTGGTGGTTCAACCAGTCCTACTTCGGATACGTAAGCCAAATCTACTTGTAGAACCCCAATAAGATTTTGTTGCCAACGCGAATAGTCTAGTTGTTTCCCATCCCTTGGAAGGGGCATTTGAAATAGGTACACAATTTCGTTGGCCATTTTGGTATAGTGTTGTTCTATTTCTTCTTGCGATATGGATGCACACTGCCCAGCTCCTCGTGAGTATAACCAAAAAGTGGTGTCATTTTGCCGCTGTGGTTTGTCTTTACATACCATACCCAAAATATTTTGATGGCCTGCCGGTACGGGTGCAAACAGACCACCCAACAAGAAGCAAATCACTTGGCAAAGTAGTAGCAGACTCACCAATATGGAAAGTTTCCGGCCACTTAAATTTTCCAAGATAGTACCAGACATTTTGTATAACCTCCCTTCCTTAAAGGAAATTCCTTTCTAAAACACAGAAGCAATGGTGTTTGTTAGTTTTTAACTTTTTGTGTACCGCTCTGTCGCGCGTCGCTGCTACTAATTAGTTTATAAACAATCGTCGGCGTTATTGTAAACAAAGAGTTGTCTGCTCAAGAAATATTATATGTTTTCAGGGATGTGTAAGTCGACTTTTACCCAAACGGATTTTAGTTACATACGTTGTAATAAGTAAGGTGTATGCATAAATAACAACAACTCACAGTGACAACATTGGGAACAAATCAAGTTAAGCAAAAACTAACCCGGATACCCGGATATTTGACTCATGGTAGAATAAAAATGTAAGGCAGAGCTACCAGCTGATCACATTTTTTTCTAAAAAATAAACACAAAATAATTTTAAAATCAATGATTGGAAGACGCGTACATTGCGGGACGCGGATTGAAGCTATTCACCAGTTTTGCCATGTAGTTGAAAGATCGAACTATTTAAATCATATTTTTAAAAGAAAATCCATGTATTTAATTAGTTTTTCGCGCCATTTAACTGATTTTAAAAATGATGACACATGTTGAATAAATGAAAACAACTGGTTCGCATGCAAATTTGACAGGAAGCGGGCATAGCCTCATGACGGCATTTCTGTAATTTTACGAAGTTTTTCTACCTCCTTATTGTACCATGATTTGACACAAAAGTAAGGGTTTAAGGCCCTTTTAGACCCGGACCAACTAAACAGATATATACAATACATTTGAAGTCTAAGGTGGCTACATGATTCAAAAGAGTTCCGGAGTTGCATTAAAATTATTGATTTTTTTAGCATCTTCTGAATATATGTTGTTAAGGATATAACGCAAGTTCATTATAAGGTTGGCCCGTAGCAAAATTACAGAAGGTAGAACAAAGCTACCCCCTAAAAACAATTTTTTTCTTTTGGTGCTCTTATTCTGCCAAAACATATACACATTTTGTGTATGTGTGTGTGTATTGTTTTGAATAAAATATACAATAACTCTAAAATTTGTAACTTTACAAATTGTTACTGGAAGTCGTCTGTTATGAGGATTTTACTCCTATTATTGTGATTTGACTTAGTTGTAGCAGAATACAGGCTTAGGAACATTGATATGTCAAAAATGTTAAAATGTTTAGTCAAAAATAAGAAAATTTTTGTATGTTTTCTAATACGACACAAATCGTAGGTTTTTGTGATACGCAATTTTCAACAGTTTTTACGAATTTCAATAATTTTTCTTTCAAAATGTCCCAGCAGCTGTGTATTCTCCTATCATGGCACCTTCTTTCTGATAGAACGAAATAGTTTGTCCACAATAAGAAGAAATGATGCACGCAAAAATTAAAAAAAAGCCGAAGAACAAAATAATTCGGCATACGATTTCCGAAAATAAAGATTAAAACATCTGTTGTTTTTGAAATCACATGCCCAACTAAAAGTAACAATTTAACAATATATAATTCTATAACTTGATTAATTTTACTTATATATATTATTTTCTTACCTTATCGACAATTCAAAAATATTTGCAAGGAATGTCCTACAAAACAGTTAGGTCAGTTATTTTTAATAATCCATACATAAATACAAATTTTATTGTTGTTTCATGAATATTATATCACTTAAAGTCAATTACAACATACGATGGAAAGTCAAATAAAAAAAATAAATAAATACACTACATAGAGAAGTTTTTATCTGTACCATAGAATTAACATATTAATTTTATTCAATGAAATCCATACATGAACTAAAAGGTTACAAACCAATAAAGCAACGCGAATATAGGTTAATACATTTAGGGTGCGAACAAATGGAATATTTGCTAATATACTATCGGAGATAATTTGTTTGTTTAATGATACCATCTACAGCCCAAAATATTGTGAGCACATCGGACGTTCTGACATATCAATTATAATGTTCGAAATCACATAATTGAAAAAATATATTATATTTTTGCGAAACGTTATTTCACATTCCTTTTTTGGAAATAGCTTCTTTGGTGAAATGATTCTTAAGAAACACAACATTCAACGAAATGGCTTGAAATATAAAAGCAACTATCGTTGAGTGATCACCGATGTGGCTAACATTGATTGGTGAAATGGAAGTTGTTGCTGCTCATAATTTTAAGGAAAATATTTATGATTGAAATTCATTTTTTTAATATTTATAATAATTCCTAATTGTATCTATATTTTTGGTCTGTTCCAGAAATGCTAGAATATAAAAGTTTTTACTACGATAAACGATTTTTCCTTTATGATATCGAAGAAAATGGTAAAAGTAGACGATAATTGCAGATACTGGAACAGAGCATTTATGTGAACATTCAAGATCTTGCTAGAAATACCGAAAATTTAAAATTTATAACTCTTTGTTTATTTTTTAGTTGCCCAATAATAAAAAAGACACTCAGATAACAAGCTAGCTATCGACAACCCGATTTGGTGGCCACAACGTTGGTGGAAGCAACCGACAACGTAACATAACCTTGGTAGCAATATATAATGAAGCCATAATTCGTTGGCTCAAGTTCGAAAAAATAACTTAGCAAGTACATATATATAATGTACAGAATGTTTCTTGAATCGACCGATTAATGATTCATTTTGCGTCCTTCTAATGTTTACGTGCTCTGTTGCAGAACCTGCAAGAGTCTAGACATGTTACTATGATAATCTATTTTTTTCCTTTATGATATGGAACGCAATTGCAAACCTAGTAGATTCTTGCTGGTTCTGAAACAGAGCAATTGAATAACCATATGAAAACACAAAAATTAAGTGTATTAAAGGGGAACAATAAAAAAAGTAGTTGGAGTTATGAATTAAATTATCACTCTTGTAAATAACTCATCAAAACACTAATGGGTCATTTCGAATTTTATAAAATTTGCAAATAAAAAATAACGCAGCATTTTAAACTCAAAATGATCAAAATGAGAAAAATTCATAAATAAACTTTGGAATTCCTTGATTTGAGATAAAATATCATTTATAAATAATACGAATTTAGACCGCTATCCGCCCTCAAATACGCTTCGTTTATGTGTGATTTAATATAATTACCGTTAATGTTATTCTAGATAATAATTATAATAATAAATATACGCTGTAATATCGAAACAGCTTATAAAGCGTTGCCTGATATATGATGTGCAGTCTAAATTCGTCGTATATGCTATTTCAAAGTATTGATCATTTCAATTATTTTGTTTCGATTTGCATGTACATAGGCTTTGGCGCACCACAGCATATTTATTAATTTCTGATCATTTTTCTCGTCCATGGCAATATCTTCGGAAAGTTGGGGATTAAATCTGGAAAAAATTAACCATAGAAATTTGTATACTACTCATTAATTGGATAAGCAAATTACCTGTAATAGGGAACACCAATCGTACTACACCAAGCCCGCGCACGGTCAACGACTCTTCCGTCTGATGCTGTTGCTTGATCAACAAGCAAATTACCTGTTGAATAAAATTTGCTATTGCAGAAAGTGAAAAGATAAAATATAAGTTATCCATTACCGATTGTTGATATTCCATATGCCAATTTCGCTGTATCCCAAATACTTTCTGGACGAAAAACATCAATATCTTTCAACTCAGTTACAGGTATTAATCCTGTACCTATGGAAACGACAACCGAAACCTATAAAGCGCATATATTTAGCACAAAATATATATCTTGCACACATTTCACTTTGAATCTCTCTTACCGGTACAGCTTCATTTTCTCGACCAACACTACGTAAAGCCATATTATATTCATGTATTTCAGTCATGGCATCTAAGGTGGGGTTGTTAGCTATGAGACCGCCATCTAAAAATCTTCCAAAAGCTCTGCAAAAGTATGATAATATTTTAACAAATAAAATTCTAATTAAGACCATAATTTTACCTAAAGTATGATGGAGCGGCACCAGTGGCACGTGCTGCTCTCCATACAAGTTGGTCTTTAGGATCAGGTGGCGGAATGCGACGATTTGCTGAAATGTGGAGAAGTATGCGAATATCGTAGATAATAAAATGGAAATTGTATATTTACAACTTACTTATGGGCGTAACAATGCCTAAAATATCGCTGGCAGACTGATAACTGCGGAATAAGTGAAGATCTACTGGTTTCCGATCGGCCATCACCCCGGTGACCATTACTTTGGGATGTTTAATATCAGTCATAACAGTAAATTCGCCTAGATTATCTTTCAAAATTGATTCAAAATTTTCACTAGGATAAGGCCGGGATCCAACAAAACATTGTTCTTTCATGCGCAAATACAAGCCCATACATTGGCGCATGGTTTTACCACAACCAAGACCCAATGCCAATATGCCTCCTGTGCTAGTTCCAGCAATCCAATCGAACAAATGGACAATAGGTGTTTGGGATATTTTCTCAATTTCTAAAAGAATTTGTACAAGGACCAAACCACGTATGCCACCACCATCCAAGCATAGCAGCCGTCCACGACCATAAGGTTTTTCACCTTTCTGGTGGGAAATAGCCGAATGTAAAGAAAGATTTGAAGAAGTAGCTTCAGGTGAACCTTTAATGGAGGTAGCTTCTTCGCCCTCGATTGAATTTACATTGTCCATGCTGCCAGTGGGAGAACCTAAATAAAAATTTACATTCCATAAAATTCTCAAATTTATTTGCTTTCGATATACCTTTTTTTGAATCGGCATTTACTTTGAACATTGCCAGTAGAGCATCCATAATACTTTGACCTTTTTCAACCTTTTCCGTATTAACTACAACTGGAGGTCTATAAGTATTATTATTAAATGTGTGTTCAATATAACACCGATATATTTTATAGTTACTCTTTCATGTCATTGAGGAAACCATTCGCAGCATTAGCCAACATTCCAACAGCAGACTGTCGACTGGTGGAAGCTAACATATTTTCAATGTGTTCGCGTTTCTCTACAGATTCGGGGGCTTCTGGTGGTATGCCATTATATGTTCCACTTGGATGACAGCCGGGGGGACATTTACTTTTTGGATCGGTGCATCTTGAAATGGTTATAGTATGAAAATATAAGAAATAGATTCTTTATGAAAAATATGCGAGCTTACCTTTTGGCTCCCACAGAATGTAGAATATATAGGATTTCGTCCGTTTTACTTCCGCTTGCATCGCTACCTACCATATGTCGTGGTGTTACCCCATCTTGATTCTTCTTGTTTATATCACAGCCAAATACAACTAAACACTGTACTATATTCACTAATTTTTGTTCAATGGCAATATGAAGTGGTGTCTTGCCATCTTTATCAACGACATCAATATCAGCATCGTGAGCCAAGAGGGTAACAACACATTCGAAACGATTGCGAGCGACCATAACATGCAATGCTGTTCGACCATCGAAATTTGTGGCATTAACATTACATCCTTGCATTATTAATGCATGCAAAGTCTCTCTCGATGAACACCAGTGCAACGGGCTACCTCCGAATTTCATGTCTTGGGTATATAGTTTGTTTGCGTTTTGCTTGAGAAACTCTGCAACCGACGTCGGTGTTGAGGTTTTATATAATTTACTGATATTTTTGGCTTCGATATTGACATCAGCGCCGGCAAGCAGTAGTGCTTTGACACACTCCGGCTTGTCAGAAAGACAAGCCAAATGCAATGGTGTGTATCCATCGGAATTAATGTGGTTAAGATTCACGGTGCTCTTTTCTATAAGAATCTGAAAATAGAAAGTTTAAATTAAATATCTATGCCATTTGATTGTTCAACAATGGTAGAAGATGAATTTTTTAAAGGAGTTTTTGTTTATGATTCGGATCATTCTAGAAGACTATTAGGAGAAATGTGCCCGAGAAATCACCCGAATCGTTTAGTGAGATAGAACGACAGTTTATTTCAGTGCGTTTGGTCAAAAAATACCCATTATCGGAACCAAGGCCTTCATAAGGTCAGACAAGAAGACTCTTTTGACAATTAAACTATAAACTTAGTAGTTTTTGGCACTTTTGTAATTTGACTTTCTTTAAATTTCCAATCACAATTATGTCTTTTTTATGACTTACTTGTCAACCTTATATAGGCTTTGATCGTAGCTTTTTTATGCGACAAATCCAAGTTTTCTTCTCGGAATTATAATTTGTATTCTAAAATGTTGCATGCTTACATTTAAGATTTCTTTTGTTGTACTAGCGGCATAATGAAACACTGAGTTGCTGTTGTTGTCCAAATGCTCCATTTTACAAAGAGGCAATAGAGCTTTCACCATTTCTATATTGCCAGTTTTAACTGCTAACTGAAAAGATATGTCATTACTACTGATTGGTGGCAGTAAATAATAATTTTATTACTCACTTGAAATGGCGACATGTAATTGGTATGATCAGCATAATCAATGAATTGTAGCACTTTCGGATGACTAATATAGTCTACTAAATTAAAATATGCCACCAAATGGGTAATGGACCACGATGGATTATCGGACAAAATGTCACATAATTTTTGCAGGCCATTGACATTGTAAAACTGTAAAAAGAAAGAAGAATTAAAATTGTTCTTCATTTTAGACATATACAGAACATACCTCTTTTACTATGGACACAAACAGAGGTAATCGATGTAAGAAAGCATTGAATTTGTCTTCAGCCTCTTTTTGAGATGGTGAGCGAAATAAACTGAATGAAGTTGTATTGGAGTCGGTGTGTGGCCTTTGCAGAACTATTTCATAGGTTTTCTTATCGTTGGAATTAAAGGGTGGTGCATACAGGACCATGGCTTCATCGCGGGCTACTATTTGTAAAATTCCCAGAGATTCACTTTTTATTTCTAAAACTTTATTGGGCGGATAATCAGCGCCCAGTAAGCGTTGTAGAGCTAAACATAAGAAAACATATATATATTATTTAGAATATAAGGGTTTCACCACACAATATATGAGTAAAGCGCGATATATTTTGTTTAATTGAAAATTAATGGAAATTTTGCAAATATATGTTTAATATATAAATATGATTAGTTTAACTTGAATGTGTTATCATAGGAAATTTATGTTTAGGGGAAAATCTAGATTTGAAGATAAGTTGATGAATATCAAATTCGTAAAACCCGATGGTATAAGAATAATTTGTAAATACTTCAGAGGATACTCAGAGGTACCCCCCAATGAATAGCTATAATCGGTCAATTGGCAGCTCAAAATTTTCTTGTATATTTTTATGTGAGGATGTTGGTGTTCCACCTAAAAATTATTAACATACAATCTTTTACTATTTTATATTAAATATTTTGGAAATGTACTTTTATTTTGACATAAAGCTTTAACCCTAAAATGTGTTTTTAATATACAGTGTGAGATGAAAAACCTGCAACCAACTTCAGACTGCTGTCATTTTTAAGCCACTCATCTGACAGCTGTTAAAATTATTCCAGTCACAGCTGATTATATTGTTGACAAGGGTACAAAAGCATTTTGGTGAGATTTTTTTTTGGCTGGAAAACCACATGTGGCTATCGTTAGAGCACTCCAGCATTTAAATGTGAATAAATCTTTTGTGTCTCGTATCATCGCTTGTTACCGTGATATTGGTAGCGTAGCCCGACGTCAATGAAGTGGACGGAAGAAAACAGCAACGTCAGCAGAAATGGTTCGAAAAGTAAATAAGCGACACGCGTCGCAGTGGCCGAAAAATGGATCGTGAGCTGAACATATCGCAATATTTCATTCGGCAAACATTGAAAAATTACCTGGGGGTGAAGCCATTGAAATTCAATAAAGTGCAAGAACTTACACTGCAACAGACTCAAAAGAGCAAAAGAGTTGCTTCGCTTGGCCGAAAGTGGTGAACTGCCGAATTTGGTTTTCTCCGATGAGAAAAAGTTCGTTGTCCAGCAGTTTGTAAACAAACAAAATGATCGTGTTTACTTGCCAAAGATGTCAGCTGAAAATGTACACCTTCGGTTGGCCACCAGAACTCAAGCGCCGGCCAGGGTGATGGTGTGGGCCGCCATAACAGCCGATGGTCGCTCCCCGCTTGTATTAATCGACCGTGGCATCAGAATAAATGCCGAATACTTTCGCGAAAATATTCTGGAGGGTGTATAAAAGACTTGGGCACGCAAACATTTTGGCCGCAGACTTTGGACATTCTAACAGGACTCAGCACCATCGCATTCAGCACGCGTCACCCAAGAATTGTTACAAAATGAGGTTCCTCGCTTCATTTCCAGCACACATTGGCCACAAACATCTCCGGATACCAATCCGTTGGACTATTGTGTCTAGAGCATTTTGGAAAGCAAGGTTGGCACTAAAATCTACCAAAGTGTCGATCACCTCAAGCAAGCGCTTCGCCAGGAATGGGCCAAAATACCGCAAAGCAACATTCGGGCAACGTATGACGGTTTCATTGGCCGTTTGAAGGCCATAATTCGTACCCAAGGTGACAAATTCGAACAAATCTAAACTTATCTAAAATTTGATGCTATTTCCGACATTTTTTGATTTCATTCAATAAAATTTAAAAATTATGGCGTTTGACTTTGTTGCAGTTTTTTTTTATCTCACCCTGTATTTAAATGAAGGTTCCCAAAAATATCGAACGTACACTTTTTGAAATATGATGAAATTTAACTTTTACGGTCTTTACTTATGAGTATCTCACGTCGTGTATAAGGTACGAGTATAGGACAAATAAAATAAGTTAATATGGGTAAATAAAAGTACGTTGTGTCAAAGTTGTATTTGTTTTTAACCTATATATCACGTAGTAGGTACATTCTTAGTAAGACCTGTAGTGCGATTCTTGAACTAGTAAAGACTGAATTAATGACAATTATGGATAAATTATTAAATTGCATATTGCCAACGAAATTTGTCGGTAAGTTTGCGAAATAAAGAAGTCGTTAAGACCTACCGTTACCGATTTTTTTGGAATATCAAAAAATGTTAGACAATCCCACTACTGTTGTAGTTTGAAAATAAAACGATAACAGATAAAAACATTAAAGAGGAGTCGAAATTAAAATACTTTTTTTTAAACTACATATTAAAAAATTTTCTTGTTATATACCGAAACTGCCAGCGATAACACCGAAAGTCATCCAGGACATTTTGAAATATTTGATGATCCGTTTGTGGATACTTTACAAATCCACGCCAAATGGTATATCAAATCAGTTAGTCAATTAAAATTTGTTGTTAATTATTTATGAAATCTAGCGAAAAATGAGAAATGAAAAATAAGAAAAGAGTAAATGTGTTATTTGGATTTCTATTTATATAATGTTTATGATGTTTGTTCTCTTTTTAATGTTAGTCTTACTGCAAACCACAAACAACACAGCACAAGAACCAAGATTGTTACTTTACTAATCGATATTAATTGCTAAAAATTGTAAAGATGATTTCCCTTCGTTGAGAATCTTAAGTATGAAATTGCATGTACTTTGGTTGACAAGCTAGAACCTTAAAAACGTTCGGTTCCACTACATTTTACTTGAGAACACAAAAAGTCAGACTAATACTAAATAAAAATACACTAAAAATAAAGTTATACCGATATGTAAGACTATGGCCCTGTGTTGACCTATATTAGATTTTTTTTGTAGGAAAAGTTAGTATCTTTTGAAAAACGGAACTATGTTTAAGGGAAATGGTCATATTTGGTTGAATGAATTCACAGCTTCATTGGCATAAGTTGAGATTCACAAAAAAATCAACTTTTTTACTTATTTTGTTAATTGCTTGGCTTAAATTCATTATCTTTAGGGATATTTTTAAAGTAAAAGCTCGTCTATTCAATTTAAATGTCACTATCAAAATCAAATTTTTCTTTACCATTTGAATCAAATCTTTAAATTTAACTTCAAATAGCAAATCGGATGAAACATGAGCATGACAGTTATAACTGAACCGAATTCTGTCGGATGTCCCTTGGGTCAAACAAAATATTTGTGGGAAATGTCATATCAATCGAACAATAAATGCGACTTGTACTTTGTTTAAAAAAATACATAGACGTGCATCAAAATCAAAATGAACTACCGGTCTATTTCGTTTCCTTCTGCATGTTACAAACCAATGCACAAAGACATAATACCCTCTACCACAGGAAAAAATGTGACCGAACCGGTTAAAAGCCAAAAAAGCCCAAAATCAGAAGCTATCGTATTCTTACTAAACACCTTATATAAAGCTGTGCCTAAAATAATTTTCAAAGCGTTTTAGAATTTTTGAAATAGAAAGTAAATGGTGTTACCGATGTATTGCAAAAAGGGAAAGAACAGTATCAATCAATATAGTTTTTGAGTTCGTTTTACGCTAACAAAATCGAATACAGTGGAGTATTTGTAAATACTTTTATAATTTACTTAATTGGGAATTCAGTTCAGTTATATCAAAATATGAACTTAGTACCTTTGGCTGTATGATATCGAAAATAGATGAAATAAAGTAAATAAACCATATCTTTAGATAAGCTATACAGCAGCAGCTACCATTACCCGAAAAATTATTATAAATATAATTGTGTCGCTTATTAAATTGAGAAAATATTCGTTATATGAGGAAACCAAACGCTTCAATAACAATGGCGTGATGATGCTGCTAATGATTTGTAGTTCATATTTATAATTAGAAAGTACCAACAACAATGACCAAAAAGATGATTAAGCGTTAGCACAGAGTAAAATCAAGACAAAGTCCACAGGCCAATACTAATGGGAGAGAGGAGCAAAATACAATGTTAAATTGGTGCTAATCATAATATTATCAATATGAAATTGAAATAAGCTGAGCAATAAAACAGTAAGAATATTCTTATACACACTTCAATAAAAAAGTACAATAATGTTTAAATAAGAATACTTTTTCAAATGAACCCCTTTAAGAGAATATTTTTCATCCAGTGTGTGTTTTTAGATTATTGAACTCAGCAAAAAGTTGTGATCATGGTATGATTATATTAACATCCCAGGCGTGCTACACATTTTCTGCAAGGAGTCATTAAGTTGCAGATAATACTTTATAAAAATTTAGCAAGGTTTCTTCAACGTCCAGGAGGTGAAATCAGTACTTAGTATTTTATGGTTGTCAGAAAGGTTTGCTGCGGAATATCCAGCAAAAAAGAAGAAACAATTATTTCCAAAAATCCAAAACTTAAGGTGGTGGTCTTTATAATGAACTACATACTTGTTTCATCTCTCGCAAAACAACATGTTGTATACAGTAGTTTTTCGATTTAACGAGATATATAATGTCAGCCCTGTTCGTAGTATTGAAAAATTCGTTAAACCGAGTTTTATTTATAACAAGGCTTGTTTACTCAAAATCTATTGAAATAACAGCTCTTATATGTTTGGAAAATGCCTTTAACAAAGGTTTAAAAAATAAGTAGAATTAGTATGCATTGTTATTGAAAACAACTCTAGATTAATAAAAGCTCTCTGCTTTTTTAATTTTTTTTCAGACTAGGTGTTTTTTCCCTGATTCCGGGAAAGTATTTTTTCTTGGGGACGAAAGCGGATATTTGACACAAAAGCCCCGATCCAGGGTCCGGACACACTACACCGTATACTCGGATATTAGACCCAAAGTCCGAGTCCAGGACCTGGACCTACTAATGAAAAGCTAATGAAAATACCTATTCAACAAGTGGCCGCATGATTGGGTTATTTAAAACATTATTGATTTTTTGGACCCGGACTTTGGGAGTTCATAAAATGTATGCTGACACTATAAGCTTTCAAAAAATGTTACAATATGTGTAATTATCTTTCTTGGATCCAGAGATATGGGTCTTTGAACCCGGACGAGCCGATTATGTTCAGCTTTAATTAACTCCATCAAGGTACCACTTGTGGGATTGGTATAATATTTAAATATTGTCCACATCGGTTTAGCATGTACGGGTCCAACCCGGTCTTGGACCCGGCTTTCGAGTCAAGTACCCGGGTTCATCTCACAAGACAAAATACTTTCCCGGAATCAGGGTGCAAAGACTTTGTTCTGAAATTATCTCAATATTAGATGACTATCTATATTATTTTGATGCAAACATTGTATACACATTTCAAAAAGTTTTACAGCATTGTTATGCTTAATTCTCGGATGATCTTCTGAAGGAATATTGTCTTCACCATTAATATCAGTCTTATCATCAAACAAAAACAACACAACGTTGTATATGAAATTACATGCAAAGGCAATGAGAAAGAGAAATGCGGGAAAGTTTATGTGGGCACAACAAAAAGAATGCTTGGTGTAAGAATAGGAGAACATCAAAATGATATCAATAAAGGATTAGCAAAAACAGCACTGTCACAACACACAACGGAGAGTGGCCACACAGCTGATCTAACAAATGTCAAAATTTTAGATAGGGAAAATAAGGAGAACAAAAGATATACATTGGAAAGCCTACGAATACAGCAAAGGATTGCCAGATCAATAAATACCAAAGAAGACAAAGATAATACTAAACTACAGTATTCTATTGCGATTATTTAGAAACGGTTCTGTGATTTAGCTTAAGTTTAACTGTGATTCTTATTTTATTGATTATTTATTTTTACTTTATATTAATTAAATGTTGTGGAGTCCCGTTTTATTAATATTAATAAGAAATAAATAATGCATAATTATTGATGTAAGTTAAATTTAAAGTGCAATATGTCACAAAATTCTAATAATGAAATATGTTTCTCATTTATAAACAGAATTCAATAAAAAACGCTCTTGAAAAAGTTGGAAACAAGCCAACGAAACGTTGAGCAAAATATGAAATAAATTCGTTTATTTTTCATTTGATTAACTTGACCATAAAAGCCCAATAAAACCCATATTGAAAAAAATACACTGTTGGGGAAATCCCCCTTTTCTATATCATGGGCTTTTAATAGTGGCACAAATGTGATTTGCTCTATTCACACTCATTGTTTTTATACCCTCCACCATACTATGGAGGGTATATTAATTTTGTCATTCCGTTTGTAACTCCTCGAAATACTCATGTCAGACCCAACAAAGTATATATATTCTTGATCAGCGTAAAATTCTAAGACGATTTAGCCATGTCCGTCTGTCTGTCTGTCTGTCCGTCTGTCTGTCTGTCTGTCTGTTGTAATCACGCTATCTTTCAAATCAAATTGAGATAGAAGGCTAAAATTTTGCACACATGTATATTTTGCCAGTAGGCAGGTTAAGTTCGTAAATGGGCCATGTAGGTCCAAGTTATCATATAGCCCCCATATAACTGTACCTCCCGATATTCAGTATTTTTATGATTTTTGCGACATTATTCGCCGGAATTGTTTCAAATTTGGCATTTGAAGTTCGTATTGAATACTACAGCCTAAAACAGAAAATTATCTGTGTAGGTCCATGTCTTCGTGTAGCCCCCATATAACGTTACCCCCCGATATTCGGTATTTTTATGATTTTTGCGACATTGTTTACCGGAATCGTTTCAAATTTGGTATTTGAACTTCGTAATGGATACTACATCCTAAGTCAAAAAATGAGCCATGTAGGTCCACTTCTTCATATAGCCCCCATATAACGGTACCCCCCGATATTCGGTATTTTGATGATTTTAGCGAAATTATTCAGGGAAATCGTTCCAAATTTGGTGTTTGAAGTTCGTAATAGATACTGCAGCATAAAACAGAAAATGGGCCATATAGGTCCACGTCTTCATATAGCCCCCATATACCGTACCCCCCGATATTCGGTATTTTGATGATTTTAGCGACATTATTTACCGGGATTGTTTCAAATTTCGCATGTGAATTTCGGAATGGATACTTCAGCCCATGCCAGAAAATTGTCTGTGCAGGTCCATGTCTTCGTATAGCCCCCATATAACGGTACCCCCCATATTCGGTATTTTAATGATATTAGCTAGATTATAAACAGATTTTTCTTCAAGTTTCGCATTTAAATAGTGTAATAACTTATGACAAAAGTTGCCTATGCTGGCCCACGTCGTCGTATAAGCATTCGGTATTCTTAAGATTTTAACAGAATTTTTAACGGATTTTATTTATTAGAAAATGCCAAATTTGTACCAAATGGTGGAGGGTATTAAAAGTTCGGCCCGGCCGAACTTACAGCTTTTTTACTTGTTTTTTTTTCACATTCCGTAGCAACATCACTTAGCTCTCTTTCTCATTCGAGTACAATAGTTTATAGTTTTCGTAAATAATGTAAAATTTTTTAAAAGTTCGTTAAATACCGAATTCGTAAAAACATGTCGTTAAGTCGGAAAACTACCGTATATGGTTCATGTCGTTTATAAAACCACATATAGGTCTAATCGCGCTGATCATGACAATACGTCTCTGGAAAACCATTTTTCACAACATAAAGGCACCGCAAGTTCTGGAAAACTCCGTTTTGTCATGTTGTTTATTGTTTTGAATTATATTTTTACATAAAGCTAATTGTATGCAACAATTTTAGCACTTCATTTATTATTCATAATTTTTATTTATTTTCGTGGTCTTGCCGGCTTTTTGTACATCGGCTCAAACTATGTTTAGTGGTTGTTATAACTGTGACACGACTTATTAAAAGTAAGATAAAGTTTATGAAAATTAGTGCGTCCTCGGCCGGAATTAAGAATTTGTTTCATGGACCTGACAAAACTCAACTACTTCAACAAATTTTCTTCTAAATTATTACTTTTTTTGAAAATAGCTAACCTGCGATTGCAAATTCGTATACCATTATAGGCAAAACACTATAGGCCTGTTTAAAATATGTGTGTGGTTTTTGAAACTATTGATCAATACGAAGCTATCTCACATATTCCGGTATAACTAGTTCTATGAAATTGTATTTGTTTCCGGTCCAAACCATTTCAACAATTAGTTGATTTTAATAGTCGTTATCACTATCAACACCTAGTGACATTGAAACTTCCCCTCTGTCCATTCAGTTACAGTAACATTAATAAATAATCTAGAAATGGTTAATAACGAATAAGAAATGGTTAATAACGTTAATAAGTACATTGTAGGCGAGAGGGAACTCAAAGATCACGAAGCGAAACAATGACGTTACGTGCAATTTCATCTACACAAATCAATCCAACAATTTCAATGGAATGCATGTACGTAATAGCTGTCTGTCGGGCTACGACAGAAAGCAAATCTTGTTTGTGCGTGTGTCTGTTGTATGTGCTGGCATGTGCAAAAAACCATACAATTTTTTATGTCAATTTCGAGAATAATAGCGACACCATACATAACATCATGAAGAAAACAATGGAAAAATCTATAATTTGTTGATGATTCGATGTTTTTGTTATTGCTCTTATATATTCACTGCTAACCATTAAACATTTTTCAAGGCTTTGTCGGTGTGGCTTTTTCTGGTTATTTTTTCTTTTGGTTTCACTTCAATCACTTCCTGTTTTCTATAACGTTTGCTGCGTTATAAAATGGATCTTAACTCTCAATTTAATTCTTCTATTTGTTAAATCTTTTTTAGATTCGTTAACAATTGCATTAAAGTAACGCTGCTTATTAAATATTTGAAATTGTTTCGCGATTTGTCTAGAAATAAATAGCTTGCTTAAACAAGTACGTAGTTAAGCCGAAAAACTTCTATTACAGATATGAGCAAAACATATTTTGTTTAACCTGTATTTTGTTGTTGGTATCAATACCTGTATTTAAAATCAGCTGTTTTTAATAGTGGTTTTTGCATTGATGTATATTTATTTGGTAAATACAACTCTAGTGCTATACACTTGAAAAAATGAGACCGTAAAATTGCGAACAAATTTTTAAAAGTGATATGTACAAAAATTTTGAAACTTTTTACGCCAAAAGTGTTTTTGTATACAAAGTAACATTGTAATTAAAATCCCCTTGAATTAATGGTATCATGGTTTCTCCCATGCTACAACAAAAAACTAAGGTAGAGCTACCAACTGATTACAATTTTTTTATATATGTGACTTCTGCCAATTTTGTGTATGTATTTATTGTTTTGAAAAATTAAAACAAAATATTTTAAAATTAAGGATTGAAAGAGACGTATATTGCTGTTCGAGCGTTAAAGCTATTTTCCAGTTTTGCCATGGATTTGAAACATCAAGCTGTTTAGATCATATTTATTTAACTCTATTTAACTCTTTTTAAAAATGTGTAAAAATATCGAATAAATGAAAAAACTTGTTGCATGCTAATTTGACAAGAAGCAGGCATGGCATCTTGCCTGTGTTTCTGTAGTTTTGCGAAGCTGTTCTATCTCTTTATTGTACCATGGGTTCTCTTCTTCTTTATACCCTCCGCAATGAAAGTACATTTGCCTTTTTCCTTATTTTTGAAATTTATAAATCCATTGTATATACATAAATCAAAGATGGGAACCTGTTTTTAATTTATTGAAATTTGACAAGGTAAATTACAGAAAATGCAGAGATGGATAGTCTTCTTTAAAACGACTTTACTTTCTTAATTTTACAATGCAAGTACCATTGTAGATCCTCTTTTGTGATACGGAAATATATTTGCATTTTTATAGCGCTTTTAGATGCAAAATGTTTTCCGGATTTATAGCTTAACTAGCTGAACCCGATGCGCTTCGCTATCCCTTTTGATTTTATATTCATCCAAAATTTTATATTCAAATATTTGTTGATTTAAAAAAAAAAATAAATAATAATAGTAATAACAAAACAACGCAAGCACATGACAGGAACAGTTGACCATGAGAAAAGCAGAAGCATGCCAAATTTAGTCCGCATACACCAAGGATTTGTCCTTCGGATTTATTAGTTTCATAGCAAATGCCATGCCAACATACTTCCCCCTTACTCATAATAATCTTCACCGATTTTTAATTAATTTCTCAAATTCATGGTACAATGAATTCAAGGTAGGGCAGAACTACCATATGATTTCAATTTTTTTATTTTTCTGGCTTCTTCTGTTCTTCAAACTTCATCTGTTTATGTTTGCGTATTCTTTTCAAAAATAAAAAAAATGTTCAGAAAATATTCAAATTCGGGTGTTTTCAAAATGCTTATTGCAATATATGCATCGACAAAAACTACAGTTTTTGTCGCGAAATAAACCATAAGAGATATATAGAACACGATTTTGAAAAGAAATTTTGACCTTTCATTCAGTTTTCGCGGTTTTAAATTATTTATTCAAAATCAATGCAACAAGTTGTTTGCTTTTTTATTGTTTTGATAGTAATTCTGACATTACAAGCCAAACAGGTAGACCTCTATACTTGCAATTTTTTCAAAGTTAGCCTACCTTGTATTCATTGTATCATGCTCAAATTGATTATTGTAACTAAATACCGCCACACATTCAGAATTTTATTGGAATCGAACATACATATCGTGGTTGGTGTATCAAATAAACGAAATCGGTCGAAAATATATATGGGAGCTATATCCAAATCTCCGATTTCAATATATCATGGTACAATGAATTCAAGGTAGGGCAGAACAACCATATGATTTCAATTTTTTTATTTTTCTGGCTTAATATGTCAACTTCATTTGTTTATGTATGTGTATTTTTTCAATAATAAAAAAATTTTCAGGAAATATTCAAATTTGGGTGTTTTCAAAATGCTTATTGCAACGTATACCTCGACAAAATCTATAGTTTTTGTTGCGAAATAAACCATAAGAGATATATAGAACTTAATTTTGAAAAGAAATTTTGACCTTTCATTCATTTTTCGCGGTTTGAAATTATTTATTCGAAATAAATGCAACAAGTTGTTTGATTTTTTATTGTTTTGATACTAATTCTGACATTACAAGCCAAACAGGTAGACCTCTATACTTGCAATTTTTTCAAAGTTAGCCTACCTTGTATTCATTGTATCATGCTCAAATTGATTATTGTAACTAAATACCGCCACACATTCAGAATTTTATTGGAATCAAACATACATATCGTGGTTGGTGTATCAAATAAACGAAATCGGTCGAAAATATATATGGGAGCTATATCCAAATCTCCGATTTCAATATATGATGGCAAATTTATTTTTTGACAAATTCCATCACTCATTCCAAGTTACATTGGAATCGAACATACATATCGTGTTTGGTGCACCAAAAAGTGCAAGAACTTACACCGCAACAGAAAGAAAATAGACTCAAAAGAGAGTTGCTTCGCTTGGCCAAAAGTGGTGAATTGCCGAATTTGGTTTTCTCCGATGATAAAGCATACGTTGTCCAGCAGTTTGTAAACAAACAAAATGATTGTGTTTACTTGCCAAAGAGGTCAGCTGAAAATGCGCACCTACGGTTGGCCACCAGAACTCAAGCGCCGGCCATGGTGATGGTGTGGGCAGCCATAACAGCCGATGGCCGCTCTCCGCTCGTAATAAATGTCGAATATTATAGCGAAAATATTCTGGAGAGTGTACTAAAGTCTTCGGCACGTAAACATTTTGGCCGCAGACCTTGGACATTTCAACAGGACTCAGCACCATCGCACTCAGCACGCGCCACCCAAGAATGGTTACAAAATGAGGTTCCTCGCTTCATTTCCAGCGCTCAATGGCCATCAAAATCTCCGGATACAAATCCGTTGGACTATTGTGTCTGGAGTATTTTGGCAAGCAAGGTTGGCACTAAAAAATTTGTGACTTTGGAGTATAGCACTGTACCAGTATAAAAACGCAGTGATGCATTCTGTTATTATTAATACTCCGCAGATGATATCAAATAATTCTGTAGTGAAAAGATATATTTTTATGGTGATACTATGGCCAAAAAAAAATTGGATTAAGCAATAAATCGTAATAATGTTGGTTAACCTAGATAAAATTACGCAGTTAAAAGCGCTATTAAACATCTCCGAAAATAAATTAAACAAATAGCTTCGAATCACAGCCATCATTTATTTACATATTTTTTCCATAGAAATGAATGCGCTTAAAACAAAAATTAACTAAATCTTGGCATTCTTCCACCTCGACGTCGTATTACATTACGAATCCATCTGTTTAATCTTCTTATATTTGTGTAGGCTCCCGGAAATCTTGGACGAGCACATCCAATACCAAAAGATACAATTCCATATTGTATTCGTCTACGCACAATGGGCCCGCCGGAATCACCTTGACACGTATCTCTCTGCGGTGTTGTGGCACAAAACATAAAATGAGTAATGGGAACACCGGCTCTGGCATATTTTGACCGACATCGTCTTCGATTGAGCTTGTCAATCGTTACACCTCTTAAACGCTGTGTTGCTGATCCACCTTCTCGACGCGAACCCCAACCACTAACAAAAAATCGTTGTGGCAGACGCCTTCCTGTGCGTGTCAGCACTATGGGTCTTACGAATCGACTAAATATAAAACGTCGATTTACACGGATCATAGCAATATCGCGATTGGCTGTATAAGTATTATATCGAGCATGCATAACCACAAGACGGGCCCGTCTAATTTGTCCACCCCGATTGGCATATGATGAACCGGCACGAACAGCAAATCTGCCACCGCCTTCAACACAATGTGCTGCCGTCAGTACCCAATCAGCACTTATTATCGATCCACCACAAATGAAATATCCATTGTCGTAGAGGGCAACCTGCCACGGCACCTGTCGAATATTAATTGGTCGACCGCCAACTATACGCGTTCCGTTGACATTGTAGATTTTCGGATCAAAATAATCCAAGTCATCAATGCCCTTTTGGAATAAGGTAACGTTTCGTAATTGTGCCAAACTATATTTAATGTTGAGAAAAAATATGAAACCGACTAGAAAAATATGTCCGTAGCACCACATCTCGACGTTTTGATTACGCGTTTCAAAATGATTCGAAAGAAGAGGTCATCCTAACTTTGATTTACATTCTTGCTCATGAATATGTAATAACTTTGACCTAGTAGCTAATCATATTCGAATTTAAATTAGTAAACAAAAGGTGATATTTGAAAGTCTTCTCTCGCATTAGGTGATGATTCTGATCCGTGTCCCTGAGAGTGTCGCATCAAAATCATTCATATTGCAGCTGATTGTAAAGAGCAAGTAATTGTTATGTCTTGCATTTCACTTGTACTTTGCAGTGACATTAAAACGATCAAGGACCTTGGCTGCTGCCTACCATGCACCAGCAAAGTGAGATTGGTGTCATTAGGTGTTACTATAACTTTTCCCGTATAACTTTCTCAGAATTTCCTTTCGCAAGAAAACAGTTTTTTTTAGATCTATGTGTACGCCATGGTACAATAATACAGGAAACAGCAAGTTTTTTGTACAACAAACGTTACTACAACCACATACAAATTTGTTTTTGTACGTAATACAAGCGTCAGAGTTATTTGTCCAAAAAATGTAAACAAAACAGATCATTTTGAATAAATTATTTTGACTTCACAAAAGTACATTTTTGGAATTTGGATTATTAATTTTGAAATGCAGAAAAGTGGTTCTTAAAATATTTCATTTTAATGTTTTCATATCATTCACCTGGATTTATAGCTTTTAGTTGTAAGTCTAAGGCTGTAAATACATAAAGAGCATATTTAGATGGCTTAAGTCCAGCTTAAGGCTGGAAATACATAAAGCGCATATTTGGCTGGCTTAAGTCATCGGCTGGCTTCTTCGTAGATGAACAAAGGAGTTTTAGGTTGACTTAGTTCGATTTTGGCCCTAGACTCGTTTGTTCATTTCCGAAGAAGCCAGCCGATGACTTAAGCCAGCCAAATATGCGCTTTGGGCTTCTTCATAAATGAACAAAGGAGTTTTAGGTTGACTTAGTTCGATTTTGGCCCTGGGCTCCTTTGTTCATTTCCGAAGAAGCCAGCCGATGACTTAAGCCAGCCAGATAAGCGCTTTATGTATTTCCAGCTTAAGCCAGCCAAATATGCGCTTTATGTATTTCCAGCCTAAATCTCTTAACACTTCAAGCAATCGCTAGAATATCAAATTATAAAAAAAAAAAACGACGGCAGAATTCGAGTGCGGATTTATGATATGTACATATTATGCCATGCGAAGACTTCAAGCTGTTTATGTACTCTCACCTTCATACCACCAGACAAGAAACTTACATTTACAAGGTGAGATAAAAAAAATTTTTCTAGAAAAAAAGTTATTCGTGATGGAATTCAAGCGTGATAGTGTGACTTATTTATATTTGGCTGCAAAACCACAAGTGGCTATCAATAGAGCACTCCAGCATTTAAATGTAAATAAATTTTTTGTGTCATCGCTCGTTGACGTGTACTGGTAGCGTAGCCCGACATCAAGGAAGTGGACGGAAGAAAAAAAGCAACATCAGCAGAAATGGTTCGAAAAACAAAGAAGCGACTTGAACGAAACCTGCGTCGCAGTAGCCGAAAAATGGCTCGTGAGCTGAACATATCGCAATATTCCATTCGGCAAATATTGAAAAATGAGCTCGGGGTAAAGCCATTGAAATTCCAAAAAGTGCAAGAACTTACACCGCATCAAAAAGAAAATAGACTCAAAAAATCTAAAGAATTGCTTCGCTTAGCCGAAAGTGGTGAACTGTCGAATTTAATTTTATCCGATGAGAAAACATTCGTTGTCCAACAGTTTGTAAACAAACAAAATGATCGTGTTAACGTGCCAAAGAACTCAGCTGAAAATGTGCTCCTTCGGTTGCCACCAGAACTCAAGCGCCGCCAAAGTGATGGTATGGGCCGCCATAACAGCCGCTAGTCGCACTCCGCTCATATTAACCGACCGTGGTATCAGAATAAATGCCGAATATTATGGCGATAATATTCTGGAGGTTGTATTAAGGCCTTGGGCACGCAACATTTTGCCGCAGACCTTGGACATTCCAACAGGACTCAGCATCATCGCACTCAGCACGCGTCACCCAAGCATGGTTACAAAATTAGGTTCCTCTCTTCATTTCCAACGTACAATGGCCACCAAAATCTCCAGATACCAATCCGTTGGACTATTGTGTCTGTAGTATTTTAGAAAGCAAGTTTGGTACTAAAAAATTCCAAAGTGTCGATCACCTCAAGCAAGCGCTTCGCCGGGAATGGGCCAAAATACCGGAGAGCCACATTCGGTCAACGGGTGACGGTTTCATTGGCCGTTTGAATACCATAATTCGTCCGAAAGGCAACCAATTCGAGCAAATCTAAACTTTTAAGGTGGGAATACATAAAGCGCTTATCTGACTGGCTTAAGTCATCGGCTGGCTTCTTCGGAAAGCAGCCTAGGGCCAAAATCGAACTAAGTCAACCTAAAACTCCTTTGTTCATCTACGAAGAAGCCAGTCGATGACTTAAGCTAGCCAAAGATGTGCTATATGTATTTCCACCCATGTTACAATGAATTCAAGGTAGGGCAGATCCATGGTACAATGAAGAGAAGGTAGGTCAACTTTGAAAAAATTGCAAGTATAAAGGTCTACCTGTTTGGCTTGTAATGTCAGAATTTGCATTTATTTTGTATAAATAATTGAAAAACGCGATAACTGAATGAAAGGTCAAAACTTCTTTTCTAAATCATGTACTATATATCTCTAAAGGATTATTTCGCTACAAAAACTGTAGATTTTGTAGATGCATACGTTGAAATAAACATTTTGAAAAAACCCGAATTTGAATATTTTCTGAACAATTTTTTTGTTATTGAAAAGAAAACACATACATAAACAAATAAAGATGGCATATTAAGCCAAGAAAATAAAAAAAATTGAAATCATATGGTAGTTCTGCCCTACCTTGAATTCATTGTACCATGGGCAGAACCATGGTAGAATTACAAGGTAACCCTTTCAGGCCAGCTGGTATCAATTTGATATGTCAAAAAATTGTTGTAATTTGAATTCGCCTTCATTTACACATAAGAAAATTGTTGCATGATTTCAAACTTTAACATTGTTATTGATAGAAAATTGAGATTTTACGTTTGTATAGATTATGAGGGAAGAAGTGTATATTCAACATATGGTAGGCATAGGTAATATGGAGATTTGAAATTCGTGGATATTTGAAATAAGTGAAACAGGGAATCAATTTCATATAGGAGATAAACCGATACATGGAATTTCATCATCTTATTTGTACGGATTTTCAACTATGTTATACACTATAGGGCTTCAACAGTGAAAGGTGAATGATTCCAAAGCATATTGTATTGGTATGGGGAACAAAACATTGGCAATTTTTGGGGTGTGATTAAATATTGAGATAATTTTTTTTATTTCAAATTGTTCGAATGTATTAAAGTTATCTATACATAAAAGACTTCCTGTCTGCTATACATTTCATAGCTAAGCAAATAATATGCGTGGACTCACAGTAGACTCAGCCCCTGTATCTTCTGCAATCTTTGATCCAAATCTTAAGTAAGCCTGAGGAGTAAATATACCCTAAAGTACCTTTTAGGTAGTCACTACAGCGAGAAAGCTGATGATGTAGCAAAAGAAAAAAGGCTACACCCCAGAACCACGACAAAACCTAATTTTAAAGCATCAAAACTAATTTTCCGGATATTTTCTTGTAAAGAACATTATCGCTGTTGAATATGAAATAAACGTTGCCAACGTTACCAAGACTGCATGCTGTGTAAGGATGATGAAGAGATAACAACGATTGGACATCTATTATCGCAAATGTCCTTCGTTGGCGCGCTGGAGACTACGATCACTCCATTTCCAGTCTCTGTAATTTTCAAAAATGTTGTATTGAACGTGCTATAATCAAACCAAGGTGCAGCGGCTTCAGCATTACTTTCAATCGATGATGGAAGTTTTGAATGTTTGCTTTTGTAATAGAAAAAACAACAATTTTGAAAATTTTTAATTCAATATTTTCATTGGAAAAATAATTTGCCCCAAATTTTGTACTTCAAATCAATTCGCCCTGACTACAACTTTGACATATCAAGTTTCCAAAAAAGTTGCTTTGTTGTAATTTTCGCCTATGTTGCTACCTGGTATTTCTACCATGGGCAGAACTACCATATGATTTAATTTTTTTATTTTTCTGGCTTAATATGTCAACATTATTTTCAATAATAAAACAAATTGTTCAGAAAATATTCAAATTCGGGTGTTTTCAAAATGCTTATTGCAACGAATGCATCGACAAAATCTACAGTTTTTGTCGCGAAATAAACCATAAGAGATATATAGAACATGCTTTTAAAAAGAAATTTTGACCTTTCATTCAGTTTTCGCGGTTTTAAATTATTTATTCAAAATCAATGCAACAAGTTGTTTGCTTTTTTATTGTTTTGATAGTAATTCTGACATTACAAGCCAAACAGGTAGACCTCTATACTTGCAACTTTTTCAAAGTTAAGCTGGAAATACATAAAGCTCTTATCTGGCTGGCTTAAGTCATCGGCTGGCTTCTTCGGAAATGAACAAAGGAGCCTAGGGCCAAAATCGAACTAGGTCAACCTAAAACTCCTTTGTTCATTTCCGAAGAAGCCAGCCGATAACTTAAGCCAGCCAAATAAGCGCTTTATGTATTCCCAGCTTTAGCCTAACTTGTCTTCATTGTACCATGTTTCCACCCTTATTCTAAAATGTCATGCTATTTCCGACATTTTTTGCTTTCATTCAATCAAAGTTAAAAATGTAAAAAAAATAATGGCGTTTGACTCTGTTGCAGTTTTTTTTATCTCTTGCTGTACATAGTGACGCAGGTTATCATATCTCGCCGCTTGTCTTTTGTTCTTTTCTCTTCTTTTTTATTGTCTTTCATAATTGATTCTTTAATATACAATGATGTTTGGAATTATTTGAATTTTGGCATTTTACCACCCCAACGTCTCACCACCTTTCGGATCCATTTATTTAATCGCCGAATATTTGTATAAACTCCAGGATATTTTGGACGTGCACAGCCAATACCAAACGACACAATACCATAAAGGATTCGTCGTCGAACCAATGGTCCGCCAGAGTCACCCTGGCATGCGTCTTTTTTCGGTTGCGTTGCACAGATCATAAACTTGGTTATTTTCATTCCTTGCTTGTGATATTTTCCTCGACACTTTCGGCGCGACATTTTCTGCAATCCAACGCCTCTTAAACGATTCGGTACCCGTCCATTTTCACTGATTCTACCCCAGCCACTTACGAAAAGTTTTTTCGGCAAACGTCTTCGACTTCGCGCAATAGCAATGGGCCGCACAAAATTGGTAATACGAAATCTGGTGTAAACACGAATTAAGGCAATATCTCGACTTCCGGTGCGAGCACTGTAGCCGGCATGTACAACAACAAGACGAGCCCAGCGTATTTGGCCGCCACGATTAAGATATGGTGAACCGGCTCGAATAGCAAAGCTACCACCTCCTTCAGCGCAATGTGCTGCCGTCACAACCCAGTCAGGGCTTATTAAAGATCCGCCACAAATGAAATATCCATCATTGTATAGAGCAACTTGCCACGGTACCTGACGTATATTAATCGGCTTTCCTCCGACTATCCGTTTATTGTTGCCTTTGTTAAGTTTCGTTTTGGTAATGTAATTGAATCCATCTAGATCCTCTCCCAAAAGTGTAGTGTTTGCAAATTGTCCACTGGCGTTTTCAATTTGTAGAATAAGCCGCACACAGATTAATATGATCTTCAGCCTCCACATCTTGGTGTTGTAATAACTACCAATAACAGTCACCAAAAACTTGAAGGGTGTGCAAGCGAAAATTAAGAAATTCTTGGTAAATTGGGAATACCATTTTGATGTCTGCGGTATTAAAAATGATTAATGTTGTCCAAATATCTACAAACATATTCATATGTGTATGTATGCATGTAACCCATGCTCTTCTCTGGCTTGTAAGAACGATAGCTTCTGGTCTCGTCTCAATCATAAAATGCTAACAAAAAGTAGACAAAAATTTGCATATCAAACCACTGATTGTGTTTGTTGTAAAGATGTTATTAGGTCAGACAGGTCAGTTATATTGGTGATTATTAATAAGTTAATAACTTGCTTAATATTTTGACTCGCAGTCAAGCAAATTTAATGCATGTTAAGACTTGTTAGGCATTTGCAAAACATGCACGGTAGCCAGCGTTCAGATAGAAAGCGTTTAAGAAATTACGCTACTATTTCAAATAAAAGACTGGTGAGAGAGCGTGTATCATCAACACACTTACTTTACTAAGCTATGTAAAAGGTCCTAAAGTCTTGAATATGGTTATTCATATTTTGCCAATAAATGCACCTAATTGTCCTGTCTTTTTTGAAAAGCATGCTTAAAGTACGTTTAGATTTGCGAAATCCATTTGATCATAGCACACACGTCAAATAATATCCAATAGGTTTATGAATACGATTTACGTGACGTTTATGAATACGATTTACGTAAATTGTGGAATTGATTTTTCAAATCACGTGGCTTAAGTAGTCTAACCGTGCTCTTTTGGTGAGAATACATAAAATGCTTTTTTTGAATGGCTACTTTGTAAAAGAACAAAGGAGCGTAGGGTTAGTAAATATAAATTATGGGCCGAAATCGAACTAAGTCAACCTAAAATTCCTTTGCTCTTTTACGAAGAAGCTAGCCATTGACTTAAGCCAGTCAAAAAAACGTTTATGTATTGTCACCTTTAAACCATTAAAAGTAGCTCTTTATGTACTTGCACCTTTAGACTTATTAAATAGCATGGTAGAGGAATACAGGTGGATGCATAAAGGTGGGAATACATAAGGCGCTTATTTGGCTGGCATATGTCATCGGCTGGCTTCTTCGGAAATGAAAAAGGAACCTAGGGCCAAAATCGAACTAAGTTAACCTAAAACTCCTTTGTTCCTTCCAGCCGATGACTTAAGCCATCCAAATAAGCGCTTTATCCGCTTTGAAACATTGAAACGGCAAAAATTGTTTTTAGATTTTTTTAGGTTTTCTTATACAACGCCAATCGGAGGTTGTTATGATATACATTTTTCAACAAATTTTACGAATTTGAATAATTTTTCATTCAAAAGTTTAATTTCAATATTGTTTTGACAGTTTATTGTTCCAACAGCTGTGTCTATACGACTACCTGTATTCCTCTACCGTGCCAAATAGTGTGGCTTTCAACTTTCAATTTTCAGTCTAATTGGCCTTAAAGGTGACAGGCTTAAGTCATTGGCATAGTAAAATTAAGAAGGTAAAGCCATCGTAATTTACCTTGTTAAATTTCACAGCATAAAAAGGGTTCCCATCTCTGATTTTTTATATACAATGGGTTCAAAAATACACATTTTGACAATGAGATGTTGTCAAATGAATAATTTTAAAAAATGAAAACATTTGATTGCATGACTTTATCATGGTCGTAGGGCTGATAAGTATAAATTATGGGATGAAATTGTACTATGTCAACCAAAAGTCCCTTTGTTTTTTTTTTTTTAACGAAAAAGTCAGCCGATGATTTAAACCTGCCACAAAAGGGTATTATGTATTCTCACCCTTATTTTATTGCAGGAAATTACCAGAGCAAAGGTGAGGTTGTCTTAGTTCGATTTTGGCCCTACGCTCTTTGTTCTTTTCCGAAGAAGCCAGCCGGTGGCTTAAGCCATTTAAAAAGCCTTCCATGTACTCTCTTAAGGCTGAAATACATAAAGCGCTTTTCTGGCTGGCTTCTTCGGAAATGAACAAAGGAGCCTAGGGCCAAAATCGAACTAAGTCAACCTAAACCTCCTTTGTTCATCTACGAAGAAGCCAGCCGATGACTTAAGCCAGCCAAATATGCTCTTTATGTATTTCCAGCCTTAAGATGTCGTTAATACAGAATTCATATAGCAGGCATGGTAGAATCATTTTTTTCAAAATTAATAATTTGACAACACCTCATTGTCAAATTTATATTTACAGGGAGATATGAAAAAACAGCAAACAACTTCAGACTGCTGTTATTTCTAAGGCTGGAAATACATAAAGCGCATATTTGGCTGGCTTAAGTCATGGGCTGGCATCTTTGTAGATGAACAAAGGAGTTTTAGGTTGACCTAGTTCGATTTTGGCCCTAGGCTCCTTTGTTCATTTCCGAAGAAGCCAGCCGATGACTTAAGCCAGCCAAATAAGCGCTTTATATATTCCCAGCTTAAGTCACTCGTCCGACAGCTGTTAAAATTATTCCAGTGACAGCTCATTATATTGTTTACAAGCGTACAAAACTATTTTGGTGAAATTTTTCAAGAAAAAAAGTTATTCGTGATGGAATTCAAGCGTGATAGTGTGATTTCTTTATATTTGGCTGGAAAACCACAAGTGGAAATCGTTAGAGCACTCCAGCATTTAAATGTGAATTAATCTTTTGTGTCTCGTACTATCGCTCGTTACCGTAATACTGGTAGCGCAGCCCGACGTCTAGGAAGTGAACGGAATAAAACAGCAACATCAGCAGAAAAGTAAAGAAGCGACGCAGAGGCCGAAAAATGGCTCTTGAGCTGAACATATCACAATATTCCATTCGGCAAATATTGAAAAATGAGATCGGGGTAAAGCCATTAAAAAAAGTGGAAGAACTTACACCGCTACAGAAAGAAAATAGACTCAAAAGAGCTAAAGAGTTGCATCGCTTGGCCGAAAGTGGTGAACTGCCGAATTTGGTTTTCTCCGGTGAGAAAACATTCGTTGTTCAGCAGTTTGTAAACAAACAAAATGATCGTGTTTACTTGCCAAAGAGGTCAGCTGAAAATGTGCACATACGGTTGGCCACCAGAACTCAAGCGCCGGCCATGGTGATGGTGTGGGCTGCCATAACAGCCGAGTGTCGCTCTCCGCTCGTATTAATCGACCGTAGCATCAGAATAAATGGCGAATATTATCGCGAAAATATTCTGGAGGGTGTATTAACGCCTTGGACACGCAAATATTTTGGCCGCAGACCTTGGACATTCCAAGAGGACTCAGCACTCGCCACCCGAGAATGGTTACAAAATTAGGTTCCTTGCTTCTTTTCCAGCTCACAATGGCCACCAAAATCTCCGGATACCAATTCGTTGGACTATTGTGTGTGGAGTATTTTGGAAAGCAAGGTTGGCACTAAAAAATACCAAAGTGTCGATTACCTCAAGCAAAAGCTTCGCCGGGAATGGGCCAAAACTCCACAGAGCAGCATTCGGGCAGCGTGTGACGATTTCATTGGCCGTTTGAAGGCCATAATTCGTGCCAAAGGTGACCAATTCGAACAAATCTAAACTTATTCAAAATTTTGATGCTATTTCCGACATTTTTTGCTTTCGTTTAATAACATTAAAAAAAATGTAAAAATTATGGCGTTTGACTTTGTTGCAGTTTTTTTTATCTCACCCTGTATAAATCCATTGTACACATATCAGAGATGGGATCCTGTTTTCTATGCAGTAAAATTGGACAAGGTAAATTAGAGAAAATTCACAGATGGGAATGCTAATTTTAAATTACATTAGTCATCGACTGACTTCTTCGTAGAGGAATAAAGGAGTTTTAGGTTGACTTAGTTCGACTTTGGCCCTACGATCATTTGTCAGCCCATGACTTAAGCCTTTTTTGTATCCTAATTAAACAATAAATTCTGATAATGTGGGTTAATCCGGATAACATTTTGTATCTGAACGGGCTATAACATACCCCTGTTTTGAACAGGGACTCTATACTTGTATTTTTGACATAAATTATTTTTCCATACTTACTTTTAGTATCTTTTGGTTTGTATGCAAATGTCATATGTATAAAAATCCATTTGCCGAATGAAAACATTTCAACAAGAATATCCACCAATATACATATTTATGCAAAATATTGACTTTTTCTTGCTAATTTTTTACGTTTTTTGGCCACAAATTCGCAATAAATATATGCAAGCACATATATAATTTATGTTATCTGAAATGATTAGTTCGAAGAGATACATAAACAGAATTAAAAACTCAATCAACACTTTACTATGGAATGGAACCAATGGAAATATTTTCCTTTCTTCAGTTTAGTATTTTTCTTCCAATAGTCACAATGCGGTTGGGGACATTTATGATCGGTTTAATAGCATTTTTTGTCCAATATCTCGATCTTACAACAGCACAACTGGCACAAAATGAAAGTTTTTCAGCAGAGCGTAGTGCGAGCGGAGTGCGTATAGTTGGCGGACAGGCAATCAATATACGTCGAGTGCCGTGGCAAGCTGCCGTTCTAAGAAATGGCATTTTTATATGTGGTGGATCCGTAATAAGTCGTGATTGGGTTCTAACGGCTGGTCATTGTGTGGCCCTTGGCGGAGCATTTGCTGTCCGCGCTGGCTCCACCTTTTTATATCGACACGGACAATATAGAGTGGCTAGGTTAGTCGTTCTCCATGCAGCATTCAATCCCAATACATATACCAGTGATATTGGTATGATACGTGTAAGGAACAGTTTTCAACTTACAAGGAATCTCCGACCCATTGCACTTGCTAGACGTGGACGAAGATTGCCCCAACGGTTTTACGTTAGTGGTTGGGGTAGTGTCGCATATGGTGGCTCGACAACGGATCGTTTGAGGGGCGTCACAGTTGCCAGATATAATCGAAATCAGTGTATACAAAGATATCTAAGTACAGGTTTTCTAATTACCAATACAATGCTGTGTGCTGGCCAACCTGGCAGAGATGTGTGTCAAGGTGACTCTGGTGGACCATTAGTTCGAAATCGCATTCAATATGGTATTGTGTCGGTTGGAATGCAGTGTTCAAATCCACCCAGTGTTTTTACAAATGTCAGGATAATGAACCATTGGATAAGGCGCAATGTAAATCGCTGGGGAGGAAGAATGCCAAGATTTATGTAGTTGTTGCTTTTGTTGTTACTCACAAAAATAAAAAGTTAAATAAAAATATTTTTAATCAAATGTATATGTCATGGTGAAATTAATATTAATATCCATCTTTGCATTTTCTGTAATGTATCTTGATAAATTTCACTGCATAGAAAACAGGTTCCCATCTCTGATTTGTGTATATACAATGGATTTATCCATGGTAAAATTAAAAAGGTAAAGTCATTTCATTTTTTCTGCATTTTCTGTAATTGACCTTGTCAAATTTTACTGCATAAAAAACAGGTTCCCATCTCTGATACGCGTATGTAAAATGGATTTATAAATATACATTTTAACAATGAGATGCTGTCAAATTATTAAATTTTAAAAAAAATTGTAAACATATGATTGCATGACTTTACCTTTTTAATTCTACCATGTATATATGTCTAATAAACTGGAAAGCCATCGTGACATCGTACTAAGGCATATTAGTGTAAAGGAAAACAAAGGGCAGTATTTGAGTGGGGCTCTGACATTACTTTATGATATGTCACCAAAAATGTCATGCTGACTATTGTTCGTCATATTCAAATTGAGAAGGTATAGACGTTTTTTCTGGTATAAGTCATCGGCTGTTTTTTGGAAAAGAACAAAGAAATTAGGTTGACCCAGTTGAAATTGAAAGAACAAAGGAGTGTAGGATGAACAAGTATAAATTATCAACAGAAATTGAACTAAATCAACCTAAAAATCCTTTGTTCTTTTACGAAGAAAACAGCCGATGACTTAAGATGAGATTGGCTTAAGTCTTCGTAGAGGAACAAAGAAGTTTCAAGTTGACTTAGTTCGATTTTGGTACTACGCTCCTTTCTTCTTTTCCGAGGAAACTAACCAATGACTTAAGTTTGTTAAAAAAGCGTTTTACATTTAAGCCTTACCTTTAAGCCATTCAAAAAGCTCTTTTTATGTGCTTACATCTTTAGACCAGCAAAAAAGCTTTAATGTGCAAATACATAAAAGGCTTTTCTAACTGGCTTAAATCACTGGCGGGTTTCTTCGTAAAAGAACAAAGTCGATGTAAAATTCTTTTGTTCTTTTACGAAGAAGCCAGCTGATGACTAAAGCGTGTAAATTATTTTTTCAGCTTTTAGTCAGATAACCAATGAAGGTGCAAGTACGTAGAAGACTTTTTATAGGGGTTAAAGGTGAGAATACATAAAATGTTTTTTTGACTGTCTTCTTCGGAAAAGAACAAAGGAGCGTAAGCTCAAAATCGAACTAAGTCAACCTAAAACTCCTTTGTCCTCTACAAAGAAGCCAGCCGATGACTTAAGCCAGTCAAAAAAGCGTTTTATGTTCTCTTACCTTAAGTTGTCGGCTCACTTCTTCGTAAAAGAACATTTTAAATTGACTTGGTTCAATTTCGGCCCAAAATTTAAGGTAGCCGAAGAAGCCAGCCGATGACTTAAGCTGGGAATACATAAAGCGCTTATTTGGCTGGCTTAAGTCATCGGCTGGCTTCTTCGGAAATGAACAAAGGAGCCTAGGGCCAAAATCGAACTAGGTCAACCTAAAACTCCTTTGTTCATCTACGAAGAAGCCAGCCAAATATGCGCTTTATGTAGTTCCAGCCTTAAGCTGGGAATACATAAAGCGCTTATTTGGCTGGCTTCTTCGGAAATGAACAAAGAAGCCTAGGGCCAAAATCGAACTAAGTCAACCTAAAACTCCTTTATTCATCTACAAGGAAGCCAGCCACATAAGCGCTTTGTGTGTTCCCACCTATAAGGTGCGAATACATAAAACTCTTTTTTGACAAAGAAGTTTTAGGTTGACTTAGTTCGTTCTTGGCCCTACGCTCTTTTGCTCTTTTTCGAAGAAGCCAGCCGATGACTTAAGCCAGTTAAAAAAAGCGTTTTATGTATTCTCACCTTTAAGCTAGTCAAAAAAACATTTTTGGTATTCTACAAATATAAAAATATTAGAAGAAAGAAGATCTCAGATAAAAAAAGAATTCGTTGCATTTGTGATTGGCAATTTGAAGTTTTATGATACTAGTTTTAGGGTTATGTTTTTCAATTTTTATCGTTCTGCACTACCTTGTAATTATTGCATCAGGGTTGCTTTGTATTTTGAAAACACAGAGAAAAATTATTGTCCTATTCCAGAACCTGCAAGAATTTACTTGTTTTGCAATTTTTTTCGATATCAAAAATAGGTTATCGTAGTAAAAAAATTTACATTCTTGCAGTTCTGGAACAGACCATATGTCATAATTAACAAGACTTTTTGCATTTGCATCATTATTTTTTTAGAATACTTAATACCAGAATACTTAATCTAATATAATAGGTGTTTGACCGCCATGCTTCAGCACTACATTCTGAATCCATTTGTATTGTTTGCGAACATCCGTATAGAGGCCAAGCGTATTTGGCCGATTACACTCTACATCCAGAGTAACTATGCCATAAAGTATGCCATCGTGTACCAGAGGACTGCCGGAATCAGCTTGGCACAAACCTACACCAGTTGAATTTCCACAGATCATTTTTTTCGTAATTGGATATACGTCATCATATAATTTGCGGCAAACTCTGAGCGGCACAGTGGTAATTCTTGCAGCACCCAAAGACAATTCTGGTCCATTATTTTCTTCAATACTCGCCCAGCCAGTTACTATAGTGTTTCGAGGAAATTTGGAAAACTCAGTGGATAAGCTGAGCGGTAATACACCTGAAGACCATTGAAATGGTTTATTGACTTGCAGCATTGCTATATCGTTGTCCAGGGACCTGATTTTAAAACGTCTATTTATGACCACAGTGGTAATGTGACGAATTTCACCACCTTTTCGGCAGTCTGTAGTCCCGAATCGTATGCCAAAACTTCCACCACCATTGACGCAATGGGCCGCTGTCACAATCCAATCACGGCTGACAATTGAACCCGCACAAATAAAGTAATTATTACGAAATAATGCAACATGGTAAGGGGCTTCTTCTATTTTCAACACTCGACTTCCAATAAGTTTGTGTTTTTCACTAGCTTTACTATCGCCAACCGGCTCTACATCGAATGGTCCACTTGAATTGTCATTTAGAGATTTGAAAGCATTCACACCTTCTGGGCTCCCTTCCTCCAACCGAGCTTCGGTACTATTGGTATTGCTGCTGTCGCCCACATTGTTTGAGAAATTCGTATCAAACGTTCCACTCGAATTTGAAGATTTACTATCGAAATCATCTTCAGCGTTATTGAGATGAAAACTCCAACTTATCAATAATATTGTAATAAATTTAACGGAATTCATCTTTACCGATGAACGACACCTGTCTGAATAATTTTTGCAGATTTTGATGCAGATATTGACACAAACTAAATACACTTTAAATTTTCACCACAAAAGAATTTGAATTTAATGCGAATATTTAGCATAAATTAATATTTAAACATGCGAACAACCAGCAGATAATCATCATAATTATTCAAAAGTGCGAAAATAGCTAACTGTAAAAAATAATAAATATACAATTTGCAAGCGGTGTGGGATGTAGAACCAAAAGTTATTTAGGTGAAATCGTTATTTTATATTTTAAAAATATGAGGATTATCTTTAGTGGATTTTAAAATCTATAATAAGTAAATAATAACGGAGATATATTCAAAATCCCACCCATGGTAGAAAAATACAGGTAGATGCATCAACGCTTGGGAGCATATAATAAGTAAATAATAACGGAGATATATTCAAAGTCCCACCCATGGTAGAAAAATACAGGTAGATGCATCAACGCTTGGGAGCATTGATATGTCAAAAATTTTTAAATTTCTTTTCAAATATAAGTAGATTTTTAAATGTTTTCTTATACGACAAAAATCGTGGGTTGTAAAGATATGCATTTTTCAACAATTTTTACAAATTTAAATAATTTTTCATTCAACATTTTTAATTCCAAAATTGGTTTGACAGTTCATTGTCCCAGCAGCTGCGTCGATGCGTCTACCTATATTCTTCTACCATGGTCCCACCCATGGCATAATGAAGAAGGTAACATCAACATCAATCATAATTTTTTCAAAATTACACATTTGACAGCACCGCATTGTTGAAATGTTTATTCATAAATCCATTGTATATACACATATCAGAGATGGGAATCTGTTTTCAATGAAGTCATATTTGACAGAAAACGAATAGCCCGATGTTCTTATTAGAAATGAGACTACATTGAAATAATTTTACCACTTTACCATATCATGGTACAATTAAATAAAGGTAACCCCATTAAAAAATTAATATCCTGCTCGGCATGTTTCTGTAATTTACCTTGTCAACATTGGTTCCCATCTCTGACTTGAATAAATATAATGGATTTAAGGTGATAATACATGAAACGCTCCTTTGGCTGGCTTCTTCGGGTGGGAACAAAGGAGTTGAGTTGACTTAGTTTGGCCCTACGCTCCTTTTTTATGTTCCGAAGAAGCCAGCCGATGACTTAAGCTGGGAATACATAAAGCGCTTATTTGGCTGGCTTCTTCGGAAATGAACAAAGGAGCCTAGGGCTAAAATCGAACTAGGTCAACCTAAAACTCCTTTGTTCATTTACGAAGAAGCCAGCCAAATATGCGCTTTATGTATTCCCAGCCTTAAGCCATTCAAAAAAGCCTTTTGTACTTTCACCTCTACTTCTAAAAGCATTATCAGACGGAATTAATGTTACATACTTGGTCTGTCCCAGAATTGCAAGAATGTAAAATTTTTTACTATAATAACCGATTTTTCATTTATGATATCGAAAAAAATGCAAAAATTGTAGATTCTTGCTCTTCTTGTTCTGGAACATATTACTTTTCACACTCTAAAAAATCATATTTTTCAATTTGTTTTTTAAGATTTCACAAATTAATGCATAAAATTGTCTGTTTTTTCATTATTCTAATTCTGGACATTGTTAACTAAAATATAATGCGGAAAAAATTATAAATATGTAAATTACGCAAAAAAATACTACACACCTTTTATTTATTTTTTCAGAAATTCGTCAAAAAACGATACTTTTTTGCAAAGGTGAGAATACATAAACGCTTTTTTGACTAGCTTTTGGCTGGCTTCTTCGGAAAATAACACAGGAGCGTAGGGCCAAAATCGAACTAAGACAACCTACAACTCCTTTGTTCCTCAACGAAAAAGCCAGCTGATGATTTAAGCCAGTCAAAAAAGCGTTTTATGTATTCCCACCTTAAGTTATGCTTTGTATTGCTCTCTTTTATAGTTTTACAAGAACTTTTATGGTAGATTGTATTGTGTCAATAAAGCAGGGTGTTGGTCGAAGCTGAACAAAATATTATACATATGAAGTAAAAGCGGTAGTAGTGGAGATTTTTCCTTAACACAAAGGGGACCTACAATACCATTTGTAGAGGAAATATGAAATATATATTGAAAAAAAAAACTTTTAATAATAGGACCAAATTAAAGTTACTAAATAGATATCATGCCTATCAACGAAATCCTACAAATATCAACATGCGTGTACCAGGAATCGTGCATTTCACAACTGAAATTTTGTTCATGTATCACACGATATGTGCAACTTCTACACATGTAAAAACATTTCTTCTAATAGAGCCTTAAAAGAGAGATATTACTAAAAAGAACGGAACGGAAAACTAGTAACAATACCGAAATAGGGTTTACTGGTTTAAGTTATCGGCTAGCTTTTTCGGAAAAGAACAAGGTATCATAGGGATCGACGACTTAAGTTAAGCATGGTAGAAGGATATAGGTAGATGCATCAATGTTTGAAAACATTGATATGTCTAAATTTTTAAAATGTTTTATCAAAACTACATATATTTTTAAATGTTTTCTTATAAGACGCAAATCTGTGATTGTTATAATATGAATTTTTCAACAACTTATACAAATTTCAATAATTTTTCATTCAATATTTTCAATTCCAAAATCGGTTTGACAGTTCATTGTCCCAGCAGCTGTGTCGATGCGACTACCTGTATTCTTCTATCATGAAGTTAAGTTAGAACAAGACAACAATAGTTCTAAGTATAGCATGTTAACAATTCGCTTTGTAAACCTAAGAATGAAGAAGACTCAAATAAGAAATTACTTACTATATTATGTACCGCCAAACAGCACACAAAAGATGGCGTCCCATTTGCCGGTACATAACTACTACTTACTCATGCGTTTTATGTATTCCCACCTATATTGACAGATTTGTTGTTTGCGTACATTGTACATGTCATGGTAGAAGAATATAGGTAGATGCATTAACGCGTGGGAACATTGATATGTCAACATTTTCAAAATGTTTTGTCAAAAATAAGTAGATTTTTAAACGTTTCCTTATACGACGCAAATCGGAGGTTGTTATAATATGCATTTTTCAACAATTTTTATAAATTTCAATAATTTTTTCATTCAACATTTTTAATTCTAAAATCAGATTGACAGTTCATTGTCCCAGCAGCTGTGTCGATGCGACTACCTGTATTCATCTACCATGGTACATGTATACCATGGTACAATAAGGAGGTAGAAAAGCTTCGTAAAACTACAGAAATACAGCCCGCTTCCTGCCAAATTTGCATGCAAACAAATTATTTTCATTTATTCAATATTTTCCTCATTTTTAAAAGCAGACCACGCGAAATATGAAAGAACTGCCTGTTTTTCTTTCCAAAATATGATCTAAATAGGTCGATCTTTCAATTACATGGCAAAAATTCGCGAATAGCTTCAATGCGCGTCCCGCAATGTACGTTTCTTCCAGTAATTAATTTTGAAAATATTTTCTTTTAATTCTTCAAAACAATAAATACATACACAAAATTGGCAGAAGCCGGGCACACTTAGGAAAAAAATTGAAATCAGCTGGTAGCTCTACCTTACCTTTTTATTGTACCATGCATGTATACCATGGTACAGTGAATACAAGGTGGGCTAACTCTGAAAAAATTGCAAGTATAGAGGTCTACCTGTTTGGCTTGTAATGTCAGAATCACTAACAAAACAATAAAAAAGCAAAAAACTTGTTGCATTGATTTTGAATAAATGATTTAAAACCGCGAAAACTGAATGAAAGGTCAAAATTTCTTTTTAAAATCATGTTCTATATATCTCTTATGGTTTATTTCGCGACAAAAACTGCAGACTTTGTCGATGCATATGTTGCAATAAGCATTTTGAAAACACCCGAATTTGAATATTTTCTGAACAATTTTTTTATTATTGAAAATAATACGCACACATAAACAAATGAAGTTGACATATTAAGCCAGAAAAATGAAAAAAAAATTAAATTATATGGTAGTTCTGCCCTACCTTGAATTCATTGTACCATAATGTATACCATGTTAGAATCAAGAAGATAAAGTCATTTCAAATAAGCATTTCCATCTTTGTATTTTCTGTAAGTATTTTCACCGAAGGTCGGCCTTTTTATCATGATTAAAACAGCTTTTTTTCTAGGGAGAAACCCGTACTTCCTGTGAAATGGGGTCTGGAAGAATTCCAAAATGGTACTGCATTTTCCAATTCTCTTTAAATTTCGTACATCACAATCGGATATGATGAACGCATAGAACGGACCTCTCCTGTTTGTACCTTCCCCAGAGGTCAAAATTTTGAATAACAATGACTCCCATAAAAGGCAATTTGAACGGCACACTCCCAAAATTCCATGAATACAGGATCTAGTGTGGAAATGGGATACATCGGTCCTTCTGGTTCCTTCTGTGGAGAGAAAGTTGTCGTCAAACACGAGATCACTTCTGTTGATACCTCCACCACAACGGGTAAAAATTTTGTAAACCCATAAACCTCACAAAATGTAAAAGAATCATTCTATTCGTGTCAAACTTTGCGAATCCCAGTACGTCTGCATACACAATAGGTATGTCTGGTTACCCTAAAATTTGTAACAATTGTTACAAATTGTTACTGGAAGTCGTCTGTTAACCCGAAAGTTCTGCAAAAGAGAGCGGTTGGAGAGAGACATTTTGACAGTTCTTTCAGTGAGAGTTTGCAAATTCTTGCTGGACAAATTTTTTCTTGCAATCTCTTGCAACTCTTCTTCTCATTCATCGACATTCAATCAGATGTTTTCTATTGTTTATTTATTTCTTTTTGTGATTTTAATTTGAAAATATTGTTTTGGAATTAGCAAGATTAATTGTTTTTGGAGAACAACTTTACAAAATGTGAAAAAAGTAAATATTAATATGTAATAAGAAAATAAAATACTATTTCCAGCATTTTTAGACAAATGCCATTAGCAACAGGTTTAAAAGATTCCGCGGAACACACCATATCTATCTTCCTTTTATTGCTCATATTTTTATTTTATTGTCAATTTCCTTTTTATTTATAAAACTTGCGAAACTGGTGGTTTTATTCGTTTTATTCTTTTAATGGGGGACAAATTGGTTTGTTTTGACAAATCAGCTGATTAGTTGCAAGCTTCTGCAGGAATACCGTCTGTTTACTTTTCGCAATTTCCTTGCAAAAGAGAATAAAACTACCTTACTCTCTCAAAAAGATGTTGCTGGACAATTCCTGCAGGAAAAGTAACCAGACACACCTATTATTGTAACTAAATACAGTCACACATTCAGAATTTTATTGGAATCGAACATACATAACGTGGTTGGTGTATCAAATAAACGAAATCTGTCGAAAATATATATGGGAGCTATATCCAAATCTCCGATTTAAATATAAGTTGGCAAATTTATTTTTTGACAAATTCCTTCACTCATTCCAAATTACATTGTAATCGAACATACATATCGTGTTTGGTGCACCAAAAAGTGCAAGAACTTACACCTCAAAAGAAAGAATATAGACTCAAAAGAGCTAAAGAGTTGCTTCGCTTGGCCAAAAGTGGTGAATTGCCGAATTTGGTTTTCTCCGATGATAAAACATTCGTTGTCCAGCAGTTTGTAAACAAACAAAATGATCGTGTTTACTTGCCAAAGAGGTCAGCTGAAAATGTGCACATACGGTTGGCCACCAGAACTCAAGCGCCGGCCATGGTGATGGTGTGGGCAGCCATAACAGCCGATGGCCGCTCTCCGCTCGTAATAAATGTCGAATATTATAGCGAAAATATTTTGGAGAGTGTATTAAAGTCTTCGGCACATAAACATTTTGGCCGCAGACCTTGGACATTTCAACAGGACTCAACACCATCGCACCCAAGAATGATTACAAAATGAGGTTCCTCGCTTCATTTCCAACGCTCAATGGCCACCAAAATCTCCGGATACAAATCCGATGGACTATTGTGTCTGGAGTATTTTGGCAAGCAAGGTTGGCACTAAAAAAATTGTGACTTTGTAGTATACTGTACTGTACCAGTGTAAAAACGCAGTGATGCATTCTGTATTAATACTCCGCACATGATTTAAAAAAAAAATATATTTTTTTTTACCATGGGTAATACTATGGCGAAAAAATCGGATTAAGCAATAAATTCTAATAATGTTAAAATTACCTGGATAAAATTACGCATTTAAAAGCTCTATTAAACATCTCCGAAGATAAATTACACAAATAACTTCGAATCTCATAAATATTAATATTTAATATGAAAATAAAAGACTATTTCCAACATTTTTAGACAAATGCCATTAGCAACAGGTTTAAAGGATTCCGCAGAATACATCAAATCTATCTTCCTTTTGTTGCTCATATTTATATTTAATTGTCAATTTCCTTTTTATTTATAAAACTTGTGAAATTGGTGGTGGTTCCTTTCGTTTATTCTTTTAATGGGGGACAAATTGGTTTGTTTTGACAAATCAGCTGATTAGTTGCAAGCTTCTGCAGGAATACCGTCTGTTTACTTTTCCCAATTTCCTTGCAAAAGAGAATAAAAGTACCTTACTCTCTCAGAAAGATGTTGCTGGACAATTCCTGCAGGAAAAGTAACCAGACACACCTAATATCTGATGTAAAGATGGGATGCAGCTCCGTTTGGAAAATTGTGGGATGCCTGTCCCAAAAATTTTGCAAAGAAAACATTTTTCTCATATTTAGGAATTTAAAATTTATGTTTTTATTTTTTATTTGAATTTATGGTTGTCAAAATCATTTTGACAGTGAGATGTTGTCATATGGACAATTTTGAAAAAAAATGTAAACATATGATTGCATGATTTTATCTTCTTCATTCTACCATGATGTATACATAAATTTGGAGAATTTTTTATATTTTATATTTTGATGTAGTTGTAAGTGTTTGGCTCGAATAACTGCCTCGATGTCAATCTTCCTTTGTAACATAATTTTTTCTGTTTGGAATTTTTGCAAGGCAATAAATAATAACAATTTTTCATATTGAAAGCACATTTTTTAAGGAAAATTATAGTGTTGTTGTTCGTTTACGACCCCAATTAGTTTCTACTTTGTAAACCCAACGTTAAATTGAGGTGCTAAACGGAGTAGGGGACATTTTTTCACAAAAAATTACAATATTTTAAGATACTTACAAGTAAAGTAATAAAGCTAATTTGCTTTGTATAAACACCTTAATACAACACAATTGTTGATTGCTTTACATAATTGATATTTTACGTTACTTTGCGCATTAATTCACTTTAGTTCATCATTTATTTCTTTCAGTGTAACAATAATATGCAACTCTGTGTCTCGATAAAATGTCAAACAAAACAAACAACAACATTATTAAGCCAATCAGAATCTGTCAATGTGAGAAAATCGGAAAAACTAGGAGTTGAGACAATATCGTGCGGTCCATTTGTGGAAATAACAAGAAAATATAAAAATAAACATTATATTTTTAGAAATATTTGGTGGATATTTAAAGCCGTTTATGGGACAAATGTGCGTGACGATAGGTGTGACGTTTCTGATACCGAAGAGTTTAATAAAGTTCAAGTTACCTAGCAAAGTATAAGCAATTGTTGTGAAAATATATATTCTGCTACTAGAAAACAAATGTTATTATCTCATTAATTATTGTTTTCAACTATTGGCCATAAAGCACAGATTGTGACTGTAATTGAATCAACAATACGAATTTGGTGAATTGTGCAAATAATACGTATGGTGCTATCGTAAGTGGACACAAACGTAAGTAAATGTATTGAAGTAGAAATAATTTTTTTTGGGGAGGGTTAAGTTAATGTTGTCATTAATTAAAGGCGAGTTGATGGGTCAATGATTACGAAATGATTTCTTCTTTTGTCTATAAATTTCGGTTTCAACTCCTGGCTTCTGCCCTTGCCACCTACTACTTGGTGGAATTCTGATTCATCGCAATATGCGGTGCCGTATTTTTATTCTGGTTTGCATTTAACATTAAGTATAGGTATGCAAGTAACACAACTACAACAACATTACGCTGGCCTCCATTGATGTGCTAAAATATATATTGTTTTGTGTTTATTTTTTGTTCGCTAAACAACACCTTCTTCTCCTTGGCGAGCGAGCGAGCAACAATGAATGTGTCGTCGCCGTGTTGCTTATTTTTGTTAATCCACTTAGTTGTTGGGGTAATTTGAAATCAAAAGAATTTATTTTTTTTTGTTATTTTGGTTAGCATTGTTTTTGTTTTCTTGCAGCCATTCGTGTTTACTTTGCGCTCTTGATTCCGAGTACAAATGCAGTTGTAATGTCAAAAAAGCACCACCTATTCCTTATTGCGGCTGCTTTATTTACTACTAATTGACGTGTAAATGTTGCACGTCTATGGTTGAAGGTCAAGTGCATTAAACATGGAAAACTCGCAATTATTTCCAAAATGTCGATATCAATTTCCTTCAACTTAGAATAAAAAGGGGGATTCGGGGTTTTCACGATATTAAGGTACATTTTTTGCGTTATTGTAAGAATTTGAATTCCAATAACAATAATTTTGGGATTATTGTAATCGAGTTTTTTTACATAATTAGCAGAGCTAAAACTGATCAGCACATTATGAAGGACTTAAATTAAAAGTCTTCAATTTTGTATAAACCGTTGGAATTTAAAGTTGATGATATATAAATTATCGATTAAGAGTTCTGCAGTTGTACTGTTGTTTTCAGTTTGATTAATTTTGATGGATGATAGATTTTACCTGGGTCTATATAGGCCGGAGTTTACCACAAAAAGACCAGCCGAAAATGCTGCATGTGTATTAGAAAATGCGAATGTTCATAATTCTATAAATTATTCGAAATTCTTAATGTAAATAGATGATGTTAAGTCATTCATTACTCATAATTCTGAGAAAAAAGCTAATAATTTCTGATTTTTGCTTTGAGAAATCTACACTGTAGTAGTCATTTTGTTATGCCTTTTTATACTAACAGGTTAAAATTAATTAGATTACCTACACTAAAAAGTAGACGTAATAGGATGATCCCAATGATACTAAAAAATATGTAGATTTTAGTATTAGTTGAGAAGTTATTAGATTTAGTTTTATTTTTAAACGATTATGTTTAACGTTTATGTTGTATTAATAAGCAATCTGATAAAGTAGATTTTGTAGCTGGGTTTCAATTTACTACTCAATTTCCGTTATGATGCTGACCATGGCGAGTACACATTTCCTATGAAAAGCTTGCTTTTCGCACTCTATCGGCAAGAGTGAGAAAGTTAGGAGTGCGAGTGAATTGTTTAGTCCTTAGATATGCATCAGCTATGTCAAAAAATATTTATTTATTATTTTTTTTTTTTTTGAAAAAATAAGTAGATTTGTACAGGGTGAGATAAAAAAAATGCAACACAGTCAAACGCCAAAATTTTTAATTTTTTTTTTAATTTTATTGAGTGACAGCAAAAAATGTTGGAAGTTGCATAAACATTTAGAATAAGTTTAGATTTGTTCGAATTGGTCATCTTTGGCACAAATTATGACCTTCAAACGGCCAATAAACCGCTGTGGTATTCCCCGCGAAGCGCGTGCAAATTGTCTTCGAGACGTTAAACCAGTTTCATTGTACCTTTACGGAGTAGTGTTTCTCCATCAATCGGAAGGAGTAGGCATTACCGATCCATGTCGATTGAATCGAATCCGCTTCTTGTCATTTCATTCGCTGCTTCATTGCCGAATATGTTGCGATGGCCAGGAACAAACAAAGGGATTTAAACTACCCTTTTAAAAGCTAAAATATCAAATTAACACTTAAAAATACCGATAACCAAAAGTTGTCCAATTTTGAATATTTTTTCCCGTATGCGTGTGGACTTTGTCTGGCCAACGCTGCTATAGGCAGGCATAGCCAACATATAACGGATAAACTATTTTGCGTAATTATTAGTTCTAAATTCCTATGGATTAGAATCCATGTTGGCCTCTACTTAAAAGCAAAGCTTAGACCGGTAAATAATTGAGGTATTTATTTTTAGAGTTGAAAATAACAATTTGGCTTATTTTTTCTCTCAAATGCGGGGCACATCAATATTGATTTTAATTAACAATGTTTGGATATTAAACATTAAAATAACGTCATATATTTATTTATTTATTTCAAATTGTTAAGTCTATCAGGCCGTGGCTGTTGAAAAAAAAAAAAACAACTTAGCCTATAAATTAGCTATTTCAGAAATCTCAAAAAAAATAGTAAATACTAAAATAATAGTAAATACATAAGAGAGTTTATAAAAACAAAAACAAAAAGCTATTACATTACACCAATAACAATATAGCATTAGCCGTTCTGGGAAACTCTGTTGGCCTTGGACGTTTACGAGTATAAGATGTTCAACGAACGTCCGGTACGCTGCCAAGACCTAAGTAGTTAAAGTTTAGTGTGCATCAAAAATATAACATAACTCCAAACTGACAGACACAAAAAGCAACTAAGCCTACTAAACAAGGCCTACATAAGGTCGGCCAGTAAAACCCATCTGACAACCAAGTTTGTTGTCAAAACACAATTGTAATTTGAAATTCAAAGAGAGACAAATCAATAATAATAAGTTTATTGTCAAATGGTTGTTAAAGGTAGACTTCCTGGCAGACCTTATATAGGCTATGCTACCAATTTTTATACCCTCCTCCATACTATGGAGGGTATATTAACTTTGTCATTCTAACCTAACAAAGTATATATATTATGTGTTTGTTTTCTCTTTCGAGACGAGCTTAATGATCTGAAATTTGCAGTGAAAAGGAAAGCCAGATAGACACTATCACACACTCACCACTGTGCGACGCGTTTCGCCGTTGGTTAAGCGGCTCATCAGGCATATTTGGTGTGGATGATGGCTTACAAGGGCCGTTCTCTGGAAAGTAGTATATATTTCGAACTTATTGCAAATTGGCATATGCGAATTATACACTAGAAACTCTCCAGGTTCGACTCAAGTTCTATTGGCAGATCTTTTTCACAGCAAAGTTTTTTTTGTTTTTGTAGTGATGGATTTTTTGTCCACAACAACTACATTGCTTCCAATGCATACACTTGTTTTAGTGCTGCTTTAGGAAGACGGGTTAATGGCTCTGAACGTAGAGACGGCAACTTCTAGTTGGCTGCACACCGAGGTCCGCGGTTCAAATCCCACAGCCAGGCTCGGCTGAATTTTTGAGTTTTGCCTTGTTAAGGCGAAGATCATATGTTTTATGATTTATGTGTTTGTTTTCTCTTTCGAGACGAGCTTAATGATCTGAAATTTGCAGTGAAAAGGAAAGCCAGATAGACACTATCACACACTCACCACTATGCGACGCGTTTCGCCGTTGGTTAAGCGGCTCATCAGGCATATTTGGTGTGTATATATATTCTTGTCGATTTAGCGATGTCTTAGTCGATTTAGCGATATCCGTATGTCTGTCAGTTCGTCCGTCCGTGTGTCTGTTGTAATCATGCTATCTTTAGAACGAATTGAGATATAAGGCTAAAATTTTGTACAAATGTTTATTTTGCCAGTAGGCAGGTTAGGTTCGTAAATGGGTCATGTAGGCCCACGTTTTAATATAGTCCCCATGTAACGGTACCTCCCGATATTCGGTATTTTGATGATTTTAGCGACATTATTCGTCGGAATTGTTTCCAATTTGGTATTTTAAGTTCGCAATGGATACTACAGCCTATGACAGAAAATTGTCTGTGCAGGACTACGTTTTATTACCCCCATGGTACCTCCCGATATTCGATATTTTGATGATTTTAGCGACATTATTCGCCGGAATTGTTTCAAATTTGGTATTTGAAATTCGCAATGGATACTACAGCCTATGACAGAAAATTGTCTATGCAAGTCCATGTCTTTATATAGCCCCCATATAACGGTACCTCCCAATATTCGGTATTTTGTTGATTTTAGTGTCATTATTCACCGGAATTGTTTCAAATTATGTATTTAGAGTTTGTAATGGGAACTACAGTCTGTGACAGAAAATTGTCCATGCAGGTTCACGTATTTATATAGCCCTCATATAACGGTACCTCCCAATATTCGGTATTTTGATGATATTAGCTACATTATTCACCGTTTATTTCAAGTTTCGAATTTGAATATGGTAATGGCTTATGACAAACAATGCCTATGTAGGTTCACGTCGTATAGACCTCAATATAACAGCTATATTCGGTGTTTTTATGATTTTAAAAGAATTTTTTAAAGATTTTATTTTTTATAAAAATTTCCAAATTCGTTCCAAATGGTGGAGGGTATTCAAAGTTCGGCCCGGCCGAACTTTCTGCTTTTTAACCAGTTATTCCTTCACATATATTCCTACACGTGCTTCTTCGTTAACTGAGCAGTACATTAGAGCTAGATTTTTTTTGTATTATGTATTATGAAGTATAAGGCATTACCATTGTTATTAATTGCTGGAAAATTGCCGATACGAGCAATTTCTTTCCATTTTCTACAGACAGAGACTTGCCACAAGTTAACTTGCCCTTGATATTGCTACTGAGTTGCATTTTTTCTACGCACTTCGAAGTTAAACATATCTGTTTTGTTTTTCTTTTGTACGATTTATAGAAAAAAGTCATTGCAAAATATCCCAGAATTACTTATAGGAATTTATAACAAATGTAAAAGAATATCCAGAACTTTATTCCGTTAATGCAAAGTCTTCATTAAGTCATTAAGGCCCCCATAATTAAGTCACAGTTTTTTGTCACAACGCCTGTGTCGTTTTCTATCGTGTTGATGCCACATGCCACATGTGTCGAAGTAAAAAGATCCGGTAACTGTCATTTCTCTTTTTCTTTTGTGTCCAACACTGGCAACACTGTATCTTCCTTTTATTTTCTTTGTTTCGTACACACACTCACATACATACATACACACAATTAGGAGAAGAATCTGAAGACGAAAAAATTCCGAATGGCAACATCAAAAGTTTTTTGTGTAGATTTATTTCGGTAGAACAATTATACAAATCCGTCCAAGTTGTGAAAAATTTATGGAAAAAGGCACAAATACTGGCAGAAAAATGCAGGGACACTAAACGAAAGCACAATGGATATTTTGTAGATGTGCCGAAAAAAATCTATCACTACCAGCGTTTAGAGTTTAGAGGATTTTTAATATTGGCCTGGTATCTGATCTGTGAAACGCACATACACACTCACGCAAGCTTGTACTGGTGTGTCGTTGAACGGAAACAGCAGGAGTAGGAAGAGTGGGATGGTGATTATGATGACGGGCAATCTACATTTTGTTCTATTAAAGATAAATGACACGGATATTTGTCAGTTGCAACAGGAGCAAAGAGACGTTGCTGCATTGGGTCGATTGCTCACTGAAAATCCCGAGGAAAATGTTGTGTTGCAACTAAAACGAAAAGCAGGCTACTGGGCTAGCAAGTCTGCGGCAGTCGGAGACAACGAAGAGACAGAGATAAGCAAAAGAATTTGCTATCTGAAGATACAGCAGAATGTCGATAGTGATGAAACGTTGACAACAAATGTTGAAGGAACGACGAATAATGATGGTTCCTCACCGGCGCCGAAACCAATGGAAATTATAATGAATCTATATTTTCCAAATACAGTGTCTGATAAGGGATTTGTTCAATCGAAGTCCACCCAAACCGATGACATGGCCTACTATGTACACGAACAATTACGTAACATCCAAAAGGACACCGAGCGCCTCATTGAGGAGGAGCACAATTTGTTCGAACAAAGTTTGGCACCAGAAATTGACATTGAGGAAATTACGTTGCGCAAGACGCACAGTCATGAACGTTTGGGTCTGACGGTTTGCTACAGCAATGGTGAAGAGTATGGAGAAAGTGGTGTAGATGGGGGCGCTGGAAGTGGTGGCAGTGGAAATGAAGTATATGGAGGATCTAGTGTTACTGAGGTCTATATAAGTGATATACACGCTGACAGTGTCGCTGGTCGAGATGGACGTCTGCGGCAAGGAGATCAGATTCTACAGATAAATGGCAAGGACATAACCACCAGGGAAGAAACGGAAACGTTGATTGCCGAAAACAATAATGCTGTAACCCTGTTAGTGAGTCGTTATTTGTATGGCGAAGATGATTTTAACGATCCGTCTACAAATGAAGATGACGATGAGGTGTTGGTGGTAGAAGATGATGAAGATGACGATGATGAGGAATATTATGACGAGAACAATATGACATACGTAAACTGCATGACCAACAACGATTGTTGCCTTAACAATGTGGATGATTTCGATAAGGCTTTGTTGTCTCAGGTGGAGCAACAGCATCAAGAGCCGACCAATGAAACCATTGAGCCAGCTGCCAATAATATGCCTAAAGAGAAAACCAAAAATCCCAAGAATGATCGGAAAACCTCTAGTATGTTAAGACAAAATAGCAATTCCACAAATCTCACAGCCACTGCCACAAATGTCATTTCAAATATGGACACTGCCACCAAATCCATATCGTCTTCGACTCGCAATGCAGCAGAAAATAAAACAAGTGATTATTATGAGTCTGAACACATCTACGAAACTATTCCCGAAGATCCCGAATCGGAGCCGTTTTATTGTTCGCCCTACGACAGCTCTGTGTATGTCACTGCCATAGCCTCATGTTCCTCCTCAACCATGACCGATGCATTGCAACACCAAATGCAACAGCATAAACAGCGAGTGGTCCAGTGGTTGGGTATAAATCCCTCCCATGGCATTTGCCATACAGCATTACCGCGTCATGCGGGTCGTAACACAAGTGGAGGCGGCGGACGTAGCTTAAAGAGTCGCCATAAAATCAGCTCAGTGGGTACAATGCGCAGCACAGTGACCTCACTCACTAATGGATCATCGCTGGATGGAGGTATTGGTTCTGCAATGACATTGCCAGCTTCTCAAGTTGACGATCAAGATAATTCGTCGAGTGCATATAATACCGGCGGGTCCAATAACAGTGTGTCCCCTCATTCCGTAGTGTTAACGGGAAAACTTCGTGGCTCAGACGTGTACACTAACACACCAAGTGGGGTACCATCTTTGGCGGCAACCACATCAACAGATGATGTCATGGTAATGCAACAAATATTAATGCAACAACATAAGCTAGCCAATCAAAATAAGATACTGTCGCCAAAAGACAAAAATAAAATAACGAGTCCAAAAAGTGCCAACAAGCTGCCTTTTGTTGAGCAGAGCATTGGTATTGGCGGAAAATCCAGCGGTGGTATTACATATAATAACAATGATACGACTAACATTCAACGAAGTTTAATGGTACAGCAACATTTAATAAAGCAATCACCTTTGAGCATCGACAAGATAGGTGCACCCCAACAGTTGTCATACTATCAACATCAAGTGGCAACAAATAACGAACAAATGCATTGCCCCCAGTTCACGGCACCCAATTTGAGTCAATACCACTTTGTTAGCAGTCAAGAGGTAAACAATTTGTCTCTTAACAATAAAATACCAAAGTCTTCCCCCACAGTAGCTGAAACGGCAGCTAGTAGTAGTAATGTAAAGAAGGATGGCGAAGAAGAGGCCATGGTGTGGAAGGTCAAACGACGACCAGACGGCACACGTTACATAGTGCGGCGGCCGGCAAAAAGTCGTGTAATCAAAGAACGTACTGTTCGGCTCAACGTGGAACGTTTGAGGGATGACGTTACTACAACAGAAGATGATACAATGTCCGAAATAAAAACTGGACGATATTGGACACGAGAGGAACGCAAGAAGCACATTGAGAAGGCCAAGGAACGTCGTCAGCAGCAACAGATGCAGTATCAGCAACAATTGCAACAGCAGTTGAATAAAACAGCAGATACCACGGTAACCGATAACCATACACATTTTTTAAGTTTTTCACGTCAAAAATATCGTCAACATTATCAGTTACAATTCAATACGGCTCAAGCGGAGGCAGCAGCACAAAAGCATAAATCATCCCTTAATTATTCATCACAAGCTCCCAATAATTTGCATGATGATAGTAGCACGTGTGGCGTAGGTGCTGTTGAACAAAGTGATAATGTGACCAATATGTCGGCAACAGTGACCGTTAATCCAACACCTGGTAACCACATGATGACAGCCACATCTAACGAGCGCAATAATCTTAATAGCAATATGGTATCCGTCACAACTGTATAAATATCCAAATTCCTAAATATTTGTAACGATTTGTTTTTTGTTTTTAATAATCTAAAGATAATTTTTTGAGAATTTTAAGGTGATTTTAAGGAATCTAGTATGTGAGTTGATAAATTGTAATGATGGACTTTGTCCCCAAGATGCAGATTACATTTCTTAGTTCTTTTAGATTCTTCATAGAATGTATATCCCGTATACATTTTGGGGAAAATCAACAATAAATGTAGTATGGCATGGTCAGTATGTTTTCAAATGAAATATGTAGGAATCTGCAATGTGATTCTCAAATACAGGGTGAGATAAAAATTGCAAGAAAGGCAAACGCCACAATTTTTAATTTTTTTAATATTTTTGAATGAAAGCAAAAAATGTCGGAAATAGCATAAGAATAAGTTTAGATTTGTTCGAATTGGTCACCTTTGGCACGAATTATGGCCTTCAAACGGCCAATGAAACACACGCGTCCCGAATGTTGCTCTGCGATATTTTGGCCCATTCCCGGCGAAACGCTTGCTTGAAGTGGTGACACTTTGGAATTGTTTAGTGCCAACCTTGCTTTCCAAAATACTCCACACACAATAATCCAACGGATTGGTATCCGGAGATTTTGGTGGCCATTGTGCACTGAAAATGGAGCGAGGAACCTCATTTTGTAACTATTCTTGGCTGGCGCGTGCTGAGTGCGATGGTGCTGAATCCTGTTGGATTGTCTGGGGATTGTTCGGGGAAAACCAAATTCGGCAGTTCACCACTTTCGGCCTAGCGAAGCAACTCTTTAGCTCTTTGGGTCTATTTTCTTTCTGTTGCGGTGTAAGTTCTTGCCCTTTTTGGAATTTCAATGGCTTTACCCCGAGCTCATTTTTCAATATTTGCCGAATGGAATATTGCGATATTTTCAGCTCACGAGCCATTTTTCGACCACTGCGACACGGGTTTCGATGCTTTTGTACGCTTTTAAACAATATAATGAGTTGCCACTGGAATAATTTTAACAGCTGTCGAACGAGTGGCTTAGAAATGACAGCAGTCTGAAGTTGGTTGCAGTTTTTTCATCTCACCCTGTATATTTAAATCTGTAGTGAGATTCTCTAACACTTTATCCAAATTATTTGTTAATAAAATTGTGTCTAGACCATTTGGTTCACGTCGGCAACTTACCGACAAATTTTGTTTATTGCAATTGAAAAATTGCTGTTATTGGTAATCGTCGCTAATATTGTCGATCGGTACAAAAACTCAAACTATTACTAAATTTTATTTTTTTTGTCTAGTCCTGTTTTTAATATTTTTTTTTGCATCATACCCATATTATCTTTTAAGTTAAATTCTATTAGAATCTAAAATCTACTGTTCCAAATCTAAGATTCCTGAACTTAAATCTTTTTTCCATAACAACATTTCAGGCTTCGGTTCTTCAGAGCAGAGATGTTCCTTAAACACCTTTTCATTCTCTTAAACTTAATCAAAATAAAAATCTAGAGTTAACTCAATTTACCTGCTTAATCAACAGAATATATACAATAGACTTTCAAAACTAGCAAACACCTCCTACCCAAATATATAAGCAAAATATTTGCTACAAGTAGACAAGCTCCTTGTAACCGGATAATGTGCCAAATAATGTGAACTTCAACACTTTGAACTAAATTTGGTTTATGTATATAGCTAAAAAAACAATATCTTCTAATTAAATTGCATACATATTAATACTAAGCACAGTGAAGATGCAATAACTGTAGTAATGTCTAGTAGTTGGATTTTTATTAGCTTTTTCCCCAAATAAAATGAAACTTTATGAATCACCAATCAAATTATGTATTACGACTAATTCTAAGATACATATATTTAATATAATAATGCAGAATGTATACAGAAATTCATATATAAAAGATTGCCATCCGTTTCCAGTAGATACAGCACAATAAAATTACAAGCAATTATACGAGTGAGAGTATATACATATATTTATGTGCGATCCATTGTGTACATTCATTTGAAAGCAATACTAGTTATTTTTATTTTTGCCAACTTCAAAGTTCCATAATAGTCCTTATTAAGTTCTTTTAACGTGCATTTACTTATATAAGCAAAATAAAAAAAAAATATTTGTAACTTTTTGGGTTTGCTTGTTTTCTGCAACCATATCTACTGCAATAACTTACCGTACTCAACTTTTCCTCATGTTCCAAACTCCATTCCTTCCCATAATCTCGTATACAACAGAACCTATGTATTTTTTATACCAGTAAAATGCAATTTATTAAGCGCCCTTTTTTTGAAAAAAATGTGTGTTTTTAATAACTAAGAATATAACGATAATGTATAACGATATTATATGCAAAAAAAAAAAAAAAAAATAATAATAAAAAACAAGAAAACAATACACGAATATAAAAATAAATAGTACTAATTGTGTTGAGTGAAAATAAAATTAAAACAAAAATATTTATTTCTTGATTTTATTATTCCTATATATATAAAAAATATCAATTCGTTTGTTATAGTTTTTATTAATATATAAACATTATTAAAAAATAAAAATACTAAATACTTATATACACCATATAATTTTGTTTGACTGTTCTTTGTGTTGAAATATTTATAAAGATAAGCTAATTTCTTTTGTCTCTATAGTTTGAGGCTAATCTATATCTATAAAAGAGGAAACTGTTTGTATGTTTGTTTGTAATTTATAGACTCGAAAACCCCTGCACAGATTTTCCTGAAAACTTCCAAGTATACGATTACATTTTTTAAAATCCACTTGGAACCGGAGATATAGACTTTATATGCACATGTGTTTGATGCATTAAACTTGCTATGTATCTCTAACTTCAATGAGATTTGGAATATGTAACGGAATTTAGAATGAACATACATTTGCCAAATTATATTGAAATCAGTTCAGATTTGGATATAGCTTCCATATATATTTTCGGCCGATTTTACTTATTTGATGCACGCAACGCAATGTCCGATGTCCAATGAAATTCAGACACGTGACGGAATTTAGTACCAAAAAAATTGCCAAATTATATGTAAATCGGTTGAGGTTTGGGTATAGCTCCCATATATATATTTCGGTCGATTTCATGTATGTTATGCACCAAACACGATATCTATGTCCAATTCCAATGAAATCAGAATGTGTGGAGGAATTTGGTTACAGTATTAAATTTGACAAATTAATTAGAAAACAGATAAGATTTGGATATAGCTCCCATATATATTCTCGGCCGATTTCACATATTTGAAACACCAAACATGGTACGTACCTCCAATTTCAATGAAATGTGGAATATTGACCCACGGCGCTTTTGCAATGGTATTAGGCTAAAAGTAAAAAACAACAACAATTTAATTGAGGATACGATTATTACGGGGAAGTATGTTGCTACCTCGAATTCCCTAATACTTAGATGCACCAAACAGTGCGTTTGCGGTGGTCTCTGTCGTTGTCGAGACTTCAACGAATGTAGACATGCGTGGGGGATGCACGCATTGTTGCTCCGTTAACATTAAGAAAACAAATTATAGATAGCTTTTGTAAAAAAATATAAATACATGGAGTTTATACTTAATGTTTTTTAATGATTTTGCTAACATAAAATTAAAATTCTTGTTACAAAGCGTCCAAAACAAGAAGGGAGATATTTTTAACGTGCTTTTTGGTTTCTCTCACACACACAAGCGCAATGTTCATTTTGTGCATCTATGCTGTAATAGCAACAGAAATATCTCTCAAATTGAAAAGATTGCAGTTTTCTGCACCTTCGGCATTTGCTATGAAATTAATAAATCCTAAAGACAAACCCTTCGTGTATGCGTATTAAATTTGGCATGTTCCTGCTTTTCTCATGGACAGCTGTTCCTGGCATGTTCATGCGTTTGTAGATCGAGCTATTTGTTTGTTTAAAGTATTACAATAATTAGGTAATTAAAATTTTTGAATTTGTTTTATATAAAATTTTGAATGCATATAAAATCAAAAGGCGTAGCGAAGCGCACCGTGTCCAGCTAATTTATATATATTCATATTCCAAAAATATTTCGCTAAAAATTACTATACTAAAATATAGCTAAACAGTCTTCCCGCTGAAATTGTTTGTTCGATGTCAACGATGTGGTTCAATTACTGGTTGGCACTCTTTTTGGTTCTTTCACTCATTCTTTTTACAAGAGAGTGGCAGACAAAAAATCCAAATCATGTTCGGATCCTAGACATCATTTCCTGACCTTTGGCATGGCATTTTCACCCAACCATTGGCACGAATTTTTTATCCAAATTTTGGCATGACATCTCAATCATACTTTAATGAGAAATTGGCTAAAACATATATATGGGATATTTGGCTATATAATATTACACGTTTGTTGCATAATAGGGATGAAATCGTAGAAAGTAATATATGAGGGCTATAACGGTGTGTGCTGGACATTCTCATTTCCTTGTAAGTGTGTTAAACATTCAAGGGATTTGTTTAAGTGTTAAAGAAATTATCCCATGTGTCATGACTTTATTAGGACTCCAGAAAATAAATATAGAGTTACTTTCATTGAATTTTGTTGGGATCTTTTGATGTGGCTCCGTAGAATATTTATTATGGGACTTATCTTAGTTTTTAATGTAATGTGTGTAAGTGGTTTAATTTGTAATTTTTAGTTGAAAACTTCTCTCTCAAAAACCAGCTCCACAATTTTCAGTTCCCAGTTGTAGCAGCTCCTATTTCTTTGTCCGTTCTGACTCATCTTAATCTGGTTCTGATTCTAAGTTCAGCCTCAAAAAGGATGCAACCTATATACGTAGGGTCCATAACGATACTAGAGATAGTTGGGTAGTTTTGGCTGGGCAGTGAAATAGGTGCAGCGTGTCATGTGGAGCTGTGCTACATACTGGGCAGGTGTTCTTCACATTACTGTCAATCCAGGCCCAATATGAATTGAGGCGGCTACACCATCCAGATCTTAATTGTTCACGAGCTGGTTGGGCAACTCTAGCTCTTCATCTGTGACGGGAGGGGAATGGTCTCCGAGTACGGTATTCATCCTATATTCCTTCTTGACTTCTGTGACTCCGTCAGAGTGAATACCATTCAGTCCAGTTTAATAGGGCAGCATTAAATTATGCTAGCATTTTATTATGCTATAGCACAGGTAAGACCTTCGCCTCCTCATGCAAATGGTCGACAGGTGTTATGAGGAGGAACCATGTTGCGGTTCTAAGGGCGGCGTACTGACAGGACTGAATATTTTTTCACTACGTTGCACTTACGTTGGCGGATCGCACTGGAGCCACATAGTTTACCACAGACCGACCTATCGCGTTGTAAGAGATCAAGAAGGCCTCCTCATGACACCAGTGGACCATCTACATGAGTAGGCGAAAGTCCTTCCCTTACGTCAGCATATTCATATGCTTTCGTTGCAGTACCTGCTGCGGTGTTACCGTGAAAGTCATTCCAACCATCATATGGTGGATACAACTCCTCCACCCTAGCGGTCCGCACAATACGCTGCACATCTTCAATTGCACAGCCAAACCTACCCAACTCATACCAGAAAATGATTTTAGACACATTTTTCAATGGAATGATCTGAAATTGCACACAAGCAGTTCTTTATGAATACTTTACCCCCTGGAAGAGAATCTTCTATATAGGTCCACAATATCGTATATCCCCCATATATCTGCACCTTCCGATATACGGTATTTGTTAGAATTGGAATTGTCTTAAAATTCACACAAGGAGTTTCCCGTGAGTACTTTATCCCCTGAAAGATAATTACCCTATATTTAGGATTTTGATGATTTTAGCCACATTTTTCAATGGAATTGTCTGATATTCTACACAAGGAGTTCATTGTGAATACTTTACCCCCTGAAAGAGAATTGTCTACATAGGTCCACAATATCGTATATATCCCACATATCGGCACATTCCGATATTCGCCATTTTTAAGATTTTAACAGAATTATTAATGGATTTTATTTTTAATCAATTGTATTCAAAATGTGGCACGGCCGAACTTACTGCTTTTTTACTTGTTTTGTTAAAAATCCATCAAAATGGAAGAAAATACTAACAACAATTTCACAAAATGTTATTTAAATGCTGTACACGTGCATATCCATTAACTCAAATCAAAATAGGTTTTGACTGCAAAAGAAGACAACATGTAGTCTTACTATATAAACTTCTCGTAAATACAACTTGTTCTATATTATAGTGCAAACAATATTCTATTATTAAAAATTTTCTGTTTTATTTTTAGCTCGCAGTAGTGTGCAATACCTGTCATCTGTCAATTGACAATATAAACGCAGTGCTCAATTATCCTAATTACAGTAGACATATTGTTCAAAGTGTAGAGTTGTGGTGTTATCAGGTGAACAATAATGCAGAGTGTATCGAATGGAAGTAACGCTGATGCAGTTGGCGGCAGTGGCCCAAGTGGTAGTAATAAACGTCCAAAAAAGGGTATTTTAAAAACATCAAGCAGTTTCGATCGCACTGGCGCAAGGTGAGCTATTCATATACATGTTTTTATGTTTTATTATAATTATTTTATGAGAAGTTACGGCCACAATCTGCAATGGTTATACTCCCCTCTTTTTAAAAATAGATTTTATTTAATTACTTGTTGCACTAATTACTTTTTCCACACCAAATACATTACTCATGATAATTTTAAAATAATTTCATTTTATTACCTTATCTTTAATGACCATCAAAATGCTGTAGAACAGATAACAAATTAAAAAAACCAACAAAGTGATAATTTTGAATGACAGCTAATTGAATAATGAGACATTCTATTTTTACGTTTTAACACTTCATCATTATGTCTACTGAGACGATGTTAGATTATGATCTGATAACTTTTGTTTATATTTGTTTTTCTACATAGTAGCCGTAAAAGTGCTAAATTCGATGAACTGAACGTGCTGCAAACATTTCATCCAGCTGACAAAGATTATGGTCATATGAAAATCGATGAGCCCAAAACGCCATACACTTACAATGAGCCAGATCCAGAACGTGATCAATTGGATGCAGAATTATTAGCTGAAAAGTATAACCGAATTTTTGTTTGTTTCTAGTTTTAATTTTTTTAATTGCATTTGTTTTTTATTTTGCTTTTAGATTACGCATTGCTGCCAATACTCAAACGCCTTCCTTTGATGATGAAGAAGAACTATCAGATGAAGAATTTGAGGAGACACCAGAAGAAAAAGGTAGATATCCAATAGAGCAGGAACAAAATACATTTTACGGTTTAATGGGTTTAACAGGTGTACTAGTCAAATTTGTTCTATAATCGATCTGTTTATAAGGAAAGCCAAAATAGATCTAATAGTACAACCATGGTAAAATTAAGAAGGCAAAGTCATTTCAAATAAGCATACCAATCTCTAGATTTTCTGTAATTTAGCTTGTCAAATTTTACTGCATAGAAAACTAATTCCCATTTCTGATTTGTGTAAGTACAATGGATTGCATACGTTAGGGCAATATCAGATTTTTATTCCCATCACCATACAATGGAGGGTATATTAACATTGTCGTTCCATTTATAGCTCCTTGCAATACTCATGCGAGACCCTACAAAGTACAGGGTGAGATGAAAAAACTGCAACCATCTTCAGGATGCTGTCATTTCAAAGCCACTCGTCCGACAGCTGTTAAAGTTATTTCAGTGACAGTTCATTATATTGTTTACAAGCGTACAAAAGCTTTTTAGTAAGAATTTTCCAGAAAAAAAAAGTTATTCGTGATGGAATTCAAGCGTGATAGTGTGATTTCTTTATATTTGGCTGGAAAACCATAAGTGACTATCGTTAGGGCACTCCAGCATTTAAATGTGAATAAATCTTTTGTGTCTCGTACCATCGCTCCTTACCGTGATACTGATATGTATGAAGGCTATAGTCGTGCGGGGCCAACCATGTGATACCCTACAACACTACAATATGTTTGAAGCCCCCTTATGTCCAAATCCATTTTGGAAGATTTCGCTTTTAAAGTTATGTCACCGAACCCCCTAATTATTTTCCGATCATCTCCAAAAGCAAAAAGGTCCCTCTGTATCTCAAACTGTAGTCTCACATATATGATTTGCTTGTCTACGATATTTGGCTATATTCGTCAAAGAATTCAGCATAAAAAGCCAGAATTTCGAATTTTGTGTATTTCGGATATCGCCTGTAAGTAATGTTGGTTTTTTTTACACAAAAGTAGTGGTCCAGTCTACCCGCTGTCCTAAACTCTAACCTCGTGAGAGATTTCGTGTTCTTTGGTTTCTATTTGTGAACTTTATAACCGTTGCAAAATCAGGAACATTTTTAGTTGTTGGTCCATTTCAACCACCAAATATATTGCGGACATCTTTAAAACCAATAGGCCTAGCCCATTTGAGCCTAACCCTGCACTTATGAAAATTTTCTTGAGGATTGGACGATAATTGCAATCTGTATACAATAACCCCAACCTGTGTTGTAAGGTGAAAAAATATTTCAAAATGTACACTTCAATATTATAAGTCAAATTGAAAAAATCGCATGCGATAAAAAATATGAAAAAATAAAGAAATGTCACAAAATGCTACAAAATCTATAATAACACCATTATTGGCACATTTTTATACGATTTTTTTAGATTTTATTCTCTTATGCCAAGAGGGCATTCTGAATTGACAAAATTTGTCAAAATCGGTCCAGCCATTCTTGAGATATAAGCATTATAGCTCACATCCCCTTCCTTTGTATATATACATTGTATATATTTCGCTATATATATCCGATATATTTACTATCGGCATCGACGTAACGGTCCGAATTGAGCTGTTCGTCTATTTGTAATTTCGCCGGGATTAAAAATATTCGCGGTTTAATGGAAAATTTGATTTTCATTTAACACAAATGTTATGGTCTATTTCACCCACTAAATATTACCCGATGACCATCAAAATTGGAAGATGACCATCAAAATTGGAAGACTCTAGCCCCATGCTAACTTCCGCTTCGATTGGTCCATTATTGCGACCTGTAGAGCAACTGCAAAATCAGTAAATTTTTCAGTTTTTGGTCCATTTCAACCCCTAAATATTATGCGATCATCTCCTTAAGAAATAGGGTTCTATTCTGACCCTAGCCCCACCTCCATTTTAAATTTCGTGAAGATCGGACCATAATTGCGACCTGAAGAGTGATTACAAATTAACATGGACAGACGGGCAGACGGACGGACGGACATACATAGCTAAATCGACTCAGCTCGGCGAGATAGGAAGATCCATATATACTTTCCTATGTGGGAAACCAATATTTCGAGGTGTTATATAATTTTTGTCCCAATCAAACTTATAATACCCCCAACACAAAGTGTTGTAGGGCATAAAGAGCTAAAGAGTTGCTTCGCTTGGCCGAAAGTGGTGAACTGCCGAATTTGGTTTTCTCCGATGAGAAAACATTCGTTGTGCAATAGTTTGTAAACAAACATAATGATCGTGTTTACTTGCCAAAGAGGTCAGCTGAAAATGTTCACCTTCTTTTGGCCACCAGAACCTAAGCGCCGGCCATGATGATTGTGTGAGCCGCCATAACAGCCGATGGTTGCTCTCCGCTCGTATTTATCGACCGTGGCATGAGAATAAATGCCGAATATTATAGCGAAAATATTCTGGAGAGTGTATTAAAGCCTTGGGCACGCAATCAGGGTGTATTAAAGCCTTGGGCACGCAATCAGCACGCGCCACCCAAGAATGGTTACAAAATGAGGTTCATCGCTTCATTTCCAGTGCACAATGGCGACCAAAATCTCCGGATATCAATCCGTTGGACTATTGTGTCTGGAGTAGTTAGAAAGCAAGGTTGGCACTAAAAAACTTATTCTAAAATTTGAAGTTATTTCCGACATATTTTGCTTTCATTCAATAAGATTAAAAAAATGTAAAAATTATGGCGTTTGATTTTGTTGCAGTTTTTTTATATCACCCTGTATAGATATTAATAGAAAATAAACTCGGGTTTTGTTTCTATTTATTGATCAACGTTTATTTATGTATTTGAGAGTTTCTACTTTCCTTGTAAGGAAACAATGTTTTACAATACACAAATATGATATTTGGGGAAATAATATTAAATAACATTTTTCACTTTTGTACTTTTCAGCACGTCGACTGGAATTTGAACGACGTCGCAAAGAGCACTACAAAGAATTTGAGGCTGTTAAATTAGCACGGAAACTCATTGAAGAAGAGGATGACGAAGATGATGACGACGACGATGCAAATGGAGAAGATGGAACAAAATCAGCAGGTATTGATAAATCCACAACGGGGGCAGCAGCAAGTGCTCAATCTGGAGATCAATTATCGAATAACCAAAATAAATCAACAACAGTGGATTCCAGGAAAATGGATGTAGATGCAACTGCGTCCATGGGACATTAAAAAGCTATGATCTTTCTGTAAATTTATAATAAAAAAAGAAAATTAAAGCTGTAAGCTAAGCAACAACAACATAACATTTTATGAACATTAACTCAAATTAATGCAAAAATTTAGCCAACGTGGTTTTAATTGTATTAAAATCGTTAATAAAAAAACATAACATATAACAACTGAACATAGCATGCATAAATACAACAACAACAAAAACACATATTCCATCAATATGTCACATACAGATTTCATACAAACAAATACAATTTGCTATAGAAATTAATATTTCATTAAACAAAAACAAATATTCGTTCAAACAAATTATACAATCAATTGTTTTATTTTTTTGCATTTACTTTTGTCAAATTCATGTATACAACCACCGCCGTAAATCGACCAGCAAGTCGAAACCGAATTCATTTGTGCAAAATGTTCAAATTATTTCATAACTTAAGTGCCACATTGAAAATAATTTCATTTAATTTTACACGAAAATGTTTAAAACTGAAATTGTTTATTTTTTTTTAATTTTTGGTTCCTTTGTACAGTAATAAACTAATATTTCTCAAATCATTATGCTTCCGAGCCACAAGAAACTCCAAAAAATATATTGATTTTATTTAGATAAAATTGGAAAAGTGAGAAACAAGTAAAGCATCTCTTTATTATTGACTGATTTTCTTAAAAAAAAAATGTGAAAAATAAAAAAACGGATACAACAATAATTTGCCAATTTGTATTGATAATTTTAATTTACCGCATATTCCTGTGTTTTTTGAAATTGTTTAGAATTAACGAACAAATTTAAATGAAACTGTGAAATTAACACGAGATTTGCATAAACTATAAGTTATAAATAAAGCAACATTTCAAACCAATATTCCATATGTTGTTTTGTTTTTATTTCGTCAGTTTTCGAGGTTATGTAAGATATGTATTAGATAAAAAAAAGATGAAAGTGGTCGATATTCGTTTGGTCTGTAATTTTCAAAGTTGCAGTATTATGATTAAAGGTTTTTATACACTACACCACTTAGTGGTAAGGTTATTATGTCTTTGTCCATTTGTTTTTAAGATGGAGAAGGAAACGAGATAGATCCATAGTTACTTTTGAGGATCGTCATAAAATCACTTTCTGTGTCGATTTATGTATAACAGTCCGTCTGTCCATGTATTTTTGTTAACAAAATGCGGGTCGCATTTATTACACGATCGAAATGAAATTTCCCGAACAATATTTCTTTAGCCCAAGGACGAATTCTATTGAAATTGGTGAGAATCGGTTCAAATTCAAATTCTTCAACCGATTTTGGGATAATGGTGCAGCAAATGGCCAATATCGGTCCAAATGACCTGAATTTTAAAGTATACTATCTTTCATCTTTACAAAACTGAATGAAAAAGCATGCTAAAAATGTCAATATTTAGGGACCTCTGACCGTTCTAAAATAAACTCAGTGAAAAAGCATGTTAAAAACGCGGAAATGTCAATATTTAAAGAGTTATAGCCAATTTAAAGTGTACTATCTTTCATTTTTGAAAACTGAATGAAAAACCACGCTATAACTCCAAAAATGTCAATATTTAGGGACCTATGACCGTTCTAAAATAAACTAAATGAAAAAGCATGTTAAAAACCCAGAAATGTCAATATTTAAGGAGTTATAGCCACTTTAAAGTATACTATCTTTCATCTTTAAAAAACTGAATGAAAAAGTATGCTATAACCCCAAAATGTCAATATTTAGGGACCTATGACCGTTCTAAAATAAACTAAATGAAAAAGCATGTTAAAAACCCAGAAATGTCAATATTTAAGGAGTTATAGCCACTTTAAAGTATACTATCTTTCATCTTTAAAAAACTGAATGAAAAAGTATGCTATAACCCCAAAAATGTCAATATTTAGGGACCTATGACCGTTCTAAAATAAACTAAATGAAAAAGCATGTTAAAAACCCAGAAATGTCAATATTTAAGGAGTTATAGCCTCTTTAAAGTATACCATCTTTCTTCTTAAAAAAACTGAATGAAAAAGCATGCTATAACCCCAAAAATGTCAATATTTGGGGACCTCTGACCGTTCTAAAATAAACTCAATTAAAAGGCATGTTAAAAACCCCGAAATGTCAGATGAAAATGTGCACCTTCTGTTGGCCACCAGAACTCAAGCGCCGGCCATGGTGATGGTGTGGACCGCCATAACAGCCGATGGTCGCTCTCCGCTCGTATTAATCGACAGTGGTCTCAGATTAAATGCCGAATATTTTCGCGAAAATATTCTGGAGGGTGTATTAAAGCCTAGGGGATGCAAACATTTTGGCCGCAGATCTTAGACATTCCAACAGGACTCAGCACTATCGCACTCAGCTCGCGCCACCCAAGAATGGTTACAAAATGAGGTTCCTCGCTTCATTTCCAATGCACAATGGCCCCCAAAATCTCCGGATACCAATCCGTTGTACTATTGTGTCTGGAGTATTTTGGAAAGCAAGGTTGTCGCTAAAAAATACCAAAGTGTCGATCACCTCAAGCAAGCGCTTCGCCGGGAATGGGCCAAAATACCGGGCAGCGTGTAATGGTTTCATTGGCCGTTTGAAGGCCATAATTCGTGCCAAAGGTGGCCAATTCGAACAAATCTTAACTTATTCTAAAATTTGATGCTATTTCCGAAATTTTTTGCTTTCATTCAATAAAATTTAAAAAAATAAAATTTAAAAATTATATCGTTTAGTCAAACGTTGTTGCAGTTTTATTTATCTCACCCTGTATATACTGTTATGTCTGAAATTATTACTTCAATGAATTACAAACGGAATGCTGAAATTAATGTACCATCCATACTATGTATAGTGGAGGGTATAAAAAGGTTAGTATGTATTCTTACCTTTACACTTTCAGAAAGAAGCAGCTGGACAATAGCTGCAAGAAAAGTAATAGGTGTGTCTGGTTACTTTTTCTGCAGGAACCCAGCGGATTTTTTTGCATATACATATCCCAACTGAGACCACTGGCATGTAGGTGTGACTCATCCAAAGCCTGTATTCAATTTCTACTTACATTTACACAGCTATGGCCTAGGCTGTCAGACGAGTCCGAAATGTACCGACAATATAAGCGAATTTTGGATGGGTCGGAAATCTACCGACATTGTAAGCGAAGGCTGGATGGGATCGAAATCTATCGACATCCGATTCAGATGCAAGTGCGATGGATACATTTTATTATATTTTGTTTTGTTTTTTTTTTTTTTAATTCTAATATGGATTTGGTTTCACAATGTAATAGCAATACGACTCATCTAAATCGGAGTTGTATGCCATTAACCACTGTTATTTCATTTTTTCCTGTTGACAAAATAGCATACATTTGGATGGGTATTAAATTGTAATTGCCAGCGGACTGCTGGGAATTGTCCAGCAACGTCTTTCTGAGAGAGTAAGGTAATTTTATTCTCTTTTGCAAGGAAAATGCGAAAAGTAAACAGACGGCATTCCTGCATACACTCCACCATTTGGAACGAATTTGGAAATTTTCAAAAATTAAAATCCGTTAAAAATTCTGTTAAAATCTTAAATATACCGAATATAGCCTTTATATTGGGGTCTATACGACGTGGACCTACGTAGGCATTGTTAGGTACCGTTATATCGGAGCTATACAAAGACGTGGACCTACAGAGACAATTTTCTGTCCTAGGCCGTAGAATCCATTACAAACTTCAAATACGACATCTCAAACAGTTGCGGTGAGTATTGTACCTAAAATAGTCAAAATACCGAATATAGGGAGGTACTGATACATGGGGCCTATATGAAGACCTGGAGCAGCATAAAAAATTTTGTGTCACAGACTGTAGTTCCCATTACGAACTCTAAATACGTAATTTGAAACTACTCCGGTGAATAATGACGCTAAAATCATCAAAATACCGAATATTGGGAGGTACCTTTATAGGGAGGCTATACGAGGACGTGGACCTACACAGACAATATTCTGTCTTAGGCTGTGTATCCATTACGAACTTCAAATACCAAATTTTAAACAATTCCGGTGAGTACTGTCGCTAAAATCATCAAAATACCGAATATCGGGAGGTACCGTTATATGGGGGCTATATTAAAACGTCGACCTACATGGCCCATTTACGAACTTAACCTGCCTACTGGCAAAAAAACATGTGTGTAAAATTTTAGCCTTCTATCTCCATTCGTTTGAAAGATAGTGTGATTACAACAGACAGACAGACAGACAAACAGACAGACGGACATCGCTAAATCGACTTAGAATTTTCGCTCATCAAAAATATATATACTTTGTTGGGCCTGATATGAATATTTCGAGCAGTTAATTAATAATTAGTTAATATACCCTCCATAGTATGGTGGAGGGTATAAAGAGGAAATTAGCAATAAAACAAGTAAAAAACAGTAAGTTCGGTCGGGCCGAACTTTGAATACCCTCCACCATTTGGAACGAATTAGAAAATTTTCAAAAAAATTAAATCCAATAAAAATTCTTTTAAAATCTTTAAAATATCTAATATAGGAAGGTGCCGATATATGGGGGGATATACGATATTGTGGACCTATAAAGACAAATCTATGTCTGCGTGTAAAGTACTCACAAGGAACTCCTTGTATGGATTTTCAGATAATTTCATTGGAAAAAGTGGCTAACATAATCAAAATACCGAATATAGGGGAGTGCCGTTATATGGGGGCTATACGATATTGTGGACCTATATAGATGATTCTCTGCCGAGGTATAAAGTACCCACAAGGAACTCCTTGTGTGGATTTTCAGACAATTCCGTTGAAAAATGTGGGTAAAATCATCAAAATACCGAATATCGAGGGGTACCGTTATATGGGGGCTATACGATATTGTGAACCTATAAAGATAATTCTCTGCCGAGGTATAAAGTACCCACAAGGAACTCCTTATGTGGATTTTCAGACAATTCCGTTGAAAAATGTGGGTAAATCATTAAAATACCGAATATCGGGGGGTACCGTTATATGGGGGCTGTACGATATTGTGGACCTATATAGATAATTCTCTGCCGAGGTATAAAGTACCCACAAGGTACTTCTTGTGTGGATTTTCAGACAATTCCGTTGAAAAATGTGGGTAAAATCATCAAAATACCGAATATCGGGGGGTACCGTTATATGGGGGATGTACGATATCGTGGACCTGTATAGAAAATTTTCTCTCAGGGGGTAAATTACTCGCAAGGAACTACTTGTGTGGATTTTAAGACAATTCCATTGAAAAATATGGCTAAAATCATCAAAATGCCGAATACCGGGGAGTACCGTTATATGGAGGCTATACGATATTGTGGACCTATATAGATAATTCTCTGCCGAGGTATAAAGTACCCACAAGGAACTACTTGTGTGGATTTTCAGACAATTCCATTGAAAAATGTGGCTAACATCATCAAAATACCGAATATCGGGGGTATCGTTATATGGGGGCTATACGATATAGTGGACCGATATAGCCCATCTTCGAACATGACCTGCCTGCAGACAAAAGAGAGATCTGTGCAAAGTTTTAGCTTCCTATCTTAATTCGTCTAGACTGTAGCGTGATTACAACAGACCGACAGACGGACGGGCAGGGCTAAATCGTCTTAGAATTTTACGCTGATCAAGATTATATATACTTTGTTAGGTCTAAAATGATTATTTCGATGAGTTACAAACGGAATGACGAATTTAATATACCCTCCATACCTTTTTTGATGGAGGGTATAATAAAAATGTGAGCAATAAAAGAAAGATAGATTTGATGTGTTCCCCGGAATCCTTTAAACGTGTTGCTAATAGCGTTTGTCTAAAAATGTTGGAAATAGTCTTTTATTTTCTTATTACATACTAATATTTACGTTTTTCACATTTTGTAAAGTTTTTCTGCAATAATTATTTTGTTGCTAATTCCAAAAAAAAAAATATTTTCAAATTAAAATCACAAAAAGAAATAAATAAACAATAGAAAACATCTGATTGAATGTCGATGAATGAGAAGAAGAAGAGTTGCAAGTGATTGCAAGAAGAAATTTGTCCTGCAAGAATTTGCAAATTCTCACTGAAAGAACTGTCAAAAGTTCTCTCTCCACTCGCTTTTATTTTGCAGAACTTTCGGATTAACAGATGACTTCCAGTAACAATTGTTACAAATGTTGGGGTAACCAGACACACCTAATCAAAACGAACGCACCCGGGTAGAAACAAAAACAACAACGAATTATCCCGTTTTTAACGGTGTTTTTTTTTAAATTTTATTTGATTTTCTTTTGTTTTTACAAAACTGTTTACAATCATAAAATGTTAGATAAAATTGATAACAAATAATTTAAAAAAAAGTATATATATATATGTTCTTTACAAAGGTGGGAGGGTTAATAATATTATTAGAACAACAAGGATCTAAGAAGTTGGTTGTTTCTTTACAAAATATTTAAGTATCCAATTATTGTTGTTCCTCTCTCTTTCTCTTTCTGTTCTGTTCAATAGTTGTTATTGGTTAAACGTTGAGAACACAATATATTGATTAAAACACAAAAAATGAATAGAAATGAATTAAAAAAATATAACCGTGCATTGGGATGCTTTTGTCCGAATTGCATAAAAAATCAAGGATATTCGTGTGACTTAATATGAACCGAGTCGAATATGATCGCTGTAAATCATGGCCATTATGAACAGAAAAGTTCATAACTGTTTTGATTGAAATCGTTTTGGTTGTTTTTTGTTTTCTCGTACACCTCGCACGGTTGACAACGTTTAAAGTTCGTTAATACATTTTGGGGTTAGTTTGAATATTTATTTCGTTAATTTGAAAGCTACAAAATTGAAATAGCTTAACAATTGAGGACTTAAGTTCTAAAAAAAAATAACAATAATTATTATTTTTCTTCTCTTTGCGCATTCTACAAAACCTTTGTTGAGGAACATTTACATTCGTTTTGTGAATTTAACAAAGTTTTTTGTTTTTTTTTGTTTTATTTAACATCGAAATTGTTGAGGAACACTTAACTCTAATTAATATAATCTTTTTTTTTTTGATTTTTTTATATTATATAACATTGTTGAAAAAAAGTATAAAATTTCCCTTTTTTCGGATAAAGATGTTCGTATCCACTTAAAAAGAAAACAAACCTGAGAGGAAATCCTATAATTTTACAACAAAAACATAAAGTGCCTGCATATACATAGTGCTTATATACTAATTTGATTAAATTTTTATGATTTAAAGTACTTGTTGTTGTTGTTGCATTTGTTTTTGGTTAGTATTTTACATTTCGTTATAACAATTCATTTAAATCAGCTAACTATTTGTTGGTGTGTTATCATTTATCCTTTTATTGCTATTGTTCTGATGCTGCTTTGGGAGGGGTTCCATTGTTTAGCTGCACGCGGTTGTTGTTGCTGTTGTGGTTGGTGGTGAGCTTAATAGGTGACATGTTGGGTACCTGGTGGAACCTTGTAGCTGGGATAATGATGGCTCAAGGCATTCTTGGCAAAGAATGAGCTGTAATCCTGTGAAAAGAAACAATGTGGGAGATTTATATTAGTTGGGAATAAATGTTGTATAACAATTTGTAAAAAAAACCGAGCTTAACAAAATAACTAAATAAAGTTTATATTGTTTTGGAGTGCATATTACGCAAGTGAGGGACCTTAACCCCAAATCGGAGGAAACACATGTGTATAAGAGCTATAGCTATATCGGAATCGATTTTCACCAAATTTGAAGTACTTGTTTCTACGACGAATTTCGTTCCATTTGGGATATTAGCCATTTGGTGCACAATATACCTGATATCGAATGAAGATATATATGGGAGCTATATCCTAATCTAATCCGATCTCGATAAAATTTGACAGAGGTATTTCCAGTATCTATAAGTTATGTAATACCAAATTCCATTCTTGTAAAGTGCATATTACTATTGTTAGGGATTTAAAACCCCATATCTGATAAACATATAAATGGGAGCTATAGCTATATCTGAACAGATTTACACCAAATTTGAAGTATTGGTTTCTAGGACATATTCACTTGTAACTGCCAAAATTCAGGCCATTTGGTGCACAATAAACCTGATATCGGATAAAGATATATATGGGAGCTATATTCTAATCTGAACCGATCTCGACAGAATTCGGCATACGTGTTTTCGAGTTGTATCTGATGCTGGAACAAAATATAATTCTTGTGGGCATGTGATGGACTTAAACCCACAAATCGGATAAAACATATACATGGAAGCTATAGCTATATCTGAACCGATTTTCTCTAAATTTTATGTACTTGCTTCTAGACTGAATTCGGTCGGATGTGCCAAAATGCAAGTCAATTGGACTGATATTGGCCATTTGGTGATAATGGCCGAAATCGGTTGAAGATATATATGGGAGCTATATCTAAATTTGAACCGAGTCTCACCAATAGGGTTCATCCTTGACCCAAACAAATATTGCTCTTATAAGACTTATAATTATTAAATTTTGACCCTTTGTGGGGGGAGGTACTTGATAGAGTGGCCCGATATTGTCCATTTTCGAACCCTACCTAGTGCTGGTAAAAATATTAATAGTTGCAAAGTTTTCACAAAATCGCATGACCCTTTCTCTTCCTATGAAGTAAATTACTTTCTTTGAAAAAGTTTACATTTTGTGCGGGAGGTACCAGACGGTGTGGACCGATGTTTTCCATCTCTGAACTCAATCTAAGTTTGACGATAATATTGCGGTTTAACAAGTGTGGACTAAATTAGATACTCATTTCGACAGTTATCGTGCGCAAAAGCCACATAGACAGTGCAACGGACACCTTTAGATCACTCTTAAAGTCCTAAAACGGATTTGGTCCAAAGGAACCTATGGTCTATCTTATTTCGATAAGGCACGTTTTGGCCATATCAAACGAATTATACCCTCTGTGGACATATGACAAGTATACAAATACATTGAAAAAATTTGCAATCTATAAATAAATATAAATATGGAAGGTATATTAAGTTTGTCATTCCGTTTGTAACACCACGAAATATACATTTTAGACCCCACAAAGTATATATATTCTTGATCAGCATAAAATTCTGTGTCGATTTAGCGATGTCCGTCCGTCTGTGGAAATCACTTTAGCTTCCGAACGAAATAAAGTAGATTAATACAATTTTACTCAAATGTATATCATGTCATCAGGACTATTGGTATTGAAAATGGGCCATTTAGGTCCATTTTAGGTTTTGGTATAGCCCCCATATAACGGTACCTCCCGATATTCGGTTTTTTTATGCTTTTAGCGACATTATTCACCCGAATTGTTTCAAATTTGGTATTTAAAGTTCGTAATGGATACTACAGCATATGACAGGAGATTGTCTGTGAAGGTTCACGTCTTCGTATAGCACCCGTATAACGGTACCTCCCGATATTCGGTTATTTGATGATTTTAACGACATTATTCACCGAAATTGTTTCAAATTTGGTATTTTAAGTTCGTAATGGATACCGCAGCCGAAGGCAGAATATTGTTTCGCATTTGAATATTGTAATGGCTTATGACAAAAGTTGTCTATACAGGTCCACGTCCTCATTTAGACCCTAATATGACGGCTTCATTTGGTATTTTTAAGATTTTAACAGAATTTTTTAAGAATTTTATTTTCTTGAAAGTTGCCAAATTCGTTGGAGTGATGGAGGGTATGATGGAGGGTATTCAAAGTTCGGCCCGGCCGAACACACAATTTCTTTTTACTTGTTTAGTGTTTTTTTGCGTTTTTATTTATCACATTTTTCTACTTACGCGATTGACCTTTCTTGGCCTACAGACTGGTCCCAACGCCAATTGACGGCGTTCCTCATTTTCACGAGCAGCAGCTTCCTTGTACTCTGGTGGTGGCCACTTCAAGTCTCCACGCAATTTGCTGCCGCCTGAAAGATCATCATCACCTTCAATTAGTTTATAGCAAATGCCATGGGGGTCAACGAGAGAAGCACATTTCGACTTACCCTGGAAGCTTACGGCTGCCGGCTGAGAGGTGTAGACTGGAGCGGGTGCCTGAGAGATGGGAGCCTCCTTGCGCAAGGTAATAATACCGGGACTGGCACCGCGTTGATCATGCTGTTTCAAATTATCCAATTGATCGCTGCCATGTGAGACATTTTGGACATTTTGTTGCGGTGGCTGTTGTTGTTGGTGTTGTTGTTGTTGAGGCTGTGAATAAGAATTAAATTGTTGTTGATTGGGTTGCGATACATATTGATTTTGATATGGAGTTTGATATTGATTGTTCAATGGGGCCTGTTGGGGTTGATAAGATGAGGCCTGGTATTGAGGGGTTGGCTGGTAAGATGAAGCCTGGTACTGAGGCTGTTGTTGCTGTTGTTGTTGGGGCTGTTGATATTGAGCCTGTTGAGTTGGTGGCTTATAGGGCTGGGGTAAATGTTGCTCCTGTACCCAGGTTGTTGGTTGCTGGTAGGGCTGTTGGGGTTGCTGGTATTGATTGTATTGATTGCCTACCGGTCCCTGGCCCTGGTATTGGGGTTGTGGGGAATATTGTTTTGGTTGTTGTTGTTGTTGGTATTGTTGCTGTTGTAGCAAGTTAACATATACATTTGTTGTGTGTGGACATCACATGGGATTCGAGTGATTCATATTCACGCATACATAATTGGATTGGATTGAAGAGATGACAGTGTGGTATTGGAGGTGCACAGTTTGGAAGACAGACAGAGTAATGGTGGTTGTGGTGGTGTTGTTGGTGGTGGTAGTGAGAAGAAAATAGAAAAGACAAAAAACCACATTAGTATGGTGTATATGTGAGGGTATGGTGTGTATGTGGGTGGTTGGGTGGAAAGTGAGGGTTTGAATGTGGATAGAAAAAAGTTTGAATTAGATCGGAAGTTTGTTATTTTCGTTATGGTTTAGTTATCTGCAAAATTCGTTTCTGGTTTACATCAGCTTTAGATTCAGGGTTAGTTATTAAGCTCGCTGTAATTGCTGTAAAATGTTATGAAGAAAGAAAAGCAAATTTTGTTGGTTTTATTTTATTATTATTAATGCAAATTGTATTCTAAATAAAACTTAGCTATTATATGTACATGTATTAACAAAAAATTGTTTTTGGTTTTACAATGTATGCATGCACAAAATAAAGTAACAAAATACAAATTAGAAGGGAACATTAAATGGAGTAAACTCGCTTAACAAATATTACAAAAGTTTTCTGTTTTAAAATGGGTTCTTGTTGCTGAAGGATTTGTAAGATCTTCTTTCCTCTCGAGTTATTAAAATACGAAGTCTTCAAAAGGGCTCTATGTATAGCAGATCTTTCCAAGTGTTTTCTGTGTAAAGTGGAATTTTTAAAAGATATTTCATAGATAAAAATGTGTCTTGGGATTGCAGAAATTTCAAAGGAGGCTTTGGATAGCTGGAGTATCGTAAGGGGATTTATAGATAGAGGACTTTTGAAAAGGTCTTCATTGAATATTTGACCTTTTAAAATAGGTTATTTGGCTAAAAAAAACCTTTTAGGAGGTGTTCCATGAATAGGTAAAATTTTACCTAAAAAACTTTCAAAAGCGTTCCGTTGAAGGCCTTTTAAAACAAGACAGATTTATACCCCCAGTTATAATTATTCAAACTGTTGACCCTTTATGGGGGAGGTTCCGAGGCAGTTGACCAATATTGACAAGTTCGTATTTGACCTAAGACTGATATAATAAATATTACAACGTGCCAGATTTGGACTATATCGACTACTTACTATACTTTATATGAGATATGTGCACATTTTTGGGAAATGTGAAAATATGCCTACACTGAGGGAAAAATCCCGTTGCGAAATCAAGCACGTATGTTGTCATTTTCGCAACGACCCGTTGTTATATTTTTCAACAACGGCTGTTGGTGAATTGTGCACGAACGTGCTCAAATTGACACCGAGACGTGGTCAACTTTCGGTACCAACAACAGCCGTGCTTAATTTGTCCACCGATGTGCTCAAAATGACAACTTTGCGTTTTTAATATTGGTAATTGCAGCCGATTACACACGAGTAAAAAATGACAACGGTGGTGCATGATTCACACACTGTCGTTGTCAATATGACACCGGTCGTGTATGAATTATGCACCACCACCTGCATAATGATGCACCACCGTTGTTACTTTGTACACCGACGTGCATGAATCGTACACGATCGTTGCCATTTTAGCAACTACCGTGTATGAATCATGCACCACCGTTGTCATTTTTTTTACTCGTGTGCAATCGGCTGCATATTTACCATTTTTTCCGTGTTATTGAAAGAGAAAGGACGCATTGTGCAAAAAATTTATTGAAAATGAATAATAATTCGCAAGATCCTCAAAATATCATTGGTGAGTTGTTAGAAATCGATGGCAATATTGTTGTGGTTCGCGATACAAACCATTGCAGCAGTCAAGATGCGGAAAACAATGAGGACGATTATATGTTAAGGGAGTTCTTAAAAGGAATAAATATGGAGTCGCTTTTTGAACAATTAAAAGGTAAGTAAATAAAAATGAATTTTTCAGTTAATCAGTGTAATTAACAAAGAATTTTCTTTTTTGTTCTTTTAGCATCACATGTAACATTTCGCAGTTTGCAGTACTTGAAAAAAGAAGATTTAAAGGAAGCAGTGCCACCATTGGGACTGCGAGTTGAATTCAGAGAAAAGCTCTTTGCTTGGAAAAAACGAAAGGTACGTATTATTTGTTTTACAGTGTTGAACTCAGTATTAATATTGTCATAACAATAGCTCGGGATTGATGACGAAACTATGTCAGTTCCATCTAAAATAGGTGAATGGTGGAAACGCAACGAGACACCTGCAAGTACTCCTGGTACTCCCGACACTACAGGTTCGAACTGCTCAAAAGCCAAAGGAATTTTGTCAGAGGTAAGGTAAGAGTAATATTTGTGTAAGCATAGTTAATGTAGTTTTTTTATTTAATATAGGATCTAACGGAATTGTTAACACATACCTCGAAGGGGAAACTGGCGCTTGAATGTAGTAGCGTTAATAAGAAATTAAGTGACGAGCAAAGAGATGATATAATTAATATAATTATTGAAGATATTTTAACCAACAATGTTACTCTTTACACTCAAGACTATATGCGCATATTGGATGAAATTTGTTCCGTTTTTCCTCTTGAAAACGAAATGAGGGTAAGATTAACAATATAAACAACGTATCTGATTATGTAGTTTCTTAACTTATAATATGTCTTTATTTTTAGGATTATTATTACATTTCAAGAAAAGGAAAGAACAACGCAAGCGGAAAACTTTATGCCAAGTATAGAAACAAGAAGTCCAAAAGAATAAAGCTTTTGATTTCCGAGCCTAGCACAAGCAAAGCAGCAACTCACACATCTCCTAATTTTTGTAACAAAGATGTTCCAGAAATTGATGAATCAGTTGAAAATTCATTGAAAGCTTCCTTACTAAGAGAATGTAATGATTGGGGATCGATCTGCGAAAAATGGAAAAGATCTTTTAACATACGGCAAAGAGATATAAAAAATTTAAGTAGCCATACATTTCTCCTAGAATGGCCGAAGTTGTCCGATGCAAGAGCTTCAGAATTGGTAAGTAGCCATGAGCTATTTATTTGTATATGGATACTAATGTTTCGTTTTAGGTCAACATTGATTTCGATATTATGTATCCACAGAAAGGCAATCTTCTACTTTCTAAATGGGACCAATTTAAGAAAAAAATTTACAATTATTATGGGAAAAATATTCATAACGAACATTGCAAACAACTCTTCGCAAATGTTTTGACGGCAAGCAGCATAGGTAAATTTTAATTCCTGATTTATCATAAACATTAAAAGTAATATTTATTTTATATTTCGGTTGCAGATGCTCAAGATTATATATACGCAATACTGTTGAATTCAGTTTTACCATCACCTGCTAGGTTTAAATGTGGAAACGGTAAATTACGAAAAAAAGTAACAATAGCTGATTCGCAGGAAAGTTTCGTACTGCGACTACCGACAATTAACGATTATAAAAGGCAAATTGATACAGTCACTGAAAAGTATTACAATGCTGGATTAACTATACAGCCATTTATAATTGTGGAGGGTTTGTCCGATTTCAATATAAAAGGTTTTTATGTTTTTTTTAACCACAATTTGTTAAAATTTCAATCGTTCCTCGAATGTTTAGATACATGTTTTAAAATTTTTCATGCACTTTCTTTAAAATATCCAAATGCCTGCCAAATTCCATGGATTTTTATCCAAAAATATTTTTATGAAATTAATACTGTATATGATATAAAATCAGTTAATTTGACTTCACTTATTAATTTCTGCAACAATAATTAAAGTACAATTCAAAATGTATATTTGCTTTCGTTGCCGTAAGCATTTTGATAAGGCAAATCTTTTAATAGCTCATTTGAAACAGACCATTTAATGTCCACTAAATTTTTAAAAGTACAATGCGTTCAGGACAACTGTAAGCAAACATTTACAAAATTTACGTCATTCAGAATTCATTTAGAAAAACTTCACAAGAATCACACAAAAGCTCCACCAATGGTTAAAGCCATTAATGTGCCAGTTGAAATGTCATCATCAAAAGAAAATGATTATACAAACAGTGAAACTGTTATTAACAACAATACAATAGAAAAGGATTTAAATGTTTTGAAAAAGAAAACCTTATATCTGTCTTTACAATTACATGGTCAAAGCTATATGCCAAAGCTATATACCATCGAAGATTTGGCAAAAGAGGAATATTGTTACAAAAAAAGTAAGCCAGTTTTAAATTACCAAAATTGCAAAGTGTCTGATGACATTTTTTTTAAGGGAACTAGGTATAAAAAAAACTATTATTTAGCAACAAATAATGCCGCAATTGAACTTTTCAAAATTAAACATTTAATAATTGAAAATGAAAATGTTTACATTTTATGTAACCAAGTAAAAGTTAAAAACTTTGATTACCATTTACAATCGTATGAAGTTGGTTCTCTGAATGAGGATACAATTTTTTTAATACCAATTTTAGATTTTATTACTTACCCATTTCACTTATATCCTATGAATAATGGAAAAGTTTATTTCAGATTTAAGTTAATTTAATTTGTTTCTATACATTGAATATATGTAATTCGAATTGTTTTGTTAAATCAAATATGTATTTATATTGAATTTATGTAATTGGTTTCGTTCAATAAAATACTTTTCAAAAAATGTCGTTTCTTCTACTAAGGGTATAAAATGGAAAAGGAACGGATATCAAAAAATGACCACCATTGATTTCAATCTGACAACGGGCGTTGACAATCCGACAACGGAGCGTTGACAATCTGACAACGAAGCGTTGACGATCTGACAACGAAGCGTTGACAATCTGACAACGGGGCGTGCTCGAAATGACCACGTATGTGCTCATTTCATGCACATCTGTTGTTGAAATCGTTGCCAAAATCTCGGTGTCAAAATGACAACAGCGTGCTCATTTTGACACCAAACGTGGTTGATACACTATCATACACGGATGTGGTCATTTCATACACGGATGTTGTCATTTTTTCTCTGGGTGTAAGGTAGCCAATATAGCGGACCGAAGTATTCCATTTTCATTCCTCATCTAATAGAGGTAAATATATTAGTATGTGCAAAATTTGAAGCCATATCTATGCCAAATCATAAATTCTACATTCATCCCAAGTTTCTGGTTGAGAGAAATATTTAGATATAGCAAGTTATAAGGAATCGCTGACTTGTCTCGTAAGTTATGACAGATAAAAGTTTTGAAAATTGTGACCCTTTGTGGGCGAGGTACCAGAAGGGGTTCGCAGCTATATATCATCTTCACAACATATCTTGTGTTAGTAAACATGTTTGTATGTGTGAAATTTGAAGAGAGTTAGATTCCTATTTGGCTTACTTTGAGCGCTTGGTTTCTCAAAATCTTGAACCCTGTGTGGGGGAGGTACCAGAAGAAATGGTCCGAACTCTACCATCTTTTTAAACAGACCTTGTGTTGATGGAAATATGAGATGTGTGAAGTCTGAATGGAATCAGATGTTAATTTCGCATTTTATGAACTCCATGGACATTCAAAATTTTGACCCTTTATGGGGGAGGTACCAGAAAGAGAGGACCGATATATCCCATCTTCACAACAGATCTTGTGTTAGCAGAAATAATGGAATGTGCGTAATAAAAAGAGAACCTGATGCTTATTTCGGATTTTATAAAAGTTTTGGTTATTCAAAACTTTGACCTTTTGTGGGGGAGGTACCAGAAGAAATGGTCCGAACTCTAGCATCTTTTTAAACAGATCTTGTGTTGATGGAAATATTGAGATGTGTGAAGTATGAATGGAATCATATGTTAATTTCGCATTTTATGAACTCCAGGGACATTCAAAATTTTGACCCTTTATGGGGGAGGTACCAGAAAGAGAGGACCAATATATCCCATCTTCACAACAGATCTTGTGTTAGTAGAAATAATGGAATGTGTGAAAAATAAAAAGAGAACCTGATGCTTCTTTCGGATTTTATAAAAGTTTTGGTTATTCAAAACTTTGACCCTTTGTGGGGGAGATACCAGAAAGACCGGTCCGATCTCTACCATATTTATAACAGATCTTGTGTTTATGGAAATATTCAGATGTACCAAGTCTGAATAGAATCGTGAATAGTCAAAACTTTGTCCCTTTGTGGAGAAGGTACTTGATAGAGTAGACCGATATTGTCCAATTTTCGCATCTGACGTAGCACTGATACAAATATTTGGATTTGCAAAGTTGGAGCAAAATCGGATTATCCTCTCTCTTTCTGTGTAAAAAAAATATATTTTTTTATAATTTCGACCTTTTGTGGGGGAGGTACCAGTCGGAGTGGACCGATATGTTCTATCTTAGCACCTGACCTTGGGTTAATAAAATTATTGGTATATGTGAAATTTGAAGACAGTCGGACTCTTATTTTCCTATTTTATAAGATTGTAATTATTGAAAATTATTCTGGGGTAGGTACTTGATAGAGCAGAGCTATATTGTCAATTTTCGCACCTGACCTAGCACTGATGCAAATATTTGGATTTGCAAAGTTGGAGTAAAATCGAATTATCGTTTCTGTGCAAATTTTTTTTTTTTTTGAAAATTTCGATCTTTTGTGGGGGAGGTACCAGAACTCGATATAAGTTTGACAAAAATATTACGATGTACCAAGTTTGAACGAAATCGGGTACTCCTTTCGAGAGTTATCGTGCGCAGCAGCCAGACAGACGGACATCGCTAGATCGACTCCAAATGTCCTGAAACGGATTTGGTCCAAAGATACCTAGGGTCTAAAACCGTTATTTCCACCTCTAGCCATATGGATGAGGGTATAAAAAAACTTTCAAAAGCTTTTTTCGCTGAAGGCTTTTTAAAAGTGGTTCTATTAAAAAGGTCGGTCGATAAGAAACCCTCTAAAAATATTTTTATGAAATGACGGAAAACCCGTTTAAGGGGATTTCAATCTACAACAGACTTTTTTTCTGTAGAAGAGCTTTTGAAAGTTTCTCTATTCAATGACGACCTGAAGGGATATTCTATAGGTTATTTTGGAAGATCTTCCATCTATAAACCATTCCTCATTGAAGAAAATATTTTGAAAAAATATTATTTCTATTTAAAAAAAAAATACTCATTGAAAATATTCTATGGGAGGTCCACTGTTCTTGTTGCCCTTCCATTATGAATTGTTTGTTAGATAGATGTTAGTTAATAAAAGCGCATTCTTATTTTTTTTTGGCAATTTGTTTTTTTATCCATTTATTGATGGTTTCCATAATTTTATATTGCTGCAGCATTACCAATTCAAAAAAAAAAAAACATTCCATAGTTTAGGCCTTCTCTTTGGGCTATGATGCTTATTTCATAAAACTTGCGGCATATCCAAAATAACAAAAGCTCGCAAATGCCATGGCAAAAGTCAAAAAGTCCTATCATACAACTGGAGGCAATAGCCATTGATGGTGTCATTGACGGGAGATTTGTTGCTGTAACCAATTTCTTCTCCACAATGCTTAACTACTCTACACAAATAAAGCTTTTTTGGTTCCTTAAGCTTTATAATTATTATCTACACAAAAAAGCTTGCATTTATCACGAATCTTATTACAACATTTCTCTACAATTTTCCATCAAGCTTCACTACAAATCATCTACACACATAAGGCCTTCGTTGTGGTCCTTCAAGCTTTTCCAATCATTTTCTACACAAAAAAGCTTTTCAAGTCTATTCTCAGTTGGACGCGAATACCTGAAGTTCTTGTCTATATTGTTGCTGATAGAATTCGTGTTGTCGTTGACGTTGTTGGTGATATGAATCATATTGTTTTTGATATATGGGTTTGGCAATTGGGTGGGTGGTGGATCCATCATGACCGACTAGCCTTACGGTCTTGCCATATTCCGGTTTGGGGGTTTGTGATCTCTCCAGGTACCTCATGCGACTGGGGGTCGATGCATCACGTTCGAAAGGTTGATATTGTGTGGGATGGTGTTGTTGTTGGGGATAATTTTGAGTTTGTGGATTGCTTGGTTTGTACTGGTGTTGGTGATGCTGTTGTTGTAGCTCTTGTTGCTTTTGATTTGCTATCATTCGTTGCTGCGAATAAAATTTTGTAAGTTTTTCATAATTTTCATTTTCAAGATATTAGATTTCCAAATCTTGCTGACACAATTGAAGGATGAATGATTTCTACAGCAGCACTAGTCATTTCCAAAATTAAATGAGTTCTTTTCTTTAGAGGTTAGTTACTGTAAGTTAATTAACATTTATTTATTATCAACATTTAATATTATTTATAGTTTATACACTTTCGCCACTTTCAGAATTGTTGAATTAATTGTACGTCCCACAAAATAATGACCTAAATATCTTTCGAAAACTCGTGGCTGAAAGAAAAGTGAAAACTCTAATGTACAAGCCGAAGACCTTAAGGACTTATATGAGTCCCTCAGGCCCTTTATAGCCTGAAGATATTTTTTAGGTCCACTTTAGAGAGAAGACCTTCATTTTCGTAAGACATAACATTTTCTTTTATTGACAGAAGACTTTCTATATATTTTCCATAGGGAAAAGAAGAACAGAAGCCTTAAACAGGTCTCTATTAGTCAGCAGAATTTATACAGGTCTTTTGTAGGCAGAAGACCTTTATCAGGTATGTAGACTCAGGCCTTCAAAGGGCATTCCAAAGACAAAAGACTTAGGAGAACTCTTAGAGGAGGCATTTGGCAGATAGGAGACCTGCTACAGGTATTCTGTGGATCGGAGCCCTTGTACAGGTCTTATATAAATAATAGACCTTTTATAGGTCTTCTATGAATAGAAGACCTTTAACAACTACAGATCTTCTATAGATAGGAGACCTTTTACAGGTCTTCTATGGATAGGAAACCTTTAACATGACGTCTATAGATAAAATACCTTTTACAGGTCTTCTAGGGATATGAACCCTTTCAAACGTCTTATATATATGAGAACTTTTACAGATCTTTAAGAGATAGGAGACTTGGTAGAGGTTTTCTGTAGATAGCAGACATTTTACAGGTCTTATATGGATAGGATATCTCTTACTGGTGTTCTACGGATAGAAGACTTTTAATATTTCTTATATGGATAGGAGACCTTTTACCGGCTTTCTAGGGATAGGGACCCTTTCAAACGTCTTATATAAATAGGAGACCTTTTATAGATCTTCAATAGATAGGAGACTTGGTAGAGGTCTTCTATGGATAGGAGTCTTATATAAATAGGAGACTTTTAACAGATTTACTACGGATAGGAGACCTTTTACAGGTCTTAAATAGATAGGAGACCCTGTACAGGTCTTCTATAGATAGCAGACCTTTTACAGGTCTTCTATGGATAGATTAAAGTCTTCTATAGATGGGAGACCATAAAAACGTCTTTTAAGAATAGGATACCATTAACAGGTCTCTTATAAATAGAACACCTTTTACTAATATTCTATGGATACGGATACCTTTTACAGGTCATCTATAGATGGGAGACCTTTTATAGGTCTTCTATACATTGGAGACCTTTTACAGGGCTTCAATGGATAGGAACCCTTTTACAGTTCTTCAATAGATAGGAGACCTGTTACAGGTATTATATAAATAGGATACATCTACATGTCTTGTATAAATAGGAGACATCTTACACATTTTATATAAATAGGAGACCTATAACAGGTCTTATATAAATAGGAGACCTTTAACAGGTTCTATGGATAGGAGACCTTTTACAGGCCTTCTATGGAAAGGAGATCTTTTATGGGTCTTCTATAGATAAAATACCTTTTATAGGTCTTCAATAGATAGGAGACCTTTAACAGGTCTTCTAAGGGCTTATATAAATAGGAGACCTCTTACAGGTCTTCTATAGACAATGTAGCTTTTAAAGGACTTCTATCGACAATGTAGCTATTAAAGGTCAGAAGAGCTTTTGCAGGTATTTTATAGACAGAAGACCTTTAACATATCATCTATAGATAGGAGACCTTTTACAGGTCTTCCATGGATGTGAGACCTTTTACAAGTCTTCTATAGATAGGTGACTTTTTACAAGCCTTCTATAGACGGAAGACCTTTTACAGGTCTTCCTTGATATGAAGGCTTAAACGGGTCTGATACAAGCCTACTAAAGCCAGGCTAGGGACTTCCATAGACAGAAGACCTTCAAGAGTTCTTTTTATACACAGAATAACTTTTACAAGTCTTCTTGGACAGAAGAAATTTTACAGGACCTTTACAGGTCTTTTACAGCCAGGAAACCAATTTTCCAGGAACCGATTTTACCCGCAGGATTTTTTTCATCTCTCTTTGAGAAAGAGAAAAAAATGACATTAATTTTTAAAAGTTGTTTTCCCATCTCCAATTAGGTCTCTCTTTTCAAAAGCTTCTCTAGCAAAACGAAACTATAACAAATAAAGCTCATTTTTCCCTCAAAGCTTTTTTTCTAAATCATGTACGCATCTATATATAGACTCTTTTCAGCTCCCTTAAGCTTAGCTATGACGCTTTGGCTTGCCTTCAAAGCTTTACTAAGAAAATAAAAACGAAGCTTTGCATTGCATTTTTGATTTTAAGCTTTCCTGCCCCATCAACTTGGCCGAGAATACCTTAAGTTCATCTTTATATTTTTCTTGATAGAACTCGTGCTGTTGTTGACGTTGTTGGTGATAGGATTCATATTGCTTTTGATAAATGGGCTGAGCTGGGCTGAGAGCTTCGTCCTGACCTAGCCCAGTTGGTTTTGCATTAGCAAATTCTTGTTGATTAGGGTTGTGTTGTGGTCGATCCATGTAATACCAGTCGTGGCCGCCAGTGGAAGTCGCCTGCTCATGATGCGGCTCGGCGGGCTGGTATTGTGCAGGGTGTTGGTGTTGAGTGTGCGGATATTGCGAATGTTGTTGTTGTTGGTGGGTTGGTGGTTGCTGTTGTTGGTTTCGATTGCTTGCCAGATATTGCTGTTGATAATATTGTGTAGGTTGTTGGTTAAAGCTTGATGGCATTTGTTTTGGTGGTTCTTCACGTGGTTGTTGTTGTTGTTGCTGTTGCCATTCTGGCTGCTTGTGATGCTGTGCAGCAGAAGCAGCAGGACCATAGTTCATTTGCATTGGCTCCTGTGATGGCAACCTGCTGAATTGCTTGTCTATCAACACAATTGGAGCTTCGGGAGTTTGGGGTGGGAATGGCTCGTAGAGCGGCTCGTCGTTCTCCCCTTGATTATGACTATTAGGTGGCATAGTTTCACGTGCATGGTTGTTGTTAGTGGAAGTAGTGGTGGCATTAATGTAAGATGTTGGTTGCTGTTGTTGTGTTTGATTTGAATAATATGGATGTTGGGGGTGTGGTTGCTGTTGTTGTTGTGGTGTTGGGGCATGGTAATGGACATTATTGTAAATTGGACCCTGGAATTTCACAATATATATATATATATACATATTTACAATGTTATGGCAAATATACAAAAGTGAGCGGATTTTCTCTATGGTTGGATGATGATGATGTTGGAGTTATAAGTATGCAATTAGTGGTAATGTTTGTTTGTGTAAGTGTGTGAGTGTTATTTAAATTTATGTATTTACAATTATATATATATTGTGTGTGTGTGTGCGTGTGTATATAGTATATGTGTAAAATAACAAATTAAGGCTTTGTTTTTGCATAATTTCTTGCAATTAAAATATATAATAAACTATTTATTTAAGTTAAGCTAGTTAAGTTTAATTGTTTCATATAAAACAATTTTGAATTAGAATGCATTTTGATATATTAATTTGAAAATATATTTTCCATATTGTACAGATTGGCGGAGGTGTCACTATTAGGACTGTGTACAATTCTTCATATACCAATGTTGGCCCAACTTCCAGTTTAATATAGAACCAAGGCTGTAATTAAAATTTTTGAGTGCTTTCGGAACCTTTTTTTATTTAAATAAATATTAACAACAATACTGTGGACACAAAAATATCCAGCAGATTATTAAAGTAGAGCTAAAAAATAGAAGACATGTGTATCGACGTTTTAAAAGTTTACATAGAAAAGTAACCTCTAATTAGAGGAGGCAAGTTCCCCCCTCTTCCACTTTTTCTGGAACTTTCGGATAAACATTCCTCGGAATCCGTTGATGTTAGATATATAGTGTCTTTGGCAATATTGCAGGCAAAAATACGAGGATTATAAGTTCGTAGCCCAGATTGGCTATTGTATAGTAAAACTATGACAACATAATGGAATTTATGCCCGAAATCCTTTTGGATATAATCCGGCCAGATCCTGTATATCCTGAAAAAAAAAAAAATCCGGTCCGATTGTCGTCCAAATGTGCTGAAGTTGAGTATAGGTCATTAATCTTGAAGATTTACAGATTATCATTTGATCCTCCTCTATAGACGGAAGTCCTTCTCCTGTAGACAGGACGCCTTTGAAGGATCTTCTTATAAGGGAATTACTTTTGAGGTCTCCAAAATAGACCTAAAATAGGTCTTTTAGGTATTCTCAAGAACGAATCCCATTTTAAAGATTTCCAAAGAAAGAAAGCCTGAAGGTGTCCCATGGAAAGAGAACAATAGGTTCTGAACAGTATAGTTTAATTTCCACCAGCTGAAAGATCTTCAAAATGCTCAGAATTTCCATTTGGAACATAAACATCTGGTTTTGATATGCTGATGGAAAAAAGCGGGTCCGATTGACGTCCAAAACTGTAGGTGGCATGTTAATGGACACAGTCCCTCTTTGTTGAGTAAAAATCTTGGCCGCTCTGAAGTTGAGTATCGGTGAGAGGTAGTCACTTATTATCACAGTCATTAGTCTTGAATATTTAAAGATTATCATTCGAAGGTCTTCTATAAATGAAAGTCCTTATAAAGGTCTCCTACAGATGGAACGCCTTTTGAGGGTATGCCTATGAGGGAATCACTTTTGGGGTCTCCCACTTAGAGAAGACCTATTGCATGCCTTTTTACGAAAGAGGACCATTTGAAAGACTTCAATAGAAACAAGTAAAAAAGCTGTAAGTTCGACCGGGCCGAATGCCTATACGACGACGTGGACCTACATAGGCAACTTTTGTCATAAGTTATTACAATATTTAATTGCGAAACTTGAAGAAAAATCTGTTTATAATTTAGCTAAAATCATCAAAATACCGAATATAGGGTGTACCGTTATATGGGGGCTATACGAAGACGTGGACCTGCACAGACAATTTTCTGGCATGGGCTGAAGCATTCATTTCGAACTTCACATGCGAAATTTGAAACAATAATGTCGCTAAAATCATCAAAATTTCGAATATCGGGAGGTACGGTATATGGGGGCTATACGAAGACGTGGACCTACATGGCTAATTTTTTGACTTAGGATGTAGCATCCATTACGAACTACAAATACCAAATTTGAAACGATTGCGATAAATAATGTCGCTAAAATCATCAAAATACCGAATATCGGGAGGTACCGTTGTATGGGGGCTATATGATAACTTGGACTTAACCTGCCTACTGGCCAAATATACATGTGTGCAAAATTTTAGCCTTCTATCTCGATTTGTTCGAAAGATAGCGTGATTACAACAAACAGACCAGACACACAGACAGACAGACGAACATGGCTAAATCGTCTTAGAATTTTACGCTGATCAAGAATATATATACTTTGTTGGGTCTGACATGAGTATTTCGAGGAGTTACAAACGGAATGACAAAGTTAATATACCCTCTATAGTATGATGGAGGGTATAAAAAGGCCGTTTGTGGGTATCCCATAGAGAGCGGACATATTGAAAGTCTCCTGAAGGCAATAATTCTTTTGGCCGTTCTTTAAGGCTAAAACCAATGTTAAATTATTTTATAAACTCAAGAACTTTTCTAAAGATAAACACAATTTGAAAGACCTCCAAAAGAGACTTGACCGTTTACTTTTCATAGACTAAAGATTTCCAAATGCCCTCTATAGGAAGAGGATATTTCGAGGGTATATTATAGACAGGATATACGTATGAGGAAATTACTATTTTGGTCTGCCACTTAGATAAGATCTTTTGATCTCTACAGGCCAAAGATATATTTTTTTTAAGTCTGAAAAACTTTTTAAAGTTTGAATAAAATTTAGTAGATTTCTTATGGAAAAAATACCGTTTGGATGCTGTCAACAGACCGAATATTAGCCAAAGGTTCTGTAGAGGCCGAGGACACTTTTCAGGCCTTTCAAAGAAATAAGACAATCAGAATGCTTTCTATTGACAGAGGAGCTACTAAAAATCTTCTAAGAATGGCAGATATTTTAAAGGTCTTCCGTGGAAAAAGAAATAAAAAAGGTTTTTCATTAACAGCAGTTGATGATATTTTTTCATGGTACATATTGAATATATAAATTTCTTTTGTTCAGAGAGTCACAATGAAATTTGATCTAGAATAATTCTCCCTTTGACACTAACCCCAAAAAATGAAACATAAAGGGAGATTTTGACTTGGAATGAATACGTGTTAAAGTAACAATACAAAAACGTATAGATATAATTTTTACTTGTAACACATAAACTTCGAATATAATTTTCATAAAAACTATTGTACCTAGATATATAATTTATTTTGAGATTTATATTGAAATCTTGTGTAGAATAATTCTTCTTTTGGTATGTTTTGCCAAAAACGAAATTTTATTTTACTTTCAGGCGACAACTCGAAAAAGTCCTTTTTTGCAAACATTGATGCTTCAATAACTTATAGTGAAATTTGATGAAGAATATTTTTATTTTTGAAGTCATCTTTCTAAAATGATGCTTTGTTGGAGATTTTGGCACAAACTCATACAATCTCACGGCTTTAACCCTAAAATGTGTTTTTAATATATATGAATTCCTGATGTTTAGGTAAGATTTAGACTTTTGCCGCCTTCTAGGACCTATAGTAGAATTTTTGGGCAAATAATTTTGTGAAATATTTGGACTTGGCACGATGCCGTTTTATGGCATTTTCAAACCACTTTTTTGGAAAAAGGATCACAAATACCCCTTTTTTCGCTTGAGGGTTAAAATTTTCCAACCAAATATGCCTCGCATTTTCATCCGCAATATTGCCGAAGACACTATGTACCCAAAATATACGAATTCCAAGGAATCATGACTTAAAGATTTTAAAAAAATGTAGAATAGGGGGGAACTTGTTCCCTCTATTTTGGTTAATTTGTGTTCTTAAGCTCTACTTTCATAATCTGCACGATTTTCCCCCGTAAATCTTTTTGGGGTTGAAAAGTGTAATTTTAGTTGACACATCGTGTTAGAGTCATATATAAAATAACTTTTTCACATTTTTATGGAATATTCTTATAATTTTTTTTTTTAACTAATAATTTATGATATCCAATACCATATAATATTATATACTTATATTGTATTTATATCACACCTATACCATGAATATATTTATGTATGCAAAAGTTTTTTAAAAAAGTCCTGAGAGTGCCTAAAAGTATGCTAAATATAAATATGAAAAAAGTAACTTTACATATGACTCTAACTTAATGAGTAATTTGGCCTTAACTTTAGTTATGGTAATTCAAATCCCTTAGAGACAGTAGAAATACTCTTATTTCAAGTTACAGTAAATCAAATAGCTATCACCTAATTTCAATAGCCACAAATGTTTTATAACGAAAAAAAATCATAAAATTATCTTTTCCCCTCAAAAACGGATATCCTCCTGTATATTAATGATGCCATAAGTTTACATTCATACTCTTGCACATACGTACAAAGCAAATAAACAAAAACATAATTATTATTATAATAATTTATTTATTATGTACAAATGTCACACTATTTTGTATAACCTAATTATATGTATTGTCACTGATGGCTTTTGTTGTTTTTGTTTTGTTTAGTTTTGTTCTTGGTGTTGTTGTCTTCTTTTTTTTTTTTTTTTTTTTTTGTTTACAATACAAATAATTTAATGTAACCCAGATTGCTATGGCAAAATAGTGTAATTTGCAATTTATTTTTATTCTTCCAACAAAATGTTACTAAACGAAACGAAATGCATTTATAATTTTCTATAACAACTTTCACGCACACACACACAGTCACTCATACATCATGAACATGGTCTAGTTGTCACCGGAAAGTGACTATAGGCAACGTGTTACTAGTTTGGTTAAAAACCAAATCGAAGTTCCACAGAGGCATTTGCTATCAAAGGAATAAAAGGAGGATAATTGTTTTTCTGAAGAAGGCCATCCAAAGAGGACCTGAAGTACAACTTTGTATAGAAGACATTCCATTTAAAGAAGACCTGTGTCAGATCTGGGCACCTCTGTTGTTACCACACAATAAAAACATCTACACAAAATTTCCGTACAATCGGAGTTATAGCTGAACCGATAGCTATGGCTCCCATATATATGTTTA